ACCGATTCGCTCAGCCTTAAGGGCTCGGGAAGTGAATCTGGAAGTTAGCGCGAACGGTCTTTGTAGCGGAGGCCACAGCTGCCCAGATGGGGGCTTTCTTGGCCCTTCTGTCGTTGCTGCCTCGTTTGCTCAGGTTCACTACCGAGTTTCATGCCCGAGTTTTCTTGCCAGTCGCGTGGATCACGTTTAGGTTGGAGAAATGCACGCCGAGCATCGCCAGGGCCTTGGACAGGCGCCAGGTTCTGGAAACCACTTCGAGTGTGGCATAGAGTGGCTTTGTGAGTCCTCTCCCAGGTTCATGCCTTGGCCGATGTGATGCGGAGCAATGCGTTAGCAGTGGAGGCTTCAATGCACAGTTTTCAGCTTTTGAAATCGTGGCTGTTGCTGAAAGTGCCGGTGCTTCGCGAGAGTGAATCTGCGTGTGGTATGTAGCATGGCAGCCGCTTGCATGCAGCAGAATCCGAACACAGTTGTGGCACAGGCCGCAGAAACCCACGCGGCTCGATGTTTTTGTTGCCTGTTTGCATTCGTCGCCCTTCCATGCACTTGAACCCGTCCTTCTTCCGGTACACCAGCCGCCGAACTCTAAAAGCTTTCGGCATTCCTGGGTAAGTCGCACGGCGTGATTGAAAATTCACACCTTTGGGTGCTCGACCTTCGACGTGGCGTCGGCGCCTTCTGAGTTTTCGGATACGGATACAATGCAACATCTCATCGACGCATAAGGGCGTGACACGGGGGTGCTGAAGGGCTCAACTGCTTGTCGGGGAGGACCATTACTCCGAAGGCGAGTTTTCAGCCGACGAACTGCTGATTTGTTTGCATATTGTCTTTCGTCTCGTGCAGATTGCTTCACGAGTATCTTCCGATTGTGGAGCCTCGTTGAAAGGTCCCACGAGCCGCTGGGCCCATCGTTGACATTGTGGGCACTGGTGGAGATGGCCAGGCAGGATTCCAAATGGGTTTCTGGCACGCACTTGCTGCTCAAGGGATCTTCAACCGTTTGACGTCAACATGCTCCAAAGGGCCTCAAAATCAACAATCAACCTGACTTGCAGTTGAATTGGTAATTATTCATAGATGCTCATGCAGGATTTAGGAGGTCAAGACATGTCAGACATGTTTCCTGCCTTGCGTCAGGACACGTTCAATATTTCAACTGCAGCCGGCCTGGCGGCGGCTGGTGCTGGAGCTGGATGCTAAACTTGCGCGAACTGTACAAACTCTTGTGCCCGGACAGAAAACTGTATTGGCTTCCGAGGCTCGAATCGTCAAGCATGGCAACCGCGCCGCCTCCTCCAAGAGTGGCGCGGCTGACATTCTGGAGGCCTGCACATCGCAAAGGCAGCCCACTCGGTGTCCGTGCGATTCGTGAGGCTTTGGGTGCAAAACTCGAACTGGCGCCGGCTGAGGCCAGCTATGCGATATTTATAATGCTTCACAATCTCTGTTGTTACTTTGAGAACCCCACCTGTCTTGAGATAGCCCGAGTTGGGAGACCACAAGCAAACTTGTGGTGCCAGGCATGAACTAAGGTGTTTGCTGCATGCGCCCCTTCCGAGTGCATGCTGAGACCGCCATGAGTCGTGAACTTGGCTTGGCAAAGCCCCGAAACTCTCGGAGACAGGTAGCACCCCTCCTTGCTGCCGGCAGCTTCGCTTTTCTCTTTGCCAGGCAAGCGCCGCGTCCTTTTGTCCGAGACAAGATCAAACCCTGGCAAACAATCTGTGAGTGTCGGGTGTTGTGATAGCTTTAACCACCTTGCAAGCAGCAGTGGAGCCTGCAGCCTTCCCACCTTCATGCCTGTTCATGTCAAGCACAGGGCATCCAGTCCAGATAGCAGTGACCTGTCTGCAGGTCTTATCACCCGGCAATGCGCCACGTCGGGCCAATCCGACAGGCGCGTTTCAAGCAAGCTTTCTAAGTGGTGTGTGCCAGCATGAAAGGGCTGATCATGCTGGCTAGTTGCATGTACAACTGGAAGCAGGGAACACATGGGAAACGTTTTTGTCGTGCACAAGCTACTACAGTATGGAGAACTTAGGTTGGCAGTTTTGCTTCCTGTCGATCACTTTGCAATTCCGCTGGTGTTAGTCCCGCGAAGGAGATGGGAATCCGGACTGTCATGAGCTCGGCGATGCTTCCTCGGACATTCATTCCTGTGAAGAAGTTGTTTGCCAGTGACCAGCATATGATCAAACTTAAGAGTTTGATAGCCAGACCATGCATTCAGATCGCATTCTTGAGGCTGGCTCGCACCTCTACTGAGGTGTTCAACATCTTGGGCCCGCTGACGAACCCGGCAAGACCTGATGGAATGGTTTGTGGTCCCGGCCTGAGTGATGTCGAAAAGTCATGATTCTGCACAGTACGAGCGTTACTCCATTGGCACTGTCTGCGTGGCCAATTGGCAGGGCCGGCAGGGCCGTGCCGAATTCACAATCAACAGTACGAGTACCACCCCAGAAGACATGGAGAGGGTTTGCAGAGACATTCTGTGGGAAGGTGTTTTTGACGGTCCTAAGGTGTCTTCACTGCATCTCTCGGACGTTCCTTCGCTGAGGTCTTCAAGCTGCTAGGCGATCGGCATTTGGAACGGTAGCCCCAAACATGTGCTGCAGACCTTACTTGGAGCAGGAATGAAGCGTGCCCTCGTGGTCCACGGCTGCGAGGGCCTCGACGAGCTCTCCATTGCCGGCCCGTCCAAGGCCGCCGGCCTATGCTTCTGTGCAGAATCAAGAACGGGCAGCACATTCTTCGCACAGATCCAGTTTATGCTAAGAAGGACCTTGCTCTATCTAATACTAATGGCATGGGAACTGCAAAATGAAGAATTCTGACCGAACAAAAGACTCACAACCATGTACAGCTCTTTCAACACCCTCATGTCCCAGGTCAGAGCGAAGTCTCACAGGCAGCACACAAGCAGTGTGAATTTACGAAGAAAGACGACGACCACACGATTCTGTCAAACTACTAAACCAAGTTCTGCAAAATTGATCTAGGTGTGGCGAAGCCCCAAGTGCCGATTGATGCCTAATGCTGACTACACACCTGTCCTCCCTTTGTGCCGAGGAGGTTTCGTCTATTTTGCAGGCCCTGAAAAGCCTCCGTGGTATTAGTATTAATATTAATATTAGTATTAGTATTAGCATTAGTATTAGTATTAGTATTAGTATTATTATTAATATTAGTATTAGTATTAGTATTAGTATTAGTCCCGAGCCTTTGGAGGCCCAGAGCCGCGCCCCAGAGCCGAAGGCAAGCCCTGGTAAAGACTCCCCCGAAGGCTGAAAGGGTAATAATAGTAATAATAGTAATAATAGTAATAATAGTAATAATAGTAATAATAGTAATAATAGTAATAATAGTAATAATAGTAATAATAGTAATAATAGTAATAATAGTAATAATAGTAATAATAGTAATAATAGTAATAATAGTAATAGTATTAATAGTAATAGTACTAATAGTAATAATAGCTAAAATCGCTACTCACCCCCCCGCTGCCTCAAATGGCTGTGCCGCCCGCCGAAGTTGCGTGACACCGATGAGTTCACGCTGCTTTTCCTTGTTGGATATCCATGCAGTATTCCAAAAGATGCTGTCCCGATGCAATGCTTTCAGGTCTGGGAATTGAAGGAGACCGGTGAGATCTCTGAGTACGAAGCCTGTCCCACAGTGCTCTCGGAACTCCAATGCACCATCTTCACACCCATAATACGCCGAAACTGCCAGACTGGGCCAGCATCAGGTTCGTCCTGAAGACTTCGGCGTCGCTGCACATCCGTTGTCTGAGGCAAGCTCCTTCGGATTGCCTTGGTCTTGTGCATTGATATTGGGCTCACTCTGGTCCAGTGTGAAACCCGAGATCATGCCTAGCAAAGCAAGCCTGGCAACCTGGTCTTCACGGTTCTCCTTGTAGGTGGCAGGCAACAGCCCCGAGGAGAACGCAGTGGAGATGCGTGAGCTCCTTGCAGGAAGGCCTGCAACGGAGCTGAAAGCCGAGTGCCTGAGCGTTGCCTTGCCCGGATATGTGCTCGGCAGGGGTCGCTTGGCAGTGCGCGAGATGGTGCTGATGAATGCCAGCGCTGCTCTGTACGTTGCGGGAAAGGCCATCGCGCCTGCGCCCCGTCACTTGGCACCTGTGCCTCCGGGATGGAAGGTTCCGAACTTCAAGGAGGGCACGGCAGCGGCCAAGGCCTACCATGACAGCTTCGAGCAGGGACACGGCAGGAGTCATCAAGCCCCGAATGACGCAGGCAGCACTGGAGAATGGTGCAGCTGTGAAGACACTGGATGCTTATGTCGCGGCATCCAAAGGCGCCTCTGCAATGGCTAAATGGCGGTCAGCATAACTCTCTGCTCGACTCTCTGTGAAGTTTCTCAACTCTGCCAGATAGAGCGTCAGCCTAGCACGGCATGGCTTGGATCAAATGTCACGAGTGTAGTTTGCACAGGCAGCTGAGACAAGCAAACTGATGTGACAGGGCACGGTCTGTCATCCGAGCAGCTGGCAAATGCCAGCACATTAACCTGAGATTTTCCTATCGACCATGGCAGATGGATCGCATCTTGCCATGCCTGGGGCATTGATTCTAAAAGTTCATGGCGTTAGTCGACGCCTTGTTCGTGCTGAGTTGGATTCGCAATAGACTTCACGTCATTTTTTTTAATGTCCGCTTGACTGGGCTTGCTGATCTTCTTCGTGATTGGCTTGCGCCCCTGCTTCTAGATCGCATTCTTTGCACACGCTGCCTTGTCCGGCACGTGCGGCTCCAGCGTAGAGATGGCTACGAACAATTACTGTCATGAGTTGCTACAACTGAACATCTTCAGCAGTATCTGAGAGCATGTCCGAAGCACACCAAAAGCAATCGTCCAAGCCCGATCAAGCCCGTTACATTCTGCACAGCGTGTGCTTCCGCTGTGCCTAGCCACGAGCCAAGAGATCAGAATGCCAGGAGTGTGTGGGAGACCAGCAAAACAGCTGAGGCTGCATGCTCCAATCTGCAGCAAGTTTCTTAGCCGCGGCCTTGGTTTCGAGAGCCCACACGTTAATGAACGAACACCTATGCATCCCTTACTGAAATTTCAGCTTGATGCGATGCGAGTAGTGACTGAAACGTCGCCCAATCCAAACTAGGCGGGGTATGCCTTCCGTGCACAATGTGGCTCCTTCCCCTGTGCAGCCACGGCCTGAGACCGTCTTCACGGTTCCCCGAGCCCGCAAGCGGTGACAGTGACAAGGCCAGCTGCAAAGGTGCCGCCAACACTCGGCCGTGAGCCTGGCCCGAGTTGAGGAGAGGTCCAGGAAACAAAGCCGAGGATTGAGGACTTCAGCTTGAGGAGAAGAAGCCGCCTACCAGGGCTTGTCTTGGCGTCTTGCCAGGTTCAAGCTGAGCATTGTCATTCACAGCGCGGCTGTGGAGAAGATTGGAGGGCCCGGGCTGGTGCAGGCACGGCTGCAGAGCCTGGATCGCTTCTCCTCGTGCTTCAGTGCAGGATCAGCGGCCCTATGTCAGCATACGCATCAATGACAAGCTTAAGGCCAAAGTGAGGTGGTTCATGCAGAAATCGATGGCCTGCAGTGGAGTGCAGGAGACAGAGCTGGGAGACTGGAGCTCTGAAAAGGAGCAGTGGTGTTTCCGAGAGGCGCGGGGGCAGATTGCTGGCCTTGCTCTGCTCTTAACGCTTGTCACCGCCTGGAAGGTCATCACCCTTGAGGTAGTGCCCACAGATGAAGTCTTTGTGGCTGCTCTGCTACATTAGGGTGGCAGTTTCGGCTAGTCGGGTTCGATGCAGATGGAGGCTTTTACAAACGTGGCACTGCACCTTGAGGCAGTTTCCAGCAGCACCAAATATGATTTCTGGTTGGCATCAGTGCAGCTGACCAGCACCAAGATCGGCGAGGCAAGTGCGCTCGTGCTAGTAATAGTGCTTACCTAGGACCCGGACCTAGCAAACAACGTGCTGACAGCGGCCTGCCTGCTGTCCCCAAATCACTTGCAGGCTTGCTTCCCCGTCTTCTCAGTCATTCCACGACTCAGACAGGAGGATGCCCGCGCCTGTAGCAACATTTTTCTGGTCAGGAAGGCCTCTTGTTTGTTCTGATCTGTCTGATGCATGTATGATAGTTGTGACCGTTGAAGGACCGTGACGAAGACGGCATGGTGTGGTCCTCTCCCATCATTCCGTTCGATGTAAGGCATCCTGCAGATTGGACTGCTGAGCATCTGTGGATGTGACCTCTTTCGACCACACAAATTCTGGAGCCTGAGTGTAGTCCCGGCCAGGGATGACGGCACCACCACTGCTCGCACCTACCTCTCCTTCGAGACCACACAGGTCATCCAGGGGATGCCACAGCTGCACTGTTCACAGGATTGTCGTGGACTCGCCCTGCTAGCTGCAACAAACTTTGCCCATTGTGTCTCCATGAAGAGACATACTGCCTTGCTTGCAGGCGCCTGGAAACAACCCTCGGAGCCACAAGATTTCCGAAGGATGCTGCCAGATGTCACGCAAGGCTCGGAAGCTCCAAACCAGATGCGGAGTCTTGCCCCAGTGTCTACAGTGCCACCCGGCCAGTGGGATGCCGATGACGACGACGGCCCCTACGACAGCAGCCCGAGCACTCGAGAGAGCGACTAGCTCTCACAGCCTGACTCTGAATAGTTTCTGAACCCCAAAGACGGGCTGCAAATGTGAGAATTTGTCTGGCTTGTAAGTGCACGTGCCCTGCGATCCTGCACACACGAGCCCATGGACTGTGTGTTGCACAGTATTCGTGACAGAGGCTTCTTTACTTGTTGATACGAGGGTTCCCACGCTCTGTGCGGATATCGCATAGAATTGGCCGCGTGTAGGCTTGATGATTCATGTACAGAGGTTCAGAAGGCAGTGCTACTCTCCGAGGCATTCTGAAGGTTTGCGAGGCATCGGGTCACAAACAACACCGAGTAAGCTGTTCTGTTCATTCTGTTCGTACAGGTTGGTACAATAAACTGGTGGCGGATTTCTGTTCGTGCCTAGATGGTCCTGCTATCTGTTTCCGGTTCTCAGCAGCTCATGAATATGGTTTGCTGCAGACACATGCCTTGTGGTTTGTGTTGCTGCATCCCCATGCGCCGGTGCGATTCCAACTAAAGGCTTGCCGAACACTCACTGCACTCGCAATCAATAGCAGAGCCCTACATGCGGCTGCAGGAGCAGAAAGTAGCAAAAGCACTCGAAGCAAGCTCAAACTTCAGACAATCAGTGAGAGGCTGACACAGCAAAGTCATTCCCATTCGTGCCGTGCCGAAGCTGTGGGCATACGATAGGCAAGACATGCAGACGGAGAGTGGCAAGTGGCTGCCTGTGATACTGAGTCCGATTCTGCTTCGCCATGTTTTGCAGACACGTGGTTCTGCAAGAGTCTGAACCGTGTGCGTGCGCGTTAGGTGTGACGCTTACCTCTGCCCGCGCCGAAAGTGGGAACTCGGAACAAGTGAGCGGACACATGCTTTCGATGTCAGAGAGCATGCTCAGAATGTACATCGGTGCCAAATCATAGCCATTTTGGCCGCAAGCCTCATGCACACAACAGCATGATTCGCATGACACAGATTCTTCGCTGGCCAAGGTTTGCTGATAAGAAGGTCTCCGGAATGCTACCGATATTTTCGGCTGCCTTTAAGTAAACACGACGTGCCACGGGCAAGCCGGTCCCGGCATCTGGTTCAAGGCCAGGGCTCGTTACAAACCGCGAATGGTGCAGATCGCATCCCTAAGTTTCGTTCGCTGCACGCTGCCAGTGTCAGATTTGTGTTTTGCTTGCCATTCCCCTTCGACCAGATCATCATGCATCGCGCCTTGTGGAGCTTGTTCTGCAACACATCATCTCATGCATGTGCCGCTGCTCAAAGGCCCAATCCCAAGCCCTAGCCGGAGGCGGTACAGCAGACAGCCTGAAATTTACACTGCGGTCGTGGCAGGAGCGGGCAGGTGATGCAAGAGACTTACTTCGCCGACAGAGTGTGGAAGAGTTTTGCAATAGGGACGACTTGGTTCGGGACCCTGCTTTGTTTTACTTTCGCATTCCACCGTCTGTCGTGTCGGCAGTGGGAGTGGCACTAAGGCATGATGCACACGCCCCCGGCCACTCTCCCCTCCGCAACATCTACCAAGGCAGGCCAGCATGGTTCCTGAGCATGTGGCTAGCATGCGGGATCCAGCCCAGCGGTCTGGGACAGCGAAGCAACTTGTTGCATGAGATGACAGCTGCATTGGCTGAGAGCACACCAGTACGGTCTCGTGTACTGCCCACAAGTCGTCAACGGGTACTGTATGCAAGAAGCACGGCACACATGGGATTTATTCCCAGGCTGAGTTCCAAAGTTTATGATGATGGAATAAAGCCATTCGGACAGGGATGTTGCACACACAAAGAGTGCACGAGCATCAGAATATCAGGGCAGAGCATTTCCGCACAAACGGGCGAGTCTAAGAAAGCAGACTGTTGTTTTAAAGTTGCCGGTACATATGTAAAACATGGACTATCGAAATTGCCAGGGTGAAGAGGTTACAGCGGAAGGACCGTCAGCGGTGCTCGCAATATGATACATGGTGCTATGTGACAGGCATAGGGATAGATACAGAAAGATTGGCCATAATCCATAATCTGTGGCATTGCATGCAATATCCAGCACAGATGTCAACAGTAAGGGTCATATTCGATACCTGTATCGGTAGTGCTTATGATCACCAGCAAGTGAAAGTTCGTGAATTTGCTGACTGTTACGTTGCAGCTCCAGCATCAGGGCCTAGCCAAGCAGGGTCGTTATGTCACACAAAGATAGCAGGGAAATGGCCCGTGCAAATCTGCAACGTGAAAGAATGAACACTTAGAATCAGCTATAACTATTGGGACAGCTGTATCTTCTTTTATCTCTCGCCCTCCCTCTGTTTGTCTCTCCTCTCTCTGCTTCGGTACCTGTTCGCGCCTTATCAAGCCATACCAACAGACTAGAACTGCGAAATGCCGACATGACATGCCAATGGGCAGGTACCATGACATTGAGTACCTGCTGAGTAGCTGACGGAGAGCCAGATGCATACATATGTAGATAAAGTTGAAGTTTTTTATTGCTTTTGTATATGCACACATGTCGGCTGTTTACATGTCGTGTTCATGCATTTGCATGCAGAACGGTGTTACCTGGACAAACAAGCAGCAAGCGCCGCATCGGTTCGGACATCATGCCACGAGAGCCCGTGTAAGCAGTAGTACTGCGAAGGAATTTCGGAACAGCCCCCTGGTTCGGTGGAACAGAGCCCGGGCTCAGGAAAGGTTTGGAGTTAGAGGGAGCAGGTTACCTAATCCGATGCTTGCACCATGGAGCAGCGCGATAGGAGACGGACCAAACAATGCATGTGAGGATGAACAGACTGGATAGGATACCCTTTTACTAGGGTGCTGCATCAGTGAACACCCATCGTCGACGAGCCGCAAACACAGGAGCATCTGATCTAACATGCGGTAGTATCATGATAAGCTACCAGGAGTACCAGTATCACAGTACCACGGTATGTCCCCAACATAACCGTATCATGACGTGTAAACTGACAAAACGGAGAACGAACTAGATTAGTACACCAGATTGTATATGCTAACATCCGACATATTAAGCGGACCGTCAGAAACAGTCATTGCCCTTGCAATTCGCAGAAACCTGTTTGCCCGAGACTCCGAGAATAAGAATGGGACTCGAGCCCGTGTAGTAGTTTTTGGGTGAGTTTGTTGCCTCCTTTTGTTGGTCTTGCTGTGGAGCCCCAGTCCGCTAGAAGCCATCCCGGCATGTCCGCCTCAACTCTTGCTTTGGCCGCGGCCGCGAAGAGTTGTTTGGATCGGAATCGTTCGTAAGGTTTATCGGCATGTGGGATTCTAAACTGTCGCTGAATCAAGACGCCTTGAAGGGTCGATCCTGTCGTGACTGGCAGGTTTCAAGACCTTCCGCTGGCAGACAACATACGTGAGCGACTTCTGCGCAGACCTGAAGGACTTAGCCTCAATGTCTGCCAGAGATTTGTTGGGTTGCTCGCACGGAAGAAACAGCTGCTTCTGCAAGGACTTGATGCCGTCGGAGCGAACTCCTGTGCCCATACCGGGAGCAGTGCCTAGGCGGCAGTCAGGAGTAAACCTGACAGAATCAGCAGACAGCCCTCGACGGGCAGACTTCTAGCCCAGCACAGATTCCCCACGCATTGCAGAACTATTGATTCCACGGAGACTGTCGAGCCCCCAAAGACCTCCTTGCTGTGACATGCATCGGAACTTTCAGTCTGCGTCCTGTACTCGCCAATAGTGAAGCGGATGTAGCCTTCATCAATGTTCAATACACATTTCATGTCCAATCATTAGTACGCTCTTGCACCCACGGCTAGCAACAAGTGATTCTATAGGGGCTGCGCGAAAACCTCAGATGCGATTTCTTTGGCGAGGGGTTGTGGGCAGGCGTCTTGGCTGAGGCTTTGAGCCTTCCTCATTAGGGTTTCAGTCCTAGAAATCCGGACTCAAGACAACCCTCCCTTTGGTTCTCAAGCCGTGCAGCGCAGTGAAGTCCAAGCGCTGCCATCCAGAGGTCCAGGAGTTTCGCGGAGAGGAATTGCCGTTGTCTGTACTGAGGCTGATCCATCCTCCACATCGCGGAACCGGAAGTTCAAGGTGCCCTGCGGGGGCAGTGGACACGTTGTGTTTCTTCTGAGCTAAGCTGGACATCAAGCAGAGGCGCAGAAGATGTGAAGGGTGTCAAGCTTAAGTCACCGTCGCTTGGATCAGACTTGAGGCCAAAGTGCCGACAACACCACCGCCCGGAGGGCGTCTGCGTGCACTAGGCGGGGCAGGATCTCCCTGTCGCTGCACTGGAGATGAATGAAGCCTTCCGGGGCTTTGCCTTTATCCGTTCATCCGGAGCTGCCCAGGTGGCAACTTACAGTGCCCGGACGCCCGCATGCAGTTCAAGGAAACTTCATGCACGTTTTTTGCGGGTTGATGCCAGTATTGGCGTTGAGATCGCAAGATGCACAGACCATGCAAACAGCGAACGTGTTGGCAGGAGCGGATGCTGCCAGCTGAGCCAACGGAAAGACGCAGTTGGCGCAAGGCACCTTTCCTCTCTGGGCTGAGTGTCGACACTTCTGGCCTCAGCAGACATCTTCAGCAGCGGGAAGATTTCTTGTTGCGTCACTATATACCTCACATCCCAGAGAGCCTGTGCCTCGCCATGTCACAGTGCTAATCCCTGCAGTTCAACGGATTCAGCTTGACAGGAGTATGCTTGTGGCCTTCGATCGCCGCGAGCCCGCTACAGCGCAACGAAGGACTGCAACTGAACATGTTAGACAGATTCAGTCACAGTGCAGTTTTGGTTATGTTTGCGCATTTGTGTCAAGATCATGGCAGCTGCAGTTGACGGCGGTAGATCTCCTGTTTAGTTCGTTCTCTCGTCTACACAGTCTCGTCATCTCCATCTTCACAAGGACTGCGGTGCTGCAGTAGTGGTGCTTTCCCTGCCTCTCTGTCTGTTGTATCCACAATTTGAATGCCAGAGCAGATGCATGTATTGTAACCGCGACGGTCTGGGAAAGAACTTGTTCCTGTTCTTCCCACGAAGCCTGCCTGAGCCAGTCTCGCCTTACCAAGCCATGGGCCCATCAGCATGGCAGCATTGACTGGGCACTGGCGCCACCCATAGTCCTAGCCTTACCCTGATCACGCGGGCATACAGTGTGTGCAGGACTGGGAGAAAAAGCCCCAGGAAATGATTCTTCGGGGTCCCATTGTACTGGGCGAGATCGGCCACAGACGTTCCATCTCAGTTGGGAGATGAGAGCACGCCTCGAGCAGCCGGGAGTGTGGGGAAGCAGGCATGCCAGAGACCTACCACAAATGCGAGAGCGCGAATGATTGTGAAGCTGCCTGTCCTGAGCATGGTGTTAACACGATGTGTGTTCACCCGAACATCTTGTATTGAAGCCACTCTCCCGGCTGCCGGGCGAACAGGGTGCACTGGCTGCTCACACGCGAGGGTGTGTGCGGGCCAGTCGAGTAGGCGCAGTGATGCACAGTGGTAGGCTCGGGTATGAGCATCTCGCCGGCTCATTTCAACGTGCACCAACGTTGGCACGGCATAGCCATGAAAAGACAAGCCAGGCAGATGTGTCACCAGGTCTGGTAAGCATGTGTCGCTTCTCACACTTTCGGCCCGGCTGATGACCATCCTCGAATACGGTTAGCACGTGGCACCATGCTGAGCATGAGAGTCGCGTTTATTGCTGAGTACGGTCTGAGAAGCCTTACTGCAGGCGCCCCGCAGCTTTAGAAATATGGCTCAGGACTTAGTTTCGAGACTGGGCCACGTGGGTTGGGCGCATCTGCAACCTAGAATCGGGTTCCAGACTCCAGACTCTCCTCTATGCGAAGGGAGTTGCCCTTCGACAGACTGCTTTTCAAGTATTTTAGCCTGTGCCGAAACATCTAAGTAAGGTAAGCTTGCAGCACTGAGCAACATGACAAGAGCATTTGGGAACCAGATATTCCCCTGACTTGAATGTGAACATGCCAGACTTGTTGGGTTCCCAAACTGAACAGTTAGGCAGAGGCTTGAGTGATTTCCAGCCGAAGGCTGGCTTTAGCGGCCGAAAAGCCACAATTTTCAAGCCGCCAAGGCATAAAAGGCACGCGTGACAATCCGAATTTCCAGAGATTTGTATACGTGCACGAGGAACCTGCGCATGTCATGTCTTTACGCCTGCATGTGCCTGGCTTTGTGGTCTAGCGTTACAGGCAGCTGTTCAGAGTTTCAGCCATACTAGCCGCAACACATCACCATGATTCAAGAACGTGCAATGGGTTGTGGTGAAGCATCCCAGACGTCATTGTCAACGGCATTCCATGGCTTCTATTCTACCTGCGGCATGTAAGCCACGGCCACGGCAGCGATGATTGCGGAGCTGCAGTCGACGCTCTTGGACGCACTCTTGCAGCTCGTTGGTGTCAACAGGTAGCGTCTGCGCTCGTGGGATTCAGCACCATGCCCACCTGCACGTGCACCAGCTTGCATGATGAGCAGGCGCATGCTCAAGGATGCGCCCCGCCGCTTGGACTGCCATGACAGGATACCATGTTTGCTACTGCTTGAGTTCACACATTGACCCAATGCTTGATGCGCTGTAGCGGGCTTTTTGCAGCTGCTGGGAGCCATTAACTAGGATTCGAACCACATTGCATCACCTCAGCATCTCTGTCGCTGCCACAGGTGTGAGAAAGCAACGCCCTTCAGTGTTTCAATCTGTTTTGTTTTTCCGGACACAGCTTCGGTGCCAGTCGAATTCTTCTGTTCGTTCCTGGGACCAGAAAAGCATTGAAGAAACATTTGAGTGCCCACAGGTTTGGACTGGAAACAAGAATCAAAAGGCGGCTTGCATCAATGCACCTATATCCGGCATATCGGGCGGCAACTTGGAAGTACATCTGCATGCTACCAGCGTGGAAGTGCAAATGCTTCAGCTCGGCAGTATCCATCACGTTGCCGCGTTTGGCTCGACTGCCGAAAAAGGTTTCCTTGTGCAAGCGTAAGTTTTTGCAGGACAATCGCTAAACGCAGTGTGCCCCTGCACACACTGTGCACAGAAAGGCCCAAAACCAGCTTTAGCACTCCACTCTCTTTTGGCCGGGCAAAGCACCTGCAATTTCGGATGTAGGCTTTAGGGTTTAGGGCTTCTGGCTTCAGTCTGCTACAGGTTTCGGTTTAGGTCCTGGGCTTCAATTTCGGGTTAAGTGTTTTCGGTTTTCCTTTGTAGGGCTTCTTTTGGGGGTTCGGGATTCGGGGCTGAGGGCTCCCAGTCTAGGAGTAAGGATTTGGTCAGGCTTTTTGGACAATTAACACCAAGATCCGCTGCGTTGGTGTACTTCCGACCAACATCCCCAATGGTGCACATTGGCATGTTGCCGAAGCATGCACTGTTTTGCTGCACGTGGATTCGTCACCACTGTTCCCCAGCATGCTGACAAGCTGGTATTCCACTGTATTCATGCAAATCCTCTATGACCCTTGACCCTCCGTGGGATCCTTGCCGCAGTGTTAGGCCGATCAGATCCCGCGAGAAGTAGCGTGCAGATTCCTGGTCTGGAACCGAACGAGCCTGGAAGACAACCTTTCAGACTCCACAGCAAGAAATCAAACACAAGCAGTCAGGACTTAATTGGCTGGCGACATAAGCCAAAGGCATGGACACGTGCATGCATACCTGCCCATTGCAGCTACACATCTTCCTTGGTGTGGGTTTGACATGCTTGCTCCTGGCTGGATGCTGAGGAAACACGAAGCTGGCCCTGGCCGCAGGTGCTGCGCCGTGGCCTTGGAAGGGGGTAGGGAATTCCGAAAGAAGTTCAAAATAGCCGCAATTTACACCTGTCTTTGTTTTGTATTTGTTCCATGACGCTTGAACGCGTGTGAAGCTTTTTGTGCATAGACGTAGGTATGTATATTTGTACGTATGGCATGTATGTATGCATATAGGCAGGTACATACGTAGGTATGTATGTATGCATGTATGATATCTTATACCTCATTATGTAGATTCCATGCATACGTATATATTTATATATATATGTATAAATGTACCAATCGAGATGACAGACCATCGTCAGCGAGCAATGCAGAGGCCAGCAGCAATATGCAAATGCGTGCTTGGCCCGCACACTCTTTGAACTTCGGGTTGCCAAGATTCCCAGCCGCAGCAGACGTGGTTTTGCTCTTGCACTCCCTTCGAACACTGCCACCCCACAGATGATTGATGCAGATGCACACAGGAGGGGAACCCCCTGCGCAGTGCACACGCTTTGTCTCGACCCTGCAAGATCGGCACTAGTTGCGACCAACTTTCTGCAACTTCTGCAAGCGAAATTCGCAGCAACTGTCAACATTTCGCAAAGACAGTGGGTTGCCTCTACTTCGACAATGAGCAGATTACTCTGGGAGGAAAGCTGGTCGGTATACACCGGCCCCAAAATGCCAATCCCTGCCGGACAGTTTTCGCTTGTACATAATTTTGCCAAGATCGAGTGATTCGCAGTGTTATGCGTCAGTAGATCCGTTTGACTTGTCGGTCCACTTCTTTGCTACGTTTCCTTCCCGTAGCTTCGTGGCCCTCTTCTCAAGGTTTGGTTTCACGGTAAGACAACAATGTCAAGAGATACCTTTGCCGCTCAAGTCTAGCACGTGGCACAGAAATGCGGGTGGCACGTGCACACAGACGACTTACAAGTATGCGAGCCCAGGAGCCCCGGCTACGGCTGGCTAGAGCGTGTACTAGTCTAAGCGACTGCCAGCCAGCTTGCAATCAGCACTGTCACAGACGATGGCTATGCGGTGCGCTCTAAAACAGCCTCTTGTGAGTGTTCACAATCCTGGGTTTATTGTAGACTTCGCCTGGGGAGTTTATGGCACGTGCAAGCGCAAGATGTCGAAGCTCCTCTTTGCATAGTTTTTCTGCTCAACGTAGTTTTTTTTTTTGTAAGACTGTTTCATGTTGAGAGTTTTTCCTGAGAATGTATTTGTGGCTCGGGTCTACGTCAAGTGTGTATGGTACCGTGAAAGTTTGCTCGTTCCCGTTTCTGAAGTCCCACTTTAAACTTGCACACTTTCCATTTTCCCGTACGATCGTCCCGCAGCGCAATGGTGCTGTAATGATGATCGTACCTTAAGCTTGTCTCGGCCTTTCGTAATGAAATCATTCTAGGTTTTCAGATGTCCGGGATGATATAGGTATGCATGTGCAAGTGTGTGTGTGTGTGTGTGTGTGTATGTGGTTGTATATGTATACATACCTCCACAAACGGAAGTCCAGCCGTACAAACGGTGTTGGAGTCGTCCTGGGCCAACAAGCATACATTTCTGCATTGACAAGGATGGTGCTTCTCCTCGCCTCGGTGATGCTGGCGGTGCGGTCCCTGGCGGACACAATCTGTGGGCTGTTGCCTAGGACCTTCTCTAGGAGCTCTCACCGCATTTTGTTTCCGCCAGTCCTTCGCTACTTGCCGTCTTATCCAACGGCCTTTTCTTTTCCCCCTGGAGGCCCTAGAGATCATGTATCTTGTGCAGGTGATGACTGGGGTCATGCTGCACACCTTCAGATCTGTGGCCGTGACGTCAGTAGCCCAGCCCAGCAGCCCAAGCCGCTGTCACAGCGCATGCACTTATCTGCACAGCGCCAACGCAAGAAAGCTCAAGGTCTTCGGGAGTCCTGGCCGCGCCGGCAGACGAGTCGGCCTTGCTAGGCCAGGGCTTCCAGAAGCGATTCGAGAAGATGCGAATAAGCGCCTGCAGCGCCAGCGCTTAGCTCCGGTCGAGCATTTGAGTGTCTCAAAGGCATTGGGGAGGCCGTCGACCTCTGTGGCCTCGTGGATTACCCAAAGCTGCCAGCACAGGACCTTGGGGATTCTTTTTGTTGCTCGCCCAGCATTGGCCCTTTGCATGAGGACCTGCGTCGAATCCAGGATGTGGCTTTCTCTCTGGATGGGACGCACGAGGCTCAGCATCAGGTGTCTGCGGCAGGTACAACTCGACGGAGTGTACGGGTGATCTGTGCAAAGATCGCAGGGATCATTGAGATACTGGCTTGACTCAAAGGGTTAGACTTCCCGTACCTCTGATGGTCTCATGCAGAAGCAAAAGCATCCAGCAAGCTGCTGCCAGCTCAGACCTGCCCTTCCCGTGCGTAGCTGTGGATCATGCCGCCACGTGTGCAGCCTAAGCGAAAAGCTGCCGCGAAAGCCGCGGCAAAGGCCTCGCGATGCGATGTGAACTAGACGGCCCCCTGAAGTTTGTGATGCCCATCGCATGGTATGTGAGAAAAGTGAGCAAAGTTGGCTGGAAACTTATCGCTGTAGAGTTGTTGGGCAGGCAGAGCCAGAGGAAGCTGAGGAGGAGCCGGAGGCTGGCAGGGAGAGGGAGAGGGCAGTCTTTCCGGGGCTTGCCAGGGCACAGTGGCACGGCTGAGGAGCCTGAGGCTGAGGAGGAAGATGCAGAGGAAGACGACGAGCCTGAAGAGCCTCCAGCCAAGAAGGCAGCGCCCGCTTGCAGCTCGACTGCTGCACCCTTGGTTCCGTGCTGGCCCGAGGCGAAGGCGCTTCCAACTCGTGGTGCTGTCGTTGCGAAGGTGGGTAGCCCAGGTTCGGGTCAACACGCTTTGGTGCGAAGGGTTTCGGGATGCGCCCTGCCCGGTGGACCAAGGCCAAGGCCAAAGCCAAGGCAAAGGCCAAAGGCAAGGCCAAGGCGAAGGCCAAGGCCCAGACGAGTCTGTTGGAGCCTGCTGGGCGCAGCTTCCGGGAAGATCCGGAAAGTGCAAGGCTCTTCCTGGCCGCGGTGGCGTGATCAAGGCGGCGACCAAGGCTGCAGCCAAGGCAATCTTCTTGCGCGCCTTGTGGTGGAGCACGACTGTAGAGTCGCTGATCCGAATGTTCAGGCAGTTGCAGCGAAAGAATTTGCAGCTGTCTCATCCAAGCTGAAGAAATCCAAGAGCAAGGACGGATAGGTTCCACGGTGTGTTACATGAGGAAGCACTGCCAATGCATAGCTGCGCTAGCATGGCCGGGCAGCCGCGGTGTGCTTTCGCTTGTGTAGGAGACAGTGGCCGGGGAAGGCAAGTGGTATTACATGAGCGACCTGCGCAAGATGAAGGTTGGCGCAGACGATGCGAAGGCTGTCCATTCTTTGGCTGAGTCTGAGGGATGCTCGCTGCGCGATTTTATGTGCGATTTGCTGTAGGCCTGGACGGCCTACAACGCGAAGATGAACAAGCAGTTGGAGACGGCGTATAGCAAGGGCTTCAAGCAGTACACCATGACTCTGGGAGACAAGCAATACATCGTCAAGTGCGGGACCCGGCCCCAACTTCGCGCTAGCCTTTCGGCCTTCTTCTCTTGTAGCATGTCAGGTTCAACACCATGATGCAGTTTCGTGCCGACGACAAGAGCCTCCAACGACCAGTGAAGCGTGAGTGAGCAGCCGCAGTTGCGGAATTATTTGAGAGACAGCTAGGACGTGGCCTCTGCGCCTGCGATGTGCAGTGTTTCGTGATCAGGCTGTTGAGGCCGGGTGCTGCGGGAACCTGCAGCGGCCCGTGTTTTGAAACCATCCGGATGCTAGCATCATCGGTCAGTCGCAGAAATGGGGCTTCCGTGCGGACATGTGCGGACCGTTTGAACTCAGCCGTGACGGGAACGGCAGTCTGCGAGTGAACCTTCTGCTCTCAGAGTCTCAAGACTTAGAAGAGCGCCCAACTGCAGCAACTGAAGCTTTCAGTGCCACAGCTCAAGTGCCGTGCTGAGGTTCCATTTCTATCGTGTCGCCAGCATCCATCAGACGAAAGGCACCGGAGCCGGGAAGAGTTGGCCAGCGATTCTCGGGACATGTATGCTACTTGTGGCCAGCTGCCAGCAGTGTGTCCGGACGCTTATACTGCGTGTGAGCTTAAGAGTAAGTTTGACGAACGCTGCAGCGCCGCCCAGTACGCCGAATCGGGCTCTTTCCTCACGTTTCGGCTCTAAGGCAACACAGAACGCAGGTGCCCAGGAAGCAGGCAAGATATGCGAGGCAATCGTGCCTTTGAACCGTGTAGTGGCCTTCAACTCGAGCGGACAATGACACAAAGAGACAAAGGCACAAAGCAGAGACATCTTTGTGGCTTCGTCAAAAACGCATGCAGCAGCGACACTTCCAGACAATTATCAGGGTTGCAGGCGGCCTGGTGGGGAGCTGCCATGGAGGAGCTTCCATGCAGCAACGATCTCGTCGCCGTTCAGAAAGGCCAGGTCAAGTCTCAGCCGTGATGGCTTCCTGAGACTGCTTGACCGTGAGCGTAGCTGGTTTTGATGGAAAATTCTGCTGTTGTGGTCATAGAACAAGTCTATCGCTGCAGCGAGCGTACTCCGGTACCAAGCTTGCGACAGGTGCAAACCCTGGGAGCATGAAGAAAGCGCCGCCAGGCCGCCTTAAACGTGACGACGTGTCACGACGTACTGTCTCGGAACACGCTGTTTGACATTGACTCTGCATCCTTAAGTGCAGTGCTGCCCAGTGCAGCAACTTCCAAGGTTGGAGCTGCTGAAGCGGCGCGCAGTAAAGATCACGGGCAGGTGCCTTGCCAAAGACCAACAGAAAGGTGATGAGGGCTGCACACACTCGTCACTCGTTTTTGCACCCTCGGCGACAGGTCCCTAGATGGTGGAGTGGCCGCAGAGGTTCAGAGTGTGCCTTGGTCTGGGAAAAGATATCAGACAGATCTTGAGACTTGACCATTGAGACCCGGATGTTTCATGCACTGACTGCAATTCGAGGAGCAAGGCGGGAAAGCCTACACGGTGCGGCTGGGGCGCACGGCAGCCGCTGGAGCAGGGGAGGTGTTCTCTTTTGCCCGATCTTGCTTCTTTCTGGCTCCCTTTCTGGTGCTCTTACCAGTTTGCAGTTGAGATCCGTTGAGCTAGCCGTCAGTCTCGCGCTTTCAAGTCAAAGGGTTGCAATATACCTTCCAGCCGCAACAACAGAAAGGTGGATGCTCGCTGCGGCTGCGTGGACTTCAGAACGCGAGGGGGACTCTGCAAACACGGCGCGGCCGCTGCCTTGTTCCTCTTTCAAGCAGGCCACGAACTTCCTGAGTTGGCCGCTCGGCAAAGTCGGCATCTCGAGAAAGCGAGGTAATGGCACGAAGATGCCTGGGGTTGAGTGCTACTTGTACCACTGTTGCATCTCAGGCCGCCCAAGCCTCAGCGCCCGTGAAGCGGCCCCGGTCGGAGCGACCACCGGCAACACCCACGCGCAACAAACTCTTCGAACCCGGCTCTGTCAGCTCTCCCGAGGAGGCACGACACGAAGATAAGTCTAGCAACCTAAACTTGGTCCTGTGAGCGCACCTTCTGCACGCGTCCCGTCCTAGGGCTTTCACAGGGCTCGTACTGAACTTCGCCAAAAAGCCGATGATCTCTGGGTGAAAGTGTCGCCTGCCCTGCAGGTGGACGAAGCCCTGCCGGCTCTGAAGAGGCCGACCTTTTTAAGAGTAGCGAGCACGATCGCGTCTTAGAGCAACTCTTAGGCAGTTTAGGTGTTTCCTATGTGCGTGGACAGCAAACGTATAATATACGTACATAGACATAAACTCGAGGTCGTCTGCAGAAGTTGAGGGTCCCAAGTCTTCCGAGGTCTTAGGCGGTGTTTCTTCTTGCATCGCCGTGTTTCATTGAGACGTTTCCAAAGCCTGTACTTTCAGTTCCCCAGCGGGAACTGTACTTTCAGTTCCGCAGTGGGCACCGTACGTCTGCTGTATGCTTCGTTGCAGCCTCGACTCCTGTTCGAGAAGATGGAAGACGGCTCATATTTCGTTTGTCCGTTCATGACGTCTTGCGATGATGGGCCATCCATGTTGACAGCATATTGCGTTGCATCAGAACGCATCTGACAAGATGAGATCCCAGTCAGTCACGTTGTATCCTGTCACACGCACACGACGACATAGAGTGGAACGAACAGGATAGATAAGGACATCAAGTGGAACATCTTTGCGATTCACTCCGTCGCTTCTCACCGCATCGCGCGCATGTCCAACGTTGTATGGTTCTGTCTGGAGTCTCAACTGAAACCGGTCTTTGGCACATCTCTGATGTGCCAGTCTACACGATTGTGTTGCACTTTGCTTGAGCGCATGCTACTGAGTATTGTTGAGTGTGATGAGACATGCTGTGGTTGGACATGGAATGTCCGACCAAAGTGCATTCTACCACATGGTCTGGCACTACTGTCATGTGCCATATGGTGCTGTGTCACGTGTGTTTTCCATGATTGTTCGCTGGTGCTCCTGTATTCTGAATGGGCATCACGATTTTACACTGCGATGCGCAAGGTTCCATCGGATTTTCTGACGCGGAAGTCAGAACATCATCTCATCTGATGGACTTGGGTTTCCTGGAAGGCCGCAGTTTCCCCAGCCAAGGGCAGCAGCCTCTGCTGCAGTAAGCCAAATGCAGCGCCACTTGGCCAGATGAAAAAATTGCCTGTGCATTGTGTGTGCAACTGCAACGAACGAAATCTGGCAAGTCAACAGCCCAATCACGCTCCGAATCGCTTTGCAGCTCAGGAGTCTTTTTCCTGCGGCAGCTGCAGACTGCAGCCACAGCAGGCACGGCGTAATTTGAGATGTTTCAGATGTTTGCTGAGCAGTTGGGCTGCCGACAAGATCTTCGCCAGGAAGTGATTCCGACTTTCCTTCCGAGTGATCAGGTGGTGAATGTAGATCTGTAGATCGCATCCCCGTCCCAGGCAACCATGCCGGCTTCTTCAGAGACCTCCAGCGAATCCATGAGCCAATCGGTGAAACCGAAGTCGCCGAGCTGCTGCACAAGGCACAGAATGACTTTTGAGCCTACCTTACCCATCTTCCCTGGTTTGGCACCAGACTGCCGCTACTTCTCCTCCGAGAGTTCCCACATTGCAGGGTGTTGCAAGGCTCTCCAAACTTGGAGTCAAAGCTTCAGCGCACTGCGTCTCATGCCCCAGGCCATCTGGGGCAGCGACGTGGCAGGCGCAGAAAAGGCCGGAGCCTTATATGGTGTCTCTCGAAGCTGTGCACTGAAAAGAAAATGACATGTCATGTTTTCTGGGAGTCTCTACAGAGCGCCATCAGGTGGGCACGATTAGACCAGTGCTTTAAACTCGAGAAAGTAAACAATCCTTTTCCAGCGCAGCAGGTGCACGACGCTTGGATGTCTAGACTGCAGCAGCACAGGGCATTGTGGAAGTGTCGTGCCAAGATCTGCTTGAGGTGGTTGAGGGGCTGCTCGCTGCTCGCCCCGAAGCTGCGGCAGCTGCTCGTGCAGGTGTGACCAACTGAACGGCAATCAGGGGTCGAGATTCTGCCATTCTGCTGGTTCTGACAACTCAGTCTTGACCGGAGGACAAAGGAGTTGGAAGTAGGCAGAAAGAATTGAAAAGGTTCGCTTGCTGAGCTGCACCATGGTCCCAGTATACTTCCTGGAAGAGCCTCGAGGCGCTGGAAGGGCCCCGGGGGCCCACCGAAAAGCGATCAAACCACTAAAGTCTGTGTTTTTCTTGCCTAGGCCTAGGCAGGGAAGGCCAAGACTAGGCCAAGAAGCGCTTTCATCCTGCTACCACCCCCCAGTCGGGGAAGGGGAATTGAGGGGAAGATCGCAAGTCAAGACACCAAAGCCTCGGGCGGATTACTGCAGCTAACCTGCTTAATGCAGGTATCGCTGACGCGCTAGGCCGCACGCCTCTGCACGCAGCTGTGGCAGCCAACAGGCCGTGATGGGACAAGCAGGTGCAGTCGTCGACGTAGTCTAGCAGCAGTGAAAGCAGCAGTAGCAGTAGTCGTCGTCGTCCTCGTCATAGTAGTAGCGGTAGTGGTAGTAGTAGGGGTAGCAGTAGCGGCAGCAGTGGCAGTAGCAGCGGCAACAGTAACAGTAGCAGTAGCAGTAGCACTAGCAGTTGGAGTAGCAGCAGCAACAGCAGCCGCAGCAGCAGTAGCAGCTGCATGTGCACGGTTTCGACAAGGATAGACGTCATGATCAAGTTGACACGAATGCTGTCGACAACTCTCGAAATTCTAGCAACAGCGCAGCTATCTTGGATCCTGGTTTGCAAGCCCTGGAACTCGTCCACCGTCCTGATCGTCCACCCTACAGCAGTGCCGCCGGGGTGCTTGGCGGTGACAACCAGAACAGAAGCCTTCGAAACCACAATGACGCTATCATGCATCAGACAGCTGGCAAACTTATCAGCAGTGGCCCCAAACAGCACGAGCACCAATGGTAACCACAGATGCACTAGCATCAGGATTTGTGTTGGCACTCGCAGTTGTGGATCAGTTCTGGTGGATGCTAGATGGCAGTTGCGGTACTTGGAGGGTTCTGGCCAAGAATTTGTGCGTGATCCCGGTGAAGATCAGAATTCGTCCCTGCAAGGCTCGAAGTTTGCCGCGCACTCCTGTCAGCAAATGCTGATCCTGGGCTGCCGGATGGCCGCTTGCTGCTCCAAATTGATTGAAGAAGACAGCAAGCGTATCATTGCAAGTTAGGGCTTAGGGTGGGCCAGCAGTGGCAGGCTTGGGGCGGGGTGTTCATCGCTCCGCCAGGGCATGGGATCTCGGCTCTGGAGCTGGCAAGCCGAAGGAAGCTGGACACTTCCAAAGGTGCGACAAGCGGGGGACGGGGCCGGGCAGGGCTTCGGGTCATCTGTCGTAGTGTTCGTGTTGCCATCTGTCAGGTAACTGGCGACATGAAGCCGATCCTTTTCATGAGCTCCTGCGAGGAGCTGTGGCCAAGTCGGCTCCAGCCGAAGAAAATGCAACGTAGCCTCGAACGATTGCAAGAGATTGGTCGCAGTACGGATGGGGCGCATTGACACAATCAGCTGCTGTGACTTACTAGTGGCATGATTACAAGCAGTGCTCGCTACTGAGCCGATTCAGTCCTGTTCGCTAGTCTATATGTTCGCGCAGGCTACGAATTCAGAGAATGGGTCAGGTTAGAGATTTGACCGCGGCTGACAGCTGGGTGCGACTTGAAATCGAAACGCTGTGGCAATAGATCTGCTGTTGAAGTCTGCCCGGCTGCCACCATGCTGTGGTTGAATGCTAGACCTGAGGAGCTGAACTGGGGAGAGTGAAAAGCCACGTCAATGGCATAGCATGTTTGCTCAGCAGGGCCGACAGTGGGACCGTCCAGTGCCAGGTGTAAGAAGGTGTTGGCGCGCCTCGAGGGATGGACATCTTGCAGAGTGCCGAGCGGCTCAAGCAGCAAAGATCTGAAGAACTCAGAACTCGTCGTCATGGCTGAGACGATGGCCAGAGCTGACCTGCCGCGGCTTCCGACGGCCCTTCCCACGCTGCTCGTTTCGGCCAGTGCGCGGACGCGGTCGGAGCCCGCCCAGCTCGAGGCGAAGGATGTGAAAGTCCAGGAGACCGGGCCCCCTCAAGGTCCCCTGCAGGGCGAGCAGCCCTCCGAAACTCTGGGACTAACGAAAGAACGGGCCATCACACTGCAGCTGGAGCTCATGGCAGCCTACGGCACACCGGCTTTTCAGAAGCAGCTTCACGAAATTGGTCGAAGGTATGGGACGCTTGGCCTGCAGTCTTCGCTTACAGGGGTCTGTTGACAGGCATTCTGGCTTCTTGCGTGCACCATAGCACATAGGTGGGTCCATGACAGGTCTGTACAGCGTTCGGCAGGTGCATTGCTGAAAATTGCTTTGCAATCTTGTTCAGTTGCAGATCATTTGGACGAACATGCTGCGCATCACAGACCCGAATGTCCACGTTGTGCTGTGCATTGAAAGACGACTTGACTTGGGAGAAACAGAACAAACTGCCAAGCAACAGAATGTAGCTGGGTAGATGGGGCGTCATTTTCCATGCTTGGTGTATGGTTGGGTGTGGTGGTGTGCTGCGCATGACGATGGCACGATGGCGTCGTGTAACACAACTATGAGAAGCCGCCGGTAGCCTCATCTAGTTGAGTGCAGATTTCCATCGTCGGCTATCATTTCCATTGCTGGATAGGGTTTGGCCAAGTGCTCCGATAATTAGCGTGTGCGTGGCATGGTTTATCAGGGGTGATGCATGCATAAGTAAGGACCAGCAGCAAGCTGCGGTCTGAGCTGTGCAAGTTGGTGCGGCGTATCCAGTTGGACATCATCCCCAGATATGGCAGCTTGCCTTGATCACTTATCTTCGAAAGTGCTGGTGTGTTTTGACAGTCCACTTTCAACTCCATATTGTGTTGAATTCCAGACCTGCCTAACGCGGCTGGGCATCAGACTCTGCGCAGTCGAGCATCGCGTGAGCGTCGGAGATCCTGCACGGGTTTGCGTTTTCTGAGTCGTTGGTTGCCTTGCTGTCGTCTTGCCCGTTCTGTCTTGCAGACAAAATGTCCGCATCGAAATGCAGCAAAAACTCAACCCAGTACAACCGGACCACGACTCTGTGGTGGCGGCATGTGGCGGCATTCCCAAGTCCCTCACTGTGTCACGATCTATTAAAACATGAGCGACCCTGCGGCGCACGCCTCCACCAGTGCACATGGACCGGAAGCTGCACCACAATGGAATGGTCATCGGGAATTTCAATAATCATTGTAAGAAGCACCGTCACAAGCCGCAAAGGGCATCTGCAAACATAGATAAGGAAAGGCCAGGTAGGTACCTGGCACCACTTACCACAGCAGTCATTCTTGCTGAGGTTTCGATGGATCTGAAGAGGGGGTCCACAGTATGCTGCGATCATTTAAAGCGCTGGAGAAGGATCCCGACATTGAGGCTCGCCGGGCCGGCGTCTCGTAGGCGAAGGAGGCCAGTAGTGACCGGTCCACAGGTCAATGACGTGGCCATCAAGGAGCTGCTGTCCTTAGAAGTTCCGCCCATGGAGATGAATGAGAAGAACAAGCTCATCGCGAGACCCGTGACCAAACATCGAATCATGGATTTGTGCCTCAGCTGCTCTGGCCCCCGAACTGAAAGGCACCATGTTAACTAGTAGTAGAATGAGTAACCATAAGACTATCAACAAAAGGAATAACTTTAACAATCTTTTCACCAATTACGATCTCCGAGGCTTCGAGTCCAACTCATCGAGTTCAGCAAGGCCACCTTCCAGGCCTAAGTCACTACGACTCCTAGGGGGGAGCGGACATTCCTCTAGGATGGTCTCGAAGCCTCGATTGCAGCAGAAAGCTATTATGGCTGCATTTGCACGCATTCTACCCTACTTTCGGGTTCTGTAGATTTTGGAGACCCCTTAGGCGGACGTAGAGGAGTTGAAGAAGTGCGCTGACTACAACTCTGGCCGTGCAACCTGGTCCAATTAGTTCTAGTAATATTGATATTATTGCCATGGTTAGTATTATCATTGTTGTTACTATTATGAAGAATGCTGTTTTTTGCCTTTGAGGGTTTGCCTCCTGCAAGCCGTGCTGCATCTGCTGCTGGCTGATATGTTATTGTGTTTTCGTTTTTGTTCTTATTCGTGCTACCAGCACCAGTATCAAATTTTCATTATGGTTATGGTTCTGGTTCTGATATGTTCTGATATTATGATTGTTACTACTATTGTTATTGCGGAGTGTTGTAACATCCGACGCACATTCTATTGTCATTGTTATTCTTCGCATTACTCGCCTTATCATTATTCTTGTTCTTGCTGCTACAACGAAAAATCAAGATCATTCTGACGGTTCTTGATGGTATGCGTATGATCAGCTGTAATTACGGTTAAGTCAATATGATCATGCTTAGTGGTTGAGTTTCCGAGATCCATGTGCAAGTCTGAGAAACCAGTCGTTGGACGCCGGTTTTCCCTGGAGTCGGATGCATCAAAGTTCTGGTCAGATGGTTGGAGGGCCGATCTGCCCAGACCGTCGAAAAGTGCTTGAACATGCTGCCGTGGCGGCTTTTGATTAAAGCTTCTGGGCTCAGCTTGAAGCTGAGGCTCTGAGTACCAAGGCTTTATGGAAAGGTTTGCCTGAGGCTAGAAGCTAATGCGAGGCAGTGTGGAGGGGCTCTTCGGCGCATCTCTGACTGCCGCTCCTAGTGTGTTTTGGCTTCCTCTGCTGCGTAGTCGGGGAGCATCTTTCAGTGCCTTGCAAATGCAAGGGTTCTCCCACCCACAGGCGCTCAATCAATCAATCCATCCGTCAATCAATCAGTCAATCAGTCAATCAGTGAGAAGAGGAAGAGGCACACGCTTTCGACGCGAGCAGGTCCAAGTTACCTCTTGCTAACTGCATCTCGCACGCAGCATGCAATCTACAGCTCGATCTACATTCTTGAGGTGTTTGCGAATGGCAGCAAGGCAGCAAGCAGCCCGCTCTGCACGGGCATTGTGCCGAAACGATGACTCTCCTCAGCAGCACTTCGACCTCCTGCTGGAATTGTATGTTTACGTCACCCGCAGTTCTGACCACTAAACCGGATACATCTCTGCCTTCATTGCCGAGCCGTGGTTCGAGGATCACTTCTCAAGCTGGCGAGATGCCACAGAGGTTCAAAAAGTTTGTCGAAGAGCCAAAAGCCACTTTAGCACCACAGCCAAGGTGTTCAATCCAAGCAGACCAATGGAACAAGGCTCACCGGTTTCTGCAGCCAGAACCCGGAGTTCCCTGCGACACCTCTGCGATCCTCCCAGCTAGGCTTCGAAGATCCCGACGGCTACTATCACCTGGAGGGGCGTGCCTTTGCCCTGCATTTGGGTCTGTCTGTCTGTCTGTCTATCTGTCTGTAAGTCACGATGTATGTGTGTATGTTTGTACATGTTTGTATGTATGTGTATGTGTTGCAGGTGTAGGCGTATGTCTATGTACAGGCAAGCCTTAACAGCTACATATGCTATATTGTTTTACGTATGCAAAGGTTTTGTCTTACGTCATGTTACGGAGTAATGTGTCGTGAACCTTGCTTGAAAAGTCTTCAGCTTCTCATATATGTATATGCCCTGCATATGTCCCAACTTAGACGATAGGTACTTGCACGGTACCTGTTTGCTTGGTTTGCAATCCACTGCATGCACGAGCTGCGACTTGTCATTATAGTTTACAATGACATGTAGCCTGACGAGCGTGCAGATGTGCATACCTGTCATGAAATGCCAATGCATTACAGTACTGGAACGGTTTGGCAGCTGCCAGCATCAGAAGTTGCAACTGCAAAACAGCCTCATGGTGTAATGCCTTAGCATACTGGGCCAGTAGCACCTAACGAGTATAGGTGTGGAGAAATCCCGTGTAATCTGCACAGTGCCAGGAGCAGAGCTGGCTCTTCTTGTGCAGACCCGGCTGCTACCTCAGTACGGGTTTGCTCCCTCCAAGGCCGGGTAGTGTGCGGCACTGTCAGACCAGCAGCAACTGTATTTACCTGTGCAGATACGTGTGTATATAGGCATGTATACAGCACTGCTAGGCCCCCCCTTCCCCCCCCACCCCTTGGTATGCCCACTGTGGTTCCCTGTGGTGCGGGTTCTCCCCTGCACCTCCCCCCTGTGGTTGCGGTCGGCTGCGCACCCTTCCATGGCTATCGCTGGTTGGGCGTCCGGATGCTAAGGGTTTCGACCTTGGGATGTGATACAGTTCCACTGAACTCCGACCTGCCCTGAGCTCCAAAGCCAATGACAGTGATGAATATTATAGTGATGATGATGACGAAGGGGGGTTACGCAGATGAGGTGTGACTGATTGCTGGGACGAGAGGCCTGACGGGGCGGGGGCATACCATGGAGCGGGGGCTTGCGACGCGGCGACGCGGCACCGCATATAGATATATGTCTATATTATATGTATGTATGTATGTATGTATGTACGTATGTATGTATGTATGTATGTATGTATGTATGTACGGATTTATGCATATATACACATATGCACACATACATATTTAGAGAGCGCTGCCTTCTTCAGAAGACATGTGGGGTTTTCAGGACACCATGATTCAGAAAAGTCCCGCAGACTTTTGAGAAATCATGCCGCACATACATATCCATTTCCAGGCTTGGCCCATTGGCTTGGTGTAGCGGCATGGGGTTTAGGGTTTAGGGGCTTGGAATAAATTCATGGGTTCAGGGTTTAGGGCCCATGGGGTTTAGGGTTTAACATGTGCGTGGGTGCGCTTCTTTGGGAACGGGGGCACTCCCACTTGTCGCGCGCTTGCACTCGCCCCAACCACCCCAATTGGGCTTAGGGCTCACCCCCCGAACCCCCCCTCATTTCTTGCTTTCTGCTTTCCCTTCGGAAAAGGATTGGTGTGGGGTTGTGGGTCCTCGCGGCCTGTGCCGGCCGCTCGACGGGAAGCAAGGGTTTGCGACAACCAATGACGACCCACCCTTCGCACCCTGTGAGGGTCGCTCGAAGCGTTAAGGGAGCTGCTCCAAACTCTGAAGGGGTGGAGGGGTCCTACCTTGTCCTTTTGAGCAGCCGCTCCAAATTGATCCAAATTGTCAGGGGCTGGTGGCAGTTCTATCCTGGTCTTGTTGGGGACACTCAAAAATGGTGGAGGGGACGCGAGGCAGTATCCTTGGCTTTTTTTGAGCCCCAGACCCGTTTAGGGGTACGACCCCCCAATTGCCATGTCGCTCTCGCTGGTTAGTCCTTGTTTGTTGCCTGCCGGCAAAGAAGTCATCAGCGGGGCGTCGTCAGTACAGTCCCCGTGTACCGGGAGGCTTTACCTTCCCTCACCGTTCTGACGAGACGATCGACCGGGGGCCTCGGTCGAAGCCTCGAGCGCCCATGTACAAAGTACACGGTCAGCGGCGCTCTCGGCACTTGATGGCCATATCCATTTCCAGTTTTGGTATACATGCATGGGTTTGCATAGATGCTTGATGGACGTATGCATGTGTGCATGTATGAAGGTATGCAGATATCATGCGTGCATGGATGCATGTATGCATGTATGCATGTGTCCATGCATGTATGTATATATGTATGTATGTACGTATGTATGCATGTATGTATGCAGGTTTACAGAGAGAGCGAGAGAGACAGATGCTGACAAAGATTCATGTAGGCGGATGTAGTTTGTCGCAGACATATGCATACACAGGCAGTTGGTCTTTGCCACATGTGACTTGCAGTGTAAGGAGGCGACTGCGCCAACACCATGCATGTATAGAGATTGAAGGATGCCTATGCGTATGCAGAGTGCAGTGCTACCTTTCGAGATTGTCTCCATGATCTTTGTCGGGATGTGCAGGGTCTCGGTCCGCTTATCCTACTCTATTCGTCATGCCCGTTCTGGGAGGCAGGCGTGCAGGACATGATCCGACTGGGACTCAGAAAAATCAGTCTTGGTGTCTGACGTCATCCTGCCGAAAAAGACGTCGCTAGACGTTGTTGGCTTGTCGGCGCAAGGAATGCGAGTGATCGCACATGCGTTTGCTGAGGTCACTGCGCCCCTTTCGTGCGTGACCCCGACGTGGCCAATCTCCTCGACCGTGTGAACGAGCAGCTTGGCCTCGAAGCGGTTTACGGTTCGAAGAGGCTGCTGTTTGCTCTCCTAGGAAGCTCGGGATGTCGCCGGCGGCCTGCCACCGCTTCAGGGAGCTCGTCGCACAGCTGTCGTGAGCGGGATGGGGGAGGGAGCCTTTGAAGTTTTTGCATGGAGCTACATCCCTCCTGCATCACTCTGGCATGATCCTCGCAGCATGCTGGTTTTGAATATTTACTGCAGAGGACACACTTGGAATTAAGTGCCGACTCAGTCTCCCAACTGCAGCCAGCAGATCTTTGCACTTGTCGGATCCCGTCCCCACAGTGCTGCAAATGCAGTGGGCATCCAGGCTTGCGGCCCAAAGCACCCAGAGCTCCAAGATCATGAACAGGAATGGATTCAGTCCTGCTGCTTTCGGGGCAGTCTGCCTGGAATGATAAGTGCTCGGCATGTGGAGCAAGAGTCATCAAGAGGATCGCAGCAAATTAGAGCTGGTCTTTCCTCTGGAAACCTGACGCTTGAAGCGTCTCGTCTAACTCGACATCTGCCAGCTTGTACAGAGACCATAGGTCTGACTTCAGCTGCAAGATGTCCAGTTTGGGTTATTGTAAGCTATTGTAAACCTCAGCCGAAAGCTCGTCACCTGAACAGCTTCATTTCGCCATCCGGTCAACAGCACCGGCGAATTCGAGATAGACGGGTTCAAAACGGTCACAGTGTTAGGTTAAGCAGGCATGGCAAACGATACGGATATGGGCCATGCAGCACCTGCGCGGAGAAGACTGGCAGGTGGTGGAGTTCGGATACAAGCAGAAGACGGAACGTGCAGATCCTCAGCCTGCAGCTCCTTGCGTCAGCAGAAGTCACAAGTCCCTTGCCTCTGCCTCTATGTCTCCGTATGTCTCCATGTCCCAAGGCGTCTCCTAGTGCAGGATGACACTGTCAGCTTCGAAGGCCGCTGGTCTTTGAAGGACCGAAGGGCGAGCAACCGCGGGTGTCAATCTAAGGGGTCGGTTACACGACAGGACACCATTCCACAAGATGCCAGCGGAGGCGTGACGGATGACATGAATCAGTGGAATCGAGCTTGAAGCTTCCGCGGTGGGATCTTTCTTTGTGGCGGTTTGCTTTGGTGTGCAGTTGGCTCTGTGATCAAGTTTGTAAGTTCTCGGGATGTCGGCAGGTCTTGGGGGACCGGCAGCCACGCTGAGACTTGTGCAGCCAGATCTGCGTGCAGGCTGATCGCTCATGTGCCCACAAGAGTTGAAGCTTCGGGGCATTGCGCTTTGTTGATCGACCATCGATGGTAGAAAGTTCGCCTCGAATAGGTGGAGATATGTCCCAACTTCGACCCTTAAGTCTCACCCGAAGAGTTTCACCTCGACCCATGAGCAGTTGAGTTGAAAGTGGCGGAACCTGGCGCCGTGGATGATTGTGACTTGTGGGTGCTTAGGTTGAGGGCAGGCGGAGCATGCCACTCGACATGAGCCTGCATTTAGGCCGTTGACCCCGGTCTGACCCAGTGCATTGAGGGGTCGTGGGGCGGGGGTATACAAATCGGTGTGCCACAGGGAGCAGATCATGCACTCCTCCAGCCGTTTCAGCGATCCATGTCTAGCCAGAGTTGCAGCACCATCGTGCTGCGTAACTAGCCGCCCACTTACAAGGACAAAAAGAGCTCCTAAGCATCTTGCACCTTACTCAGCAAACCTGCCTGCACGATCTACTGATACAGCTCACAACTCAGAAAGAGGCAGCTAGCTTTCAACAAACCTCGGAATGATCTCAATGCATCACGGTGTGAAGAGATTTGCGGGTCTCATCTTTGCCATGTCGGGCTGCTGAAGCCGTGCCCACCATGCTAGCAGGCAGCAGGGGAGCAGGGTAGTCTCAGCTGACTAGCCGAACTGGTTTATCAAAATTAGGAGTTTTTTCTTAGCCTCCTAGCCGTTCCAACAAACCAAGCGCCAAAGCAAGCCTGCATTTAGAGACATGATGCAAGACTGCCCAGCGATTGAAAGCGTTTCGCTGCATTCTAGGCCGTCGTGGTCATGGCACTCAAGGACCCATCTTCGCCAAACCGGACCAGCCACTTCTGTCTCGTGTCGCCATGCAGGAGCTGTCGGCATCCTTGCGGTCATTACGCGAGAGAAAGGCGCGAGAGCTTCAGATTCAGCGCCTGGAAAGTTTTTTGGCCGGGTTCTGGTTTGGTAGCGCTTTGACTCTGCTCTGAAAGCGCCTCTTTGAGACTGGTGCCGTCTGAAGTAAAAGCTAGCAGACACAGGCAGTTGAGGCGGGGGCGCCTGCACCACGCTGGCACCTCAAAGTGCGGCACTCCCGAGACCTTTAAAGGGGTCAGGCTTCGAATGCTCTGACCTCCGAAGCATTCTCAAACAGCTGGGCGCACAAAGCCCACGGTGAGGCCCACGCTCTGTCGGTGCCGAGTGCCGGGCGGAGGCCTTGGGCTCGGGACGATAAGTGAAGCAAAAATCATCCTGCTCGGATGATCTTGGGATTCGAGGGAAAAGTAAGTTTCAGACTTGCCTCGTGCGTTCGATGCTTGTCACAGACACGATCCCTGGAAGCCAGCCTGTTCCGCTTCGAGGAGGCGGGGAGTTTTCCGTTCTGAGTCGCACATTGCCAATTGCCCCAACTCCCGCACCCTGCTTGGCCCTTTCGCAGCGCTTCCTTCGCATGGACGGTGAGATGGCAGCGCTGCGGCAAGCCTTGGACTCGGAGGCCAGGTGGACAGTGCGTGGGAGAGCCGAGGAGATGTCGTTTACGAGGTCGTGGCGTGACGAATTGTTTGCGCTCGTGCGCTTTGCCTCTCGCACTCGCAGGTGGCTGCTCTACGCCGTGGCTTGGCGACTATGGCGGAGGCTGTGCATGCCGTGGGAGCCTGAGTGACATCGACTTGCAGCGGCCGTGTACGGCAAGCAACCTCAGATTCTGCTGCTTGCTCAGCTCGATTTTGGTTCAAAAGAGAACATTGGGACGTGCCTCTCCTGCAACCGGGACAATGTCTTTTTCGGCCTTGCGCAGCCTTCGCCCACAGGCAGCGCTCAGGGTTTCAGCAACATGCTCTGCACACGTGGTGTTGTCGTTTCGTTCCAACAACTTGCATCTTTTGCAACCGAAGACACGAAGTCAAAACAAAAGGTGCGGACCATGTTCACTGGCGGCATGCCTCCCGGTGGGCGCATGCCTGGTTTCTGGGTCAGTGCTCCGAGCATCATCCCCGCCTTCAGAGACTCAGTCTTATGCTGAGACGAACACAGTGGGCTCTACAAGCTGTAGGTAAGTTTCAATGCAATGATGAATGGTAGTCTGTTTTTGGAGGAATCGTTTGCCGAGCTAGCATTCTACTACTAGTACCTTCTTATGAACTATGTTAGCCTTTCACATGTGGAGGATCGCAGCCGGATAGGCAGGTAGTGTGGCCAGAGTCGTGGTTCCAACTGCTCAGGAAAGGGCGAAGACAAAGTGCCTGTGGAGATGTTCTCGATCGCCGCTAACATCCAAGTGGATAGCGGTTCCTTTTGCCCTGTTTCGTTTTAACGTTTCATCGTGGCTGACTTTGAAAACGTGGATGTTGGACACAAGCAAGGCCGTCCGGATCATTCAGGGAGGCTGTCCATTTCATCGCAGAAGCACCATACATGTCACTTCATTGCCACGTGCCAGTGTGCTTAGAGATGTCTCTCAAGCTGCCTGCTTGCCTGGCTTAGGATGTTGCTTGTAGCTCTCAGGATTGCCGACCCTACAAGCCTGGGACATGGGGTGAGATGGAGCTTTTCGACCGTGCCTCGTGCCGCATGATGCAGCAGTAGCATCCCCAACATCCGGATGCAGCCTCGCCATGTTCGGTGCGAGACAACACCGTTGAGTGGGTTTCGAGGCATGCAGACGACCTATGACCACTACGGCGTCGTCCGGCTCACCAACACAGGCAACAACTGGATCCCATTCTGTTTGCTTGACATTGTGTTCGATTGAATAGATGGCACCTCCGGAACGGCCAGTTAGATATGGGCTCGGCTCGCCTTTGTCGTCCAAGGGCCGAGTCATGCGTACATGTGGCACAGCGGGGCCATACGAAGCTGCAGAGATGAAAGAAAGTCAAATCCGAAAGATTGTTAACAAGTCGTTCAACCAGGGATCGGTCAGGCATTCCAACCGATACCGGGGACCGCTTCCCACTAGCACATGCCTGCATATTTTAGATCCGTAACGCTGGATCAGCTGCAGCAGGGCCCTGCAAGCCTAGAATGAAGAAGACTATGTCTACGTCCGATATCGTCCGTTCGGATTCGAGGACTAGGGGTCGGCTTCGGCGCGAGCATCAAGGTCTGGGGTTCAGGCAGTTTGGTTTAAGTAGGCCATGGGGATTGAGGTAAAGGTGGTTGCAGGTTACGAGCTGCGGGTTTAGGGCTAGGGCCGGCCTGTTAAGAGTTCGGTGCTCCAAGTGATGTTTCCTTTTTGGGACTCCCCTTGAGGCGCTGTAGGGTTTGGGCTTTCAGGGCTTTTCTAGTTTTGTGCTTAAGGTTTGGGTTTTCAGGATGCTGGTATTGGGAGCCGGGTTGATGGATGTGTGGCTGTATAGAGATATTGGTAGTTGGGGCATCTAGGGTTTGGTTTCGCGGGCTGGTTCAACCAAGGCTTTGCTTTCGGGGGTTTTGGGCTTGGGATGTCGGCTCTTAGGGGGTCCAGGGCTATTCGCAGTAGCATGTCGTCGTGACTGCGTCGCACTCTGGGCAGCGAATGGTCCAGACTTCAGCGACCGAAATAACTAAAGTAGTAGACGCACAGAATGCCGCGCAAGCTTCTCCTGCTGCGATTTGGTGATGCTCTGCTTGACATCCACACTTTGGGGCGTTCGATGCGGCTGCGTTGAGACTTGATCCAGTAATCAATCATTCCGAGTCGGGTGGCCCTTCAAGCTTTTCTATGCTGATCTCACTGATGCATCTGGTGATCTGAGAGAGGGGTGTTCAAAACCTATGCAGGTCTCAAAGATCCGGAGGCAATGCGCAGATATGCACGTGCTGTGGTGTCTCTGCTGCACGATTATCAACGGTGATGCACAGCGATTGAATCTTCTTGTGCCCGGCAAGTGTGCACCAGCATCAGTGTGATTTCGCCAGCTTGTGCTGTACTCGTAGCGTTTCTGCACGGCGGTGTGTCCATTCTGCGTTCCTCGTCTCGAGTTCGAACTGCCGAGGTGAACAAGCAAATGGCTTATGAAGGCGGCGCCAACCCACGTGAAGGTATCATCCAAAACGTTTTTGAGGCACTCTCTTCCGTTGAAGTTTTGCGGTCACAAGGAACTACACGCTTGTGACAATCGTGTCCCTAAGCTAGACATCTGTGCCCGGACTTGGCAGGTAGGGGCGCCCAACGATGCATGGCTTCATTACCATCATGAGATGGCCTACAACCAGCACAGCATGAAGAACCTAGCATTCTGCAGCATAAAGGCTACGCAGGGCAAGGGCGACACGTACCTCTCTGAGAACCTTAGCGTGACTGATTCGCTTCTGCAGACAGACTTGGGACGAAAGCTGCGAGACAAAGGCGTCTGTTACATCCGCTGCCTCACTGACCGTGATGCCTATGAGGGCCAGGGCTGGATGGAGGGTGCAGCTGTGTACAACCACTGGCAGCTGTCCTTCGGGGCGAAGACACCCGAAGAAGCAGAGAAGAAAGCCCGAGAATGTGGTCTTGATGTGGAATGGTGCGAGGATCCTCTGAAGCCGGAGTCCAAGCGGTACATGAAGACAAAGCTCGTGATTTCCGCCTTCGAGTACTGCCCATCAGTTGACCGTAACGTCCTGTACAGCAGTATCGCGGATCACAGTGCTTGGTTCGACACGTGGAAAGGTGTTCACGATGTGCACCCTGACAAGCGCCCATTGCAGATGACGTTCGGTGACGGAACCCCGTTCACGGTGGAGGAGTTGAGGCAGTGGGTCGGCTTGTATGATGATGGTGGAATTCGTGTGCAATGGCAACCGGGCGACATCGTGGCCTTCTGCAATTATCGATACGCGCACGGCAGGCCCTTGTGTCGCGACAGTTCCACATGAAATTTCGCGATTGTCCTTAGAACCTTTTAAGGCAAGGCATGCAATGCTGACCATCTCTCACGCCAGTCCTAGTGCAATTTCAAGCTTTGAACGACTCCCCGAACCGATACGCGTTGAGAGGCCGGCCTTCCACCTGCACCGATGGGAGGAGAGGCAGATTGGAGTTGTCCTCGGGGAGAAGTTCGAGCGGGTAGGTACAATGGACTGCCGCTTTGCTTGCAAAAGCTCAAAACGAGACCACTCCTTCAGCAAGATAGAAAGCTGCCCCTAAGTGCAGACTTCTAGAATCTAGACCGTGATGCCTTCCTCTGAGGCAAGTGGTGAGCGAGTACGGACAGATCCCAAAGAGAGCTGCATTTTGTAGCCGGATTTTGCTGAGCGGGTTGGTCGGAGAGATTCAAGAACCGACTTCGTGAAGTTCGGCTTTCACTTGCAGAAGCAGGAAATAAACCGTTGCATTCGACCAATCTGCAAAGACCACTCTTGTGATTGTGATGCAAGAGCACCCCGGTAGTCTGTGAGGTGTACTATTTACATACATGGCAGGTTTACCTTCAATTTGTGCTGGCAATCATGTATTCGAGTCTTTTGGACTACCGGCTGTACAGGCTTCAGGAAACGACCTTGATAATTCGCATCAAAAGCCCATGGACATGCAGATGGGCCTTTTGATGGTTGTGCAACTGTGTATACAAGATGTTTCAAGCCGTCCTGCCATTTTGCAATGGATAACCTAGGGCAGGGTGTTTGAACTAACGCGAACTGGCAGGACTCTTGGGAACTTAACCTCTTCTGCGCTAGAGAAGCGGAAGAAGGCTTCCTGCCATCTGCGAAGTTGGAGAAGCCCTGCCTCTCCTAAGCTGCATGCTCGCATGGCTCCTTACCAGTGGTCACTTTTGAAAGCTTTTGCGAGTTGGTCCAGTGGCCTGAAACTCTACGTCTAAGTAGCCCTTGGCCGTCATTGTCCGGTCAGGTCGAAGCTAGATCCGGGTCATACGAGGGTGTCCGATGGTCCTAGACACCTCAACTATCGGTTACCAGGATACCCGCAGGGATCGTCGTCAGAGGGGCCGGAAGTTCCCCATGTACAGTTTCGAGTATAGCACATCTCTACTAACACATTGGACCAGTGCTTTGCTGGCTACCGGCTGGTGCAGAGTCATTGCTGATGTTCCCTGTACAGATCCTCTTGCCCGCTCGGATTGTGAACAAAATGGTGTGACATGTGAACCATCTGCAGTATTCCGTGCATTAAAGACGCCTCGGTATGAATCCCGATGCACCCTGCAAAGCTGTCGTTCACGGGTGGCGGTGTCCGGAGGTTGAAGCTGCACTTCAAGCAGAGGCGAGATTGGCATTGTTTCATCAAGACATGTGGGAGCACATTCCGAGCCAGTTCGATCCAACGGCAGAGTGAGGACTGCTCAATGACAGGAAGTTCTGTAGCACTCTGAGCAGCCATTCTTCGGCTACAGCATAGATGTCGATGGACCTGCATCAGGATGTGCTTGAACTTGCCGAGGTCCCACACTGCGCAAGTTAACGCAATTGTTTTGTGAGTGCGGTTTGCCCCTTGCGGATTCTGCAGAGTGGAAGCATCCCAAAAGTTGTGCGACAACTAATGAAGATGCCGTCTCAGCATGACAACGAATGCGTTTGCGTTTACTCGGTGCACGCACCTGTAGAAGCATGGCACCGCGCGTCGAGCTGTACACGGCTTACGAGCCTGGCCTGCAAACAGCTCAGGGACCAGCATCGTCTCGAAGTCTCGAAGTTGGAAATGATGCGCATGGCGGCATGTTGTGAGGGTTTCTGGGCTCAGCTGAGGAGCTGTCGCCTGTTCAAGAAAAGATCAAGCAGGCTGCGTTAGGGAGACACATTGATCCAAGCAGTCAGACTTTGCAAACGACACTTCTGCCTACCATTTTGTTCCTCCACTGTACAAGTACTTACACCGTTGGGTTATTAAATGGAATGTGATTATTGCGGGTCATGAGTAGTATTCTTCTTATCATGTCTATTGTTATTAACTATCACTTATGAAGGGCCCCGTCATGCTTTGGTGCGCTCTTCTGCAGGCAAACCAAAGCGGCAAGTACGGGCCGGCAGACACCTCAGCAGAGTTTAGGGTTTTGGGGTTTGGAGGTTTAGGGGTTTAGGGGTTTAGGGGTTTAGGGTTTAGGGTTTACGGGTTGGGGTTTAGGGTGGATTGAGATTTTGGAACTGCCTCAGCGAGCTGCGCCCCTATGTCCATAAGATGCACCTGAAGACCGGACAATCCAGGAGCAAGAAGCAACTATGTATGTATGTACGTACGTGGGTATGTATGTATGTATGTCTGTATACAAATGCATATTATGTGTATGTATGTAACTGTATATATATATATATATATGCCTATCAATCTATATGTCGTAATGAAACCACATGCATATATAAATACATGATTGCCTGGACGGTAAACAAAGAAGCATGCAGATGTATGTAATGTACACATACACGTATTATACCCACACACACACACACACACACAGACACACACACACACACACACACACACACACACACACACACACACACACACACACACACACACACACACACACACACCACACACACACACCACACACACACACACACACACACACACACACACACACACACACACACACACACACACACACACACACACACACACACACACACACCCACACACACACCACACACACACACACACACACACACACACACACACACACCCACACACACACCCACACACACCCACCCACACAAACACACACCCCACCCGCACCCGCACCGCACCCGCACCCGCACCCGCCCCGAACCGCCACCCGCACCCGCACCGCACCCGCACACGCACCCGCACCCGCACCGCACCCGCAACCCGCACCCGCACCCGCACCCGCACCGCCCCCCGCACCCGCCCCGCCAACCGAACCAGCACAGAGCACCCGCACCCGACTCGAACGCACCCGCACCCGCCCCGCACCCGCACACAACGCACACGCACACGCACACGCACACGCACACGCACACGCACACGCACACGCACACGCACACGCACCCGCACCCGCACCCGCACCCGCACCCGCACCCGCACCCGCACCCGCACCCGCACCCGCACCCGCACCCGCACCCGCACCCGCACCCGCACACGCACACGCACACGCACACGCACCCGCACCCGCACCCGCACCCGCACCCGCACCCGCACGCGCACCCGCACGCACACGCACCCGCCCCGCACCCGCACCAGCACCGCCACCCGCACCCGAACCAGCACCGCACCGAACCCGCCACCCGCACCCGCACCCGCACCCGCAACCAGAACCCGCCCCCACGCACCCGCACCCGGCACCCGCACCCGACCCGCCCGCACCCGCACCCGCACCGCACCCCGCACCCGACCGCACCAGCACCACGCACCGCACCAGCACCAGCACCAGCACCAGCACCAGCACCCGCACCCGCACCCGCACCCGCACCCGCACCCGCACCCGCACCCGCACCCGCACCCGCACCCGCACCCGCACCCGCACCCGCACCACCCGCACCCGCACCAGCACCCGCACCCGCACCCGCACCCGCACCCGCACCCGCACCCGCACCCGCACCCGCACCCGCACCCGCACCCGCACACGCACACGCACACGCACACGCACACGCACACGCACACGCGCACACGCACACACGCACACACACACACACGCACACGCACACGCACACGCACACGCACACGCACACGCACACGCACACGCACACGCACACGCACACGCACACGCACACGCACACGCACACGCACACGCACACGCACACGCACACGCACACGCACACGCACACGCACACGCACACGCACACGCACACGCACACGCACACGCACACGCACACGCACACGCACACGCACACGCACACGCACACGCACACGCACACGCACACGCACACACACGTACACAAACACACTCAGTCTCTCCCCCTGGTTGCTATACACGTGCAGTGCTACATATAGAAATACAGCGTCAAAGGTACATACCCATATACACAGACACATGTGCGATTCATGATGATTGACGGAGGTGCTTACATGTGTCTGCGAGCTTATGATTACATATGTAATGCATGCGTATGACAGACGTATGTGCTCACGTATCTGTATACATGTATGTCTGCAAACATCTGCAACAGTCCACCCCCCATCTCCGTTTTTTTGAGGTGCCGAAGCGTTGCGTCGTCACTGGCGGGCTTGGCTTCGTGGGCCAGCGCTTGGTCGAGACGCTCGTGGAGCGCGGCGCGGAGCAGGAGGGGCCTGATGTTTGACGATTCGCGGTTAAAACAGCTTTGGAGCTTCGGGGCTTCGCTCCTTGTGTGAATCATGCCGTTGGGCCAGAATCGTTCGCACGTGAATGGCTTTCGAGGTTGTTTCTTTCGACATAGTGCCGCCGGCAGCCAACGTGTGTCAGAACAAGGCAAGGTCTCACATGCATGCTCTTGCTCAATTGTGAAAGTCGCGCTGTTGCGAGTATTGTGGGCTTCCATCGTCAACATGCTGCAAGTCGACTCTGCACGAAGGCCATTAAGTATGTCACGGCAGACCTTTGTGACTTCGACGCAGTTCTACAAGCTGTTGAAGGTGCCCGTCTCAGTTTTCTAGGCTCTTGCAAGCAGGAGCATCGCCAGGTAAATATTGCTTTGCCTGTCCTGCAGCTGGTTGCGAGTCGCCGAGGTGCAGACTGTGTTTGGCACAATGCAGCTGCGGTCGGCCCATTCCTGCCGAAGCACTTTTATAAAAATGCAACTTTCCGGCAGAATACCTAGAGATAGAGTCGGCAGCGAAATTGTCAAGCAATCTCGAGGGTTCATGACAGTTCGGTTAGGCGCTGTGCCAGCCTAGTAGTGCCCCTGTGTCATCCTGTCTCAAAAGTATGCACGTGTGCTTGTACTAGAATCCATACTACACATGCCAGAGCTGGAAGTTTCGTGCAAGCCTTGCCTCAAAACAGACACGCCCCAGAAACTGTTAAAAATTAGAACTGTTGGTAGCAGTGTAACGGCTCAATCTTCGGCGCTGGTGCTAGCCTTGGCACAAGGTGTTCCGGTGAAAGCTTTGTCCTGACACCGCTAAACCATGTGGACCGAACTCATTGAACTCTCATGCAGAGGTGAATGTGATCGGGACAAGGAATGTGCTGGAGGCGTGCAAAAAGCAAGGAGACGGGATCGAATTGCAGCTGACGTGAGGCAATGCAGACTTAGTTGGTTGGCTTCGAGGAGTGAAGAAGCTGGTGTTCTCATCAACACCGTCTTCACGCTTCACCTGCACGGACGATGTTGATGGCCAAACCGAGGCATACGCGGCGAGCTGAGTTGGCACTCCTTGAGCCATGTTCCCTGACAGGCAGAGATGCCCGACATTCCCCAGGACTCCTGTGGGACAGAGAGGTTCAGCAATCCGTCCATGATGCCGATGACTGTTCTTGACGTGTTCTAGCAACCTTGTGTTCTTGCCCAAAGGAGAGATTTAACCAGGACGCAAGCAAGCAATCTCTCGGCTCATCCAAGTCGAGGCCAAAGCCAAAGAATACTCAGGCACACCAAGACAGACATCTTCCAAGAGGGTACAAGAGGGATAAAACCACCAGAAAGCGAGAGATGCACGGGAAGGAGAGCAGCAAAGTATCGAGTGCTCAATGCCGTTTGGAGGGTGAAGAGGCAGAGGGAGAGAGAGAGAGAGAGAGAGGGGTATGTCGGAGCAAACTGTGTAGCAAGTACAGCGGTCAGTGAAACCCCAAAGCCGTCCACTCAATAAAACAGGGGGTGGACGGGCGTGCTGAAAGCCTGAGGGTCACAACGGTGACCCCTAAGCCCGGCAGAAAGAAAGAAAGAGGGGTATATCATGGTGGCACAAAGTCTTTCCACATGTTCGGGGAGGCGCCGAGCTCAAGCGTAAGGGTGCTCTGTGAAGGCCAGCAGCGGGGGATCGTGGAACGCATGGCCGACCAAACATACAATTGCATCATGACTGCAAAGCTGTATGGGGGGAGAAGAACACTTAGTCACGTCATGGAGAGCCTCGAGCAGCAGCCCCTCAAAGTTGGGGGACTCTGGACCGGACTACAACTTCGACACCATGAAGAACTTCGCATCGATGCCGCAACGTGGAAGACCCTTGTGGGGGCGTTCGAACAGTCGCCAGCCAAAAGCCAGACGGAGGAGGAAGTGACTGCGGGGGACCTTCATCCTCGTGAAACTGCAGACATGGGGGATCAAGCCCCAGTCACGCCTCCACTCCTGCAAGGCGAAGAAGCAGAGGAGACCAGGAACACAGATATGCCAGACTGGACGGGAGCAGGCAGCGACCTGGAAGTCGGGGGAGCCGGGAGAGACGGCACTGCAGCCCCTCGCACGCCAGAGCTACGAGCGACAGAAGACGACCTACAGCCTGGGGGGACGAGAAGGCCACAATGGCCTGAAGACGATGCCGTCGATGCCGCCTTCGGTGACCTCACGGAGGACCAACTCAGGACAGCCTGGCACATGCCGGCACCGAAAGCAACCACCGAGAAGGGGGAGGACAACGTTGGTACAGCCGCACCGCTACTCAACGACGCAGACTTCCTCCAGAGAGTGCTCCAAGACTTGGACGAAGAAGCGGGGGAGGTCGCTCGTTTGACTATGACAGCGCAAACCTCGCGGCGTACACGGCAGGCAAGCAGTGCATGGGCGGAGGGGAGACAGCCACGAGTGGTGAAGATAGCCAGCGACAGTACTTCACACCAAGCGAGGGAGTTGAAGGTGAAGTTCCCGAAAAGAGACAAAGGTCAGGCGATGGCAAGCCACTCCAGGACGTTGGGCGAGCCACCTTCAGCCCCCACACTCTCGCAGCAAGTCTTGAAGCTTGCACGTGGGGAAGACAAAGCAGAGCACGGGGGAAGAAGTCCACCGCCTCCGACTTCGACGCCCAGAACTTACCCTGCCGGCGGGAAGCCGGACCGACCGCCACTGTCGAGAAAGACACGGAGATCTGAGCGCTAAGTGAAAGCGCGACTAGGGACTAGGGAAAGCCTCAGGCAACTGCCGGGGGAAAGGTGACAGCTGATATGTAGTAGGTTGTGAAGTGTCTTGTGTTTGCAGTTTTGCCATGTTGCGGGGGAACTAGTTACGACGCCGGAACCCTGAGCCGTGCGGTGCAGTCACGTAGTGCAGAGTGAGCAGCCTCCTGTCAAGCCGAAGCCACGGGGGGAGCCTCCTAGTTTTACCCAAATGGGACGTCGGGAGCTCAGCAAAGAGTTGAGATCTCATGTAAGCCGGAGTACAGATGAGGCGCATTGGGGGGAATTAGTTTTCAGGGTATTGGGGGATGCTACGGTTCACAAAACGCTGTCCTCACGCGGCTAAACGTGTCACACAACAGACCGCGGACCCGGTGCGCACACGTGCGCGGGAGGGGCGTGCTCCTCCTTGTCCGAGTGCAAGCAAGCAAGAGACAGAGAGAGAGAGGCAACTCACCTACAGACCCGGCGCGCGCTTGCGTGCGGAGGCAGTGCTTGACCTTTCTCCTCTTGTCTGTGTGGAGGAAGAGGCAACTCCATTGGGGGGTTGCGGGCTCGTTTCAGGGTTGTCCCTGCCAGACATTCTCTCTCGAGCGCACAGACCACGGGACGAAGTCCCAGACGAAGCGCCCCAAAGCCTCCTCCTCAATAACGTATGAGGAAGGGGGGCGTCCAGGCGCGGGTCTTCGGACCTCAGCCCTTTGGAAGAAAGGAAGGAAAGACAGAGCAAGGAGTAGACGCATGGTGCGGCACTCTCCAATGGAATTCTCGGCGGCAAGCCCCAGGCCCCAAACGAGAGAGGAGTGGCACTTCTCGCGACACGCAGATTTTGTCATTCAGCAGACCCTTGCGATCCTCATTTATTCTATACTACAGAAAGTTAGATCATGTCATATTATGTTGTATTATTGTGTTGTATTATGCCATTTTTTGTTACATTAAATGACCCTGAGAGGGGGCGCTAAACTGAAATAGTAAGCTCTCCCTGTCTCGCAACTCAGCCCCTCTAAGGGCTTAAAGTCCTAAGCCCTTCAGAAGCCTCTCCAGCCGTTGGAGTCTGGTTAGCCTTCAGCTTCTAACCGGAAGCGAAAGGAAAACCCTCACCCTGTCTAGGAGAATCGAGCCCGAAAGACATCGGGGGGAAGTAAGCCTTAGCTGCAAAAGGGATTTTGGCTGGTGAACCTTCGTGTTCTGGGAAGAGAATTGGCGGCTGGGCGTGCCTAGCATTTTGGGGGCTCCGTATTATAATTGCAGTATAATGGGCCCCAACACCTAAGTCTAACTATTCAGGCCCCTGTAGTACCCGATGAGCCGAGCGGGCGGCCAGACGGAGCAAAGGATGCACACGGACTCAAAATTCGTAACCAAAGGAAGAGAAATCAGGTTCCTTAAGCCCCCCTTTAAGCCCCCGTTGAAGCCCCCTTTAAGCCCTCTCTGAGTCAACTGCGGGCAGGATCGCTATGTGGCCGAGTATTCGGCAACCAAGGCAGAAGGAGAACTGCTGCTGCGCAAGGCCCTATTGCAGATGGATTTTGGGGCCATTTTGTGAGCTTCGGTGCTTGTGGAGATTTCAGGAACGAAGGGGACTTGCATCGCATATTACATTTTTTTGCGGAATGAAGAATGACATGTACCTTGCCATTGGTGTACAGATACACACATATGTACATTATCTACGTGTATGTCTGTATATATGTGCACATGCAGACAAGATGTGAGTCTGGATTACATCAGGGATAGTCCTGAGTGGATTACGAGGGCCGTAGGGGCCTGAAAACTTCGTAGCAGGAGCATCAAGCGTTGCAAGAGGGCTACATGAGCCAAGTAATCGGTCTCTCCCCCTCTCTCTCTCTCTCTTCCTCCCTCCCGCTCCCCCGTCCAAAACATAAATGAATGAATGCATGAATGTATGACTGTATGAATGTATGAAGTAGCAATGCATGAATGTACGGACGTATGTACATAGGGAAGTATGGAGTATTTATGTATGTATGTATGTATGTATGTACGTATGTATGTATGTATGTATGTATGTATGTATGTATGTATGTATGTATGTATGTACGCATGTAGGTGTGTATGTATGTATGTATGTATGTATGTATGCATGTATGTATGTATGTATGTATGTATGTATGCGTGTATGCGCGTACATATGTAATAAAGGTACGGACCTAGAGTGAAACCACGTGTCAGAAGTCGTGAGACCTGCGTGACCCCTGACATGCGGGAGCCTGGAGAGTGCGATGTGAAACTCTGGCCTGACATGGTTCGTGCCGCGCCCTGTTAAATTATTGACCTTCAACAGGCTTGCAAGGAGGGGGAGATCCTCTTCATTGCAGAAGCATCCTTGGATATTCTTTGTTTTTTTGAGTGATGTGCAAAGAAATTGGAATTGGATTCAAGATGTGGATGTGGAAGACTGAGGTCGCCCCTCACACCGTCTATGGGCCACGCGCATGCCCAAGCTCAGGATGCAGGATCAGAGTCGGAGAGCGTGTCCTTGCAGCTATTTGGGGACCAGCTTCAAAAGAGCTTACTTCATCTCGCGAGGGCTCGGTCGTAGCCCGACTTAGGGGACAATCTGTTCCTGCCTAACCTCTTGGAAGCCGCGGGCATTGGCAAGCTGCGTGTCTTCGGCAGTGGCAAGAGTCGGGTTGGGCTGCTCGCCTTGACTGGCTGGTTTGATACGCCCCGACCCTGGTAAATCAATACACGACTTTCCATTTCCTCGTTCATCTACGTTGTTCTTCCATGTTCTTCCTTCCTTCACTGACGTATTAACTTCTCCTTTCCCTGCTTGCTTTCATATCTTTGTCTCGACACGTACATACTCGTCTCTTGCCCTGGCATGGCAAAGTTACACTTCAGCTGCAAGACTGAGTCGTCCTGCTTGCTTCTTGTAGGCGTTTTCCATCTGCAATTCTACTGTACATTGTCTCAGGTACACGCACGTGGATAACTACTGCCACGGCCTGGTTATCGCCGAGAAGCAACTCGCCGCCATGAAATTCTCGCCTATGATTTTGTTCTCCGCGCGCTCTGGACGGTAGTTGCCGTGCCTCATTTTCGGCATGTCCTTGTTTGACTTGTCTGTGGAATTCAAGGAACAGTACATTTCACCCAGCATACAGCCTCATCGGTAGTTGATGAGTCTTACGGCTCTCTGGGCCAAGGCAACTCTACAAAGAATCACCGCATCTCGGTGCCTTGGCTTGATGATGGCACCCTCAGTAATACTCCCCGCCGCGAATGGTCGCAGCTGAGGGAAGTTTTACGTGTGCACGGACGGCGCGACCCATCCACATCCGGAGGCTCAGGGAAAGGGAAGCAGAGTGCGATTGCAGGAAACGAGCAGACTTGCCTTCCCTCCAGGGATACAGCGTCTTCTGGGAAGAACTCGATCAGGCCTTCGACAGTTGCACAAATCAGCCGCACAAAGCAAGAGTTCAGAAGCAGTGGCCATTCCCATCGGCATGCAACCTCTGGAAGCATCTCGAAAGCTTCAGCGAGATGTTACATGTCTTTGCGCTGTTCTGATATCGGAAGAGGTCAAGTCAAGGTAGTGCATTGCAAACTCGCAAGAGAAGGCAGTCACCGGCATGGGCTTCGACTCCTTGTACAGTGTCTGGGCTTGGTCGAACAGTAGTTCCAGGGATTTTGCGATCTGTACAACAGGTGTCCTGTAACAGGACATGAACGAGTCGCAATACGCAAGCCTGCCCCTGTGAGCTTGAAAGCGTGTGGAACGATTTCTGGTCCTTGTCCACCCAAGGCAAGATGGCTCTTCCTTATTTCCTGCTGAGGCCATCTCGAAGCATCTGCTTTTCATATGGCTTTGTCTCTGAGAATCCGCAGGATTGTCGCTTTCATCTGCGACACGATCACTGCATTTACCGGGAAGAAGTTAAAGCTGGGATGGTTCACCCTGCGGATGCTGACAATGCACAGGCAGGCTTGAAGAGCTGGGCACAGCCCCGCTCGTGCATGCCGTGCCCATCAGGTTGCGATTTGTGTTGTTGTGCAGCTGCAGGTACAGGATAATAGCCGGTTGGCCAGACCAGCCATTCATCGAGAGTCCTGTTGACAGGTGGTTTCGCATCACAGCTGCGCAAACTGACCTTGGTTATCAGCCCGTGCCTAGTCATCTAGTATTTTCAAGGCTTCGACTTCTGCGGAAGACATCTTCTTTTCTGTTCAGCTTGGAGGGAGGCACCCCAGATGCAGAGACTAGCTCCCAGGTGGTGTCATACAAAGAAGGGTGGCCAGACACCATCGAATGGTTCAGGACAGCCTTGTTTTGAAGGGTGCTCTGTAGGGGGAGGGAGGTCCGGAATGAATTTGGGCAGCTAGAGGTGCCACCGCGACGACACGGGAAGATGAAGGGAATCATAGCACCAACACTCTGGACGCAGGAATAAGTGGCTGCCGACTTTCGATCCGAAGACGGCATCTGGCACCACCGGGTCCATAGCGCAGCAGACGGTGGACAAGGCTGGGCAACATCTTCGACTCAGCGACGCCACCGCTGAGCTTCATATTCGCTTGCACTCACTTAGCCGACTCCGCCGATCTTTTCTTGTTTGACTGGGAATGCATGTGTCGGTTAGACTAGATTCGGGTGTGTTTGCTCGGCTCGAGGTGAAGCTACAGGAGCAGAAAATGCAAAAGTGAGCCGAGACGCTTGTCTGTCTTCGTCAGGAGTGACCTGGGAAGACATATAGCTCAGAACACGGATCGGCCTGCGATTGTGCAGCGCGTCTCCATAGTCGTCAGCCCTTGCCAGATCTGAATCTGTTTGAAAGGCACCCTCACAACAGCTGCCAGCAGCCGACTTCCCAACTGTTTAAGCTAATCCCTGGGCAATAGGCATCACGATCTGCCGCGAAGCCTCTTAGCAGGAACTCTTTGTAGATCTCGTCACGTCAGACTCAGTGTCACCGTGCAGAGTCCAACGCGATATCTGCAGTTTTCCCCGGATGCCAACATGCAGGGACCACTGTTGTAGGTGCTGCAATGTGCTCCTGGGCACTTGGCAGGTCGACCAAAACATCACGAAAGACAGCCGCGCCTGAAGCCCCGGCATGGGTCATGATTCCGTCTGCTTTGAGCTGGGTGTGAACAACGATTTTGCCTTGAATCAGTCGAGTCGAAAATCTTCCGCGGGCAGAAGTCGTTTGTCACCCATTTCGATGTAGGATTTCTCTTCTGTGCAGGGCCTGAACTAGCCGGAGTCGGCCCCAATTCAATGCCAGCGGATGCTGCTTTTGACATAATCACGCGACCAGCAAAGCAGCACCGCCGACAAGCATCAAGCATGTACCGATTATGCAGATGACCTTAGTCACCTCGCAGAACTGTTGCTAAACCGTGGGTAGCTGTGCGGTTTGTGAGCTGGCGTCCTGACATCCAACCCTCCACGGTTCCAGAGCATTGCCAATCTTTTGAGCAGCTGAGGCTGCAGATCTTGGCGGGCAGGTCAAGGCCAGAATTTGCAACATGAGACGTAGTCTGTCGCTCCTTTGGGCTGGCCAATGTTGGCCTGCACGCTGGAAGGGTGGCTCGATTGCCGCATGAAGCCTAATCGTGCAAAGTCTCCGGGCGAGGACCTGCGATTGGACGTCACGGAGCTGTTGACGCTGAAGGCACGGGATTCTACTGCCAGATGCTGACAGTTTTCGACAAAGACCTCGACGAAGTCTCAGGTGAAGCCTCGCCTCGTCGCCCTGGAGAGGGATGCACCTCGGCACTTGTCACGGGAAGTCTTGCGAATTTCATGGGGTACTGAGAAAGTTGGGCGCAGGCCAGCGAGATGCGCAGAAGGTTCCTCGCGCTCCCTACTGGCATCGCTGGTGAGGCCTGGACCGGGTGGGCCTTAAGACCATCCGGTTATGCCGGTTGTGCTGTGCTGTAGCTTCTAGATGCTGCTGCGCAGAGCGGTGACCTCGAGGGCGTGAGGCCGCCCACCACGAGACCGTCGCAGGCTGGCGGCCGTCGCGGGGTTCCCGACGACTCCGACAAGGCCGGACAGCCTTCCAGTGATACAAAAAAAGGAAGCCGAAAACCAAAGCAATTCTGACGGTGAGGCCAAGAAGTCGATACAGGAGATGGGGGAGGCCAGGTCAAGCTGCAAGCTGCCAAGCTGTCATTGCATGCGCGCCTACCTGACTGCAGTCTAGGAGCCTGTGAGATCCTGTGCCTGCCCCGATGGCTCAAAAAAACAAAAAAAGCGCCTTCCGTGAGCGAGGGGTGCTACGCGGGCATCGGCTTTGGCCATGTCGCTGCCTGCCCGGCTTTGGAATCCCGGCAGCGCGCTCGTGCAGGCCAGGCGTGGCAGGTTAGGCCGTTAGGCCCCAGGCACGATGTGTGCTGATGTGTGCTGTCCAAGCTCCTGAGCGCTCAGGAGTTCGCGCGCAGTACCTCAGCCCTTCTCAGCCGCTGTCCTCCTGAGCGATCGCAGCTTGGATGCATCGGAGGCTGAGGCTCCATGCTCTGAAGTTCGTCTCCGCCTGTGGTTCGCTGAGGTTCGTGCCTTCGGCTCCGGCAGAAACTGTCGAGCCGCCACTTGGAGAGGCAATTCCAGAAGGCCTCTTGGAATTGAACGAGGTTCCTGACGTCCCTGCTGATGTGCCTGTGGAGCCCTTGACCGGGCTGACGTCAGAGACTCCTGCAACAGCAGCGGGATCTAACTTTCTGACCGGATTTCTCACCAGTGCGATGAACAGCTTCTTTGCTCCCGAGCGACAGGCCGCGGAGCAACAGGGAGGCACGGTCGCCCAGCTAGTGACCCACGGCGTCTTTCTGACAACGGCCTGGTTCGTCTCACGTTCATCGCCCTGCCGTGGAGTTGCCGAAGTCATTGGCTCTGCCTTTCAGCGGGTGCCGCTGCTTGGGCAGGGACCCTTCGGATCAGTTGTACAGATGGTTGTCGGTGCGCAGCTGGGTGAATTCGCAGGGCGTAAGCTTGGCGAGCTCCGCGGGAAGACAACTGGCCCCGCAGTTGGCGCAGAAGAAGGTGCCCCGTTCGAAATCTACCTGTCAGAGATGTGCGTTCTTTGCCACGATGCTTTTGGGAACGGAGCTAATCGCGTGGCTGCTTTAAGTTGTGGCCACGCATGCCTGTGCTCCGACAATGGCTGTGCATCCTGGAAGCAGGAGCTGTTTTTGGAATTGCAAAGCAGACTTGCACTTGCCGCTCACTTGCCCATTGCATGCCATTGCGGGACCAAGGTAGCCCAATGGGAGGCTTCGGCCCTTCCGGGGCAACGGGTCTGCCCAGTCTGCCGTCATGAAGGAGCTCAGGTGATGTGCTACGTGAGAGGATGAATATCCGAACAAATTGGACATTTGACATTCTGCCGCTGCCGTAGTACGCCCCTTCGATCAAGTGTTCGCCCTTCAGTGCGTCTTAGCTATCTATGCCACCTGTGTAATATGCTGATCTGCATGTTTGAATCTCAAGAAGGGTCGTTCTCAACAATCCCCTGCACTGTACAAAGCTAGGACCAGCCACAGAAGCTGGTGTGCAACATGGTTGAGCAAATCCACTCGTCGCGTGAAAACAGTCGAAGCTGCTCTGTGAGAAGGAGAGGCTAGACCGTGTTGCTTGAAGGCCTTGCTCGATAGAGCACGGCGAGAGATGCAACGGCAGGAGGATGTCGCTCCAGCCCCGGCTGCCAGCGGTCACTAGGTCAAAAGGCTTTGGGGACGGTGGTACACGGCATTTACACGTAACAGTCTCTCAGGCGCAAAGCCACGCGGCCAAGTTCCATTGCATCGAGGCATGGCAACCGGAAGATCCAGAAGAGCCGAAAGCTCAAGACCAGACCCAGAAAAGGGGGCGGGAGAGTCATGCACCTGTCATTCCTATTCATACGGACGAAGATCAAATCCGCCTCCATCTCCGAAGTCCGATCTCAATGGGGGCTTCAACTTGAGAGTCATTCGCTGCAGGCTGCTCCTCGGGTCGTCAGCAACTTGTGTACAGTGCAGGCATCCCTGGATGCGGCCAGCCGTGAGTTGACCACGGAGGTGAGCCTATTGTGCAGAGCCGGTGGCACACTGCTTTGCTGCCACTTTCTCCCTTCCACGGAATGCTGCTAACGGGATCTAACCGAAGATCAATAGGATATAATATAGCATCGTTGTCGGGGAAAGTGTTTCGATTTCACTGTGCACAGGCCCGCAGCACCATGCAGCTCGCGGAGCGGAAGGTGCCAACTGTAGACACGAGCCCCGTCTGCCGAGATAGAGCAAGAGAGTCCAAGCTGTAGACTTTCGCAAAGCATCCTCCTTCTGGCTCTGGCATGAAATCTATCCGTGTGGCTACATCTAAATCTACATCGGTATCTCCATCTGCATGTATGTGTGCGCTTCAAGTGCCCTCTTCGCCAGGCCGAGGCGCTGGCCTCGGACGTGGCAGAAAAGGCACGGCACCCTCACACGCAGCACACGGGCTCCAGGACGAATGGTCGCTCGGGAAACCCGCAGCCCGCCAGGTTGGACGAAGTGCCGCAGAGGAGCAGCTGGATCAGGCATCGCAAGGGGTAGGGAGAGTGCGGTTTCTGAGCCTTGGACTGGGAGAGTCAAAATGTCGCAGCACGCAGCTCGTGTCACTTGGGCCTGCACAGAACAGTCGGCCAGGCTCTCGGCACCTTTCGGGAGGAGCTGAGCCAGATCCGAGGTGGCACACTCGAGGTCAGCCGATGTCAGCCGTAGACTTTGACATAACTGGCACATGTCAAGGAGGTCTGCCGGTTCTTCGGAAAGACCCGCGGTTTATCCGGTTCCAGTCACGGCCGTGAGAACGAGAAGCCACTTTTGCATACGTGTCTGGAGCCAGGCTAGCCAGACCAGCTCGCTCTTGCGAGCCGAGCTTTCGGAGGCCAAGACTTGCTTCGCGGAGGTGGGGCCCTTCAAAAAGAAAGCAACGCACTACTGTGGATATGGCTCTACCGACAGCTTCGGAGGCTCTCTTCGCCAATCCGTACATCTTCGATCGTTTTGCATACCTTGTTAAGTCGTTGTCTTTCAATCCGTGTCTCAGGCCGATGCACAGCTCTGTGATCAGATGGATGGTCTGCGGGGGTCCTTCACGGAGGCACACGCAACCGGGCCACAGACACCAGTGAAGCTACTGCCCCCCTGCATGAGACGTGGAGGCCAACGGCGCGCTGCGAGTGCAGGTGGAGGAGGCGAAGGCTGCAACTGCTTCTTCCAGCGAGGCCCGGTATCCGGTATGCCTCAGTTCTCTTATTCCTTGTGACCTTGCGTATCTTGCGTGCAGCTGAGCATCCCTGGTATCCCTGGCCTCGTGTCATTTTTGAAGGCGACGGGGTGCCTTCGTCACGACGTCGAAGCCGTCAGCTCCGAGGCCAGAGCCACCCGAACCGAACCGTCGTCATCACTAATATAGGGGCCTGAAGAATTAGAATAGGGTTTTGGCGCTTATTCGATTGTGAGTACAATAAGAAAACTCAAAGAGGGCAGCCTAGCCGAAGGTGCGAACGACGCAGCAGGAGGTCCAATCCTTGAAGCGAGGATCACAGGAGGCCTCTGCGAGGGTCAAATCTCCGTTTTTTTGGTTTTGGTATCAACCATGTAACAATGTAACAACTCGGAAGTTTCAGGCCAATGCGGCCGTGAGAGAGGGCTTCGCGAAGGCGAGTCGCCTGCATGTGCATCTTGTGCTCAACGAGGGCATCCTTGATCCGTTGTCACACTCTCATGCCTGTGCAGGTGCAGACACTGTCAGCTGAGGCCGTACTCGAGCGAGAAAGCCTTCCAAAGGTCTCCGGAGAGCGCTTCTCGGAAGGCGATCGCAGGCCTCCGTCAACAACTTGCCGAGACGAAAACCGACTTGGCAGAGGCAAGCTGTTCAATTTCTGGTACTCAAATTACATCTCTCAATGGTTCGACCCAGGCGGAGAAGAGCCTGCAGATGGAGCATGCAAAAGTGCTGAAGTTTGCCGGACATGCCAGGAGCTTATGCAGCAACCACAGGTTAGACCAGTTGCACCTGTGTGAACGTGCCCCGTGCAAAGTCTTGCTAGCTTAGCAGCCACTTGTCGCCAGTCACTGTCAATCCAAAATCCCTAAACCCAAGCCATTTACACTTTTTGGCTAAAAGTTGCTACAGTCAATCAGAGCTCTTTGCCAGGCTGAGTTCGAGGCGGGCCGAGGAGATGTCTCGCTATCTCTGCATTCCATGACTGTGCCATGCGCAGATCATGGGAACATGATGAACATGTCACACGTGGTCTTGGCCTCGACGTTCAGCGCAAAGGGCATTAAGCATTGGACAGGCCCAGACGGCTGCGCATCAGACTTCGCGGCTTGCTGCCGGTCTTCGGGGGGTCGAGGAGAAGACTTTGCCCGAAGTGTGACTCACCGCCGTATGTCACAGTATATCGAAGTATGTCATGAGATGTCAGCTTCTGCGCAGGGAGCCCTACTGCACAGCATAGTCGTGATCGCATTCGAATTGTTTGCTTCTCAAGTGGCTGGGCTGAAGAAGCACCGCCTGTATTGCAAGAAGCTAGCAGGAGACACTGGAACGTCGCATGCAGTGGGTGGCGGCGTCCAGCAACGAATTGGAAGCCGGTCCCCATGATGTCTGTCAGCTGTGAGCCTCTAGCTTCCTCTGCATGCCCTTGAAATAGAGCATCTGCCTCAAGTTGTTGCTTCTTGTTTACTGGTATCTTCTTTGGCATCGAATGCTGTCGGTTGGCGGCGGGCGCATTCTGTCACCGAGGCCTCGGTTTCGCATGCCTTCGCGGAGTCTCACTCCGCACTGGCGCGCACCTCCCGGGCACTTGCGGCGGAGGCTTTGGCAAAGGGTTTCAGGTCGAAGTGGTGCTGCGAAGTGAGGCAGGAGTCATGTCATGGCATGTGCAGCTGCACCGTTCCGGAAAGCAACGCATGGCGATGTGCGCAAAAAGCAGATTGCCATTCTTCTTGACAGAGCTGCAGGTGGTGGCTGAGCGCTGTCGCTCTGCACAGGTAGAGGAAGACGTGGTCTCACGGCTGAGGAGGCCCGAACCAAACAAGACACTGACTTGTCCGAGTCCTGTCTCATCACTCTCTGGAGCAGGTTTGAGGATGCTGTCAGCGGCGACTCCCGTTCGCAGGCGAGATTAGATGGCTTCGGCTGGGCCCCGCTGCGAGGTTTGTCGATAAAGTCTTAGACTTGAGCCACAACAAGGGGAAGTCGGTCGGGCTCGGCTCACACTGGCGCGAGTGCGCTCGCGGCTGTCTTCTGTGCTTCTGGTGCTCACACAGGGTATTCCGAGTCACAGCTTCAGGCAGATGCAGTCGAGCAGCTCAACCAGGCCCGGGACTGTTTTGGTGCTGGTCTCGGCGGACAATGCCTTGCATAGCAAGGGTGTTGTAGCTTTGAAAGACTGATAAAGTTCGTCTGATAAAGTTGGAGAGGAGATGTGCCAGATCCGCCCAGTGTTTCAGGCTATCGCTGTTGCCGCACTGCGAAGGCACTTGGCCGTGGAAAAGGGGTCTTAATTGATGGACTAGCAGTAAAATGCCAAAGCAGCGGGCGATGACAGCAAGCATGTAGACGGAAGGGGGGATGGAAGACTTCAGCCAAGGCAGGGAGAGGAGCGCAACCTCTTGAAGAAGGCTTCCTCGGACAGACGCCTGTCTAGGACTCTATGAGTGTAGTTGAGCTCCTTGGGAAGGTAGCAGCTTCTGCTCGTTTTGCAGCTCGTTCTTTTTCGCGCACATCCGGACATGGCTGCAGGTCCATGACTCCTTGCGGAGCGTTGAGGAGCGGCGTCCTCTCGAGCGTCGGGAACTCGTCGAGGCACGAGCTTTGGCGCACGAAGACCAGCGGGCTCCAGAGCACAGTTGGCACGGGCTCTTGCTCAATCTGTGAGAGGCTGCGGGACGAGCCGTGGCGGAGGCTGGCTGTGCAGATTCGCCGCAAGGACGGCAAGATACACTTAAGCACGTCGGCGGGACCTGTGCCATCCTGTGCAGTTGTCCACTCCGGACCCTTAGAACTTACAGCATATTCAGGTATTTATGTCCATCCACAAGTCCGAGTGACTTCAACTGCTTCTGCGCGCCAGTGTGAAAGCTTGATGACCCCGCGGCCCGCAGAGCTTTAGGGCTTGAGGGGGTTGTGGGACTGGGAGTCGTGAGCCTTCGACGGCTTCTGCCAGCGCCTCAAATCAGAAAGTTGAGGCCTTGCTCGGAGCTCCAGGTCTCGATTCGGCAGCTACTGGTATGGTATGTCAACTTAGGGTACTGTGCCTCGTGTCAGCTGAGCTGCGCTTTCTCAGGGGCCCTCACTCCTCACCTCGCCCAGTGATGGCTCGACGCGACTTGCCTGAAGCGGTCATTGGGCAAGCAGACATGCATCAATGACCGCAGCTCTAGGGTATTGTAGTGAAGTGAGGCATTGATGGGCTCTACTGCACGGCGGAAACTGCCGATGAAGTGGTGAGGTGCAGCGAGTGAGTCTGTCTAAGATAAAGTGCAGGCACCGACATATGATCGGACTGAGGACTCGCTCTGATTTCGAAGTAGGATGCCTAAGCACGTGTTTTGTAGATGGACGAAAATTGCAAAAGCATATCCACAGTCGCAAGCCGATGCCCCACGTCAGCCAGGCGTGTAATTGCAGAGACCCACAACGAGGCGGAGAAGGTCCGAAACGAGGTGGATTACAGAACAGTTGTGTCTATCACACAGCCTGCTGCTTCTCATCGCCAAGTGTCTGATGCAGCAATGTAGCCAGATGTGTGAGATTACATCACTGCAGATTGACGTCAAGCATCAAGGGCACGTATTTATGTGAAAGGCAGACAGCAAATGATTCTGTGACAGGTTGCAGCAGCTGTGTCCGAGCGCATCCAAGCGCTCCAGGTACTGTAGGGGTAGATTGCGGGCATGCGAAAGTGTCTGCCATGGTCTTTTGAGCATTTTCCCGCGGCGCAGCACGATGAGACCGTCCCTCCCAATGCTGCAAGTCAGATGGTCAAGCTGTGTCGTGCAGCTGTCGGTTATGCTAGATATGCCCACTGAGTTCTCAGCTGCTCAAGTTTGAAAGCTGGGCTGCAGGCGCGGCAGCAGGAGCTGCTAAACCAGATTGACTTCATGGTGCAGTCCAAAGTGCAGGCAGACTTTTCTGCAAGGCAGTCAAGTGTAGTGGTAGTGGAGATGTTACTACAGCAGAAGCAGGAGGATCAGCAGTGGTGGTGGTAGTAGTAGTAGTAGTAGTAGTCGTAGTAGTCGTAGTAGTCGTAGTAGTCGTAGTAGTAGTAGTAGTAGTAGTAGTAGTAGTAGTAGTAGTAGTAGTAGTAGTAGTAGTAGTAGTAGTAGTAGTAGTAGTACTAGTGTAGTAGTAGCAGCAGCAGCAGCAGCAGCAGCAGTAGTAGTAGTAGTAGTAGTAGTAGTAGTAGTAGTAGTAGTGGTGGTAGTAGTAGTAGTAGTGGCAGGAGGTCTTAGGTCGTAGGTCGTAGGTAGTAAAATAGTATGTTTCTCGAAGTACTGCGAGCACTGGTAGTTCGAGACGGGCCATTTTTACTTGTGCAAGCTTGTGCAGTGTTCGTCGTGGCGGTAGAGTTGTTCGTGGTGATGTTACAATTGCAAGGTAGTTATCGTGGTGAGGGTCGTTGAACGTGAATAGTGCAACTGTGGCATGTCTTTACTCATGAAGACCGTGCACCTCTGTGTCCTGAAACTTTCTTGTTTCATCTTTGTCAGACGTTGGAGAACCAGCTCCAAGAGATCCAGGGTCAGTGCCTCGGAGCCATCCCAGTCGAGTATGAGAACGGGTCTGGAGCCATGAGTACGTTGAAGACGAAGAACTTGGGCATGCGCTTCGAGAGGGGGTGGGCAGGACGAATTTTCGATTTCGTGGTGCCGGTTCTACAGTAGGTTTCTGCTAGCTGGAACTCCGTATAAATCAGGCGCCACAATGCATTGCCTTTCACGCAGCCGGTTTTCGTGTTGAAGCGGTTTGTCTTGCAGCATCGTCTGAGGTCAAGTCTGTCCTTTTGCGCCGAACCAAGAGGACTGTGATGCTATCCGTTATCACACAGAGGAATCAGCTCCGTCCAGGTGGGCGAAGACCACATCCAAACAAAAGCATCAGACGGATCGAGCTTGAGCGGAGGATCCTGACGGGGCGCCGATGGAAGGTGTCTTCCTACTCCGTGCAGACGCAGTAGTTCGCTTCAGGCCATGCTCGTGCCATTGTCGCTGCCCCGACTTTTGGTCTCCCCTGCTCATCAGGCTTGGGGACACGGACTTCGGAGAGAAGATTCCAGAATGGGGCCAGGTCGGCGAGAGCTGTGACCTCAGTTGTTCAAGCTTGATGCGATGAAGGCACTGATAAAAAGTAGACGAGTTCATTTCGACTATCGGACTCACTGTTGCGATCCTGAGAATCGACCTATGCCTCCATGAGCTTCGCGAAGGCCCAGATTGCCAGATTTTTGAAGACAGGTGACGTTTTCGCAGTTTTCGCAGCATGGCGGGGGAGCAGCAGTAGGAAGCGCCCAAGAAGCTCAGCCCTTTGCGTGCCGCGCAGGGACCCGGGCTTGGAGTGCTCAAGGCTGCGTGGCCACGTGCTAACATGATGTTTGGAATCATTGACTTGAAGTGCACTGTTGGAGGTCCTTAAAGCTGGGTACATGTGGCACTCAGCGGTCATGACCAGCTGTATGTACGGCAATGCACCCTGTGACACTGCCAGGTCAACAATCCCTCATTCCTGTGGGTGTTTGCGCCGGCATCCCAGCGCGTACAGAATGATGTGCGAATCTGCATCGAATTTGGCCGCTCCTTGTAGCCTGGGGGCGTTGGCCGCCGCAGCAGGGGATGTGATGTCGCAGGGCTCCTAGGAGCTTGGGGTGGACGGGTGGAGGATATGGGAGAGGATGACATACAAGTCGGGGCAAGTTGTCTCGATTTAGACGCCCGGAGCAGCAAGGCCTTTTGTGCTAGCCGACGACAGCCTCCATGGTCCAGGGGCAGGTGCTGAATTTGTGCCCGTCGCGCGCACCTGAATGTCCAGGTGTGATCGAGACGGTGCTCGCCGCACAGAGGGAGGCGACAGCCACAGGTCGTGCTTGTAACAGAACTTGCAGTAGGATGAACTGCTACTTTGCTTGCAACTTCACTCGCCTCAAGCTTGCATAGTGACATTGCAACGAGAAGTACCGCGATCGCCGCTCTGCTGAGGTGATCGAGTGGTGGCAACTCTGTCCCACCCGGAGGAGACTGGATTGGTCACACCTGGCCATGTCAGCTTGACAGTTCTTGACTCTATTTCGACACCACAAGCTTCTGACGCAGCTTGAACAGCAAAGCTGGTGGACCTGCAGGACTTCCAGGATGTGGCTGTAGAGGATTTGAAAGATGGCAGGTGCACGCAGCAAGAGACTAACCGCGGTACCGTCTGGGTGTGGCTTCTGCTTGTATCCAGCGGAAGGAGCCTCCTTCTACGTTTGCTTCGCGGCAGGTACAAAGTGACCTTCTTGCCATTAACACCGGGCAGCTGGCGCCCCAAAGACATGAAATTCAGGTGCTTCGCTTCTGTGGCAGGTGACGACAGATGTGCGAACCGCTGTAGCCGGTAGTTGGGCCTGTATCTGAGGCTTCAACTTGCAGATTTCCATCGGACAAGAAGGTGCCGATGAGGCGAAAAGGGTCACCTCCTTCTGACGGCGCAGAGTTCGCCCCATTCCCGATTAGCTCACCCTTACCTGAATCGCCGGTCAATGGATTACAATTGCGGACGGGAAAGGGAAGAGAAGATGTAAGTTGCGCGCATTGGAGCCCGTTCGATTTCGCCGTGAGGACTTGACCGGGTGTCCCTTCACCTTGGAGGTCAGCACCTCAGCCTCAGCACCCGGCTCTCGGAATGAGTGGGAAGCCACTGGTTTTTCCAGTGGTATTGGGGTGTTTCCACTGGAGAACTGAGGTGAGACCACCGACGGTCTATCACACCATAGGGATCGCCTGCCCTGCGCGTTTTCCTTCAAAGTTGTGCGAAACCTTGCGCTGCTCAGAAGCTGGCGAAGAAGCATATGAGACCAAGCGTCCTGTGATGGCTCATATGTACTTCATGGCGCAGTCTTGACATGCTGCATGCTGTGAGTTGGGCATCATGTGCCAGGATGGAGAGGTGGAAGGGAAGGCCCAGCTAGGCCATCCCGGATGAGTTCTGCTGTACAGTCCAAAGCCCCCCTGCCTTGCGACCGCGAAATTTGTCAGATTCATTCAGAATCGCTATCGGCACAGAACATACCTGTTTGAAATAGCTCGTCGAGCCATCGAAAATCGGAAACCAACAGCAGGCAGATGGCCGACGCAGAGCATGAAGGATCAAGGCTGTACGTATCTGTACGTAGTATCTCTCAAAGCACAACAGCAGGCAAGACTCCATGGACCCACACGATCTGCCATGGATGGGCGCCTTGCGTGTCCGGGTGAAGCCCTGAACCGCTCGGGGCCGTGGTCAAAGCAGGCCTCGCTGCTCGCAGAGTCTTGTGAGTGTCTTTGGTGGGTATTCCTTCGCGGGCAATGACGATTTCCGGTGTGTCTTCGCGGGCAACGACGATTTTCGGGTAAAATTGTCATTGCCCGCGAAGGCTTACTGGTTCTCCGACAGAAAACCGGTAGATCTTCGCGGGCAATAACGATTTCAAGTAAAATCGCAATTGCTCGCAAAGGGTTTCTGGTTTTCCCGCAGAGAACCGGTATTTCTTCGCGGGCTCAGGGCCTCGGTTTTGGGCTTGCGGATTTAGGGCCTGGGGCCTTGTGCTTTAGGGTTTAGGGCCTAGGGTTTGGGCTTTAGGGTTCAGGGCGTAGGTTTTGGGCTTAAAGGCTTGGGTGTAAACTTTAAGCTTTAAGGTTCAGGATGTAGGTTTGAGGGTGTCAGATCTGAGCTTTGCGGTTAATAATAGGTTTGTTTTCAATGTTGTGGGTTCCTGGGTGGGCTGAATGTTTTCTATTATCGAATGGACTGCTCGATCTGGAACTGCTGAACCCTATACCCTAAAGCCTGAAGCCTATACCCTAAGCCCTAAACCCATCTAAACCCCATAACAGCCTGGTGGCCAGCCTCAGGAGCTCTGCGATCTTTTCCTTGCCCTCGGCCTCGAGGAGGCAGTGCAGCCGGAGCTTCGCTTCATGCTCTCGGCCTTCGAAAACCAGGCGCTCTCGGCTCTCGCCCCTTTCGGTGGCAGTTTCCCTAGTCTTCGTCGAAAGCTTCTTCTCCAGGCCGGCCATGTAGACTGCTCGAAGCTTTGGAGGTCCCTGGCTGAGGTCGGATCCGGGCGTGCTGCGATTTTTGTGAATTCCGTGCGTAGTTCAGCCAGAGACACCCAATCGTATTGCCGTTCAGGCGGGCGGATGTCAGTGTGGCCACGATGGCGAGAAGGAGGAATTTCCACTTACCTCCGTGATGACCAGGGACGAGGCAAGTCAAACCACGTCGCCCCGAGTTTGTACATGCGATCACAGATCTCTGTAATCGCAGCCCAAGGCAGCGGAGCTTTGTTTGCCCAGTCAGGCCCCGTTGAGGGAGATTAAACTGAGAAGTCTCACGACTCCTGTGTGCAGTGCTTTGATTCTTGGGCAGGTTAACGGCCATGATGGTTGGATGGATGACCTGTTGCGTGATTTCTCTGCTGGGTGCAGCATTCCCAGAGTAGAGGACACGCAGTGTGCACACACAGAGAGGGAGCATGGGTCCTATGCAGACAATCCGTGAGGTGTCGTTCTTTGCTGCTTGTTCTTTGCTGTTTGCTGGTATCTCATGAGGTGATCTAAGAATCTTCCGCAGAGGGCATGAGAATACTGAGCTAGGGTAACGGGGCCAAGTGATGGGGAGCCCCCTTGCACTTCCTCTGCATCGAGAATGGCACAGACAGAGATTTCGCTGCAGTTCCGGGGTGAAAAGACTGTCCCCAGACCAACCAGCCTCGTTCAGAGTGTAAAGGTAGCATGCAGCACCACCACCCACTGGGGCATTTGAGTGATTGTGATGATTGATGCGAGAGCAGGGTCAGTACACGAGTTTCTTTACGATTTTGGAGGTTGTCTGCATTGAAAACGTTGTTGGACTTGTGGAGTCGGGCAGAGAGCCATGTCAGGACTGTGCAAAGATGATAGGAACGTCAGGGTTTTCAACCGTTCATTTTTGGATGTGTGCAAGAAAGTTTCTTTGGAATATGGTGGGGCCTATAGCTATAGGATGTTAGTCAGAATAACACATGTAGTGTTCGTTTAGGTTGGGTGATGGCAACCTGGCGCATCTCACGGAGTCAAATATTGCTTCGTGTGCTGAAAGGCTCAAATTATCTGCAGTTATGTGGCATATTTTGATAGTTGGCATTGGGTACGCTTAGGAAACTTAGGAAGATGTTGTGATGTTATGGTGACTAGACTGGACGATAATTATTTGGTTGAGTTTGCCAGGCATCCATGCATTTGGCAATTGTGGATGCCAGCTTTTACGGGATCTCCTAGTTGATTCTCTCCATGGGTTCGGTGGGGATAGCGGTGGTGATGGTGGTGGTGGTGGTGGTGGTAGTGGTGCTAGTGCGGGTGCTGGTGCTGATGCCGATGTTGGTGCTGATGCTTGTGCTGGTGGTGGTGGTGGTGATTGGCGGCTGCGGCAGTGGCACACCCACCCATACGCGCACTGACATACTATTGAATATAGGTACACCTATATCATGAAGTTTGAAGGTGTATGTTTGCTTTTTGCATGTACGTGCAACTTCATACATACAAATACACATACGGAGAGGCAGACAGACTTACATACATTTACAGAGGCGTGCACGTAACACATATTTGCATACATTCGTGGATGTATGCATGTACGCATGTATGCAAGCAGGTATGCAGGTAGGCATGGATGCATGCATGTGTATGTGTACGCATGCAGGCAGGCATGGATGGATGGATGTGTCGGCGGATGGATAGGTTACATAGATGGGTGGATGAATGTACGTATGTACGTTGGTTGTATGCAAGCATATGTAGGTGTGTGTTTTCGTACGTGTGTTTGTTTGCTTACCCATGAGTTTGTACATGCACTTACAGTGCAGATGTGAGTGTATGCATCTACATAGTTGAATGCATGCATACATACATCCATACATACATGCATGGATGCATGCCTACATACATTCGTACATGCATTCATACGCACGGACATACATGCATGCGTACAGCCAGACGTTCATACATGCAAGCGCCGATTCATGCGGATACGCCTGCGGAAGCAAATGGCGGCACAGCTACTCGTGCCCGAAAGTTCGACTAAGTGACTAGGTTTTGTCGTGGCAGGAGCGGGCCATGCAGATGCGCCAGCTCAACCTGGTCATATCATGCCTTTGCCACGGCATCCTGACGACCAAAACCGTGGTACTCATGGTGGTAGGATGTAGTGTGGTCGTATGCATCCGCTGTGCCTTCAGCGCATTCGATTTCAGCCATTGCAGTTACGGCCTAGCCAGCGCGATTGCGGCTGCTTGCAAAGCTCAGGTTGCAAACGCGATTGGGTTGATCCTTCAGGTGCTCGCAGAAGCCGAGAGGGTGGGTGTTGACGTGGCTCGATCTGTCTCACTTGTCGTCTATCCGCGTATCTACACGCCGATCTCCGTGCATGCCGAATTGCCTTTGCAATTATCTATCGATCCAGGCGTGTATACGTTGAGTAGATAGATAGCCAGAGTCGCCATTCAGCACATTAAAAGCTTGTGGGACCAGGCAGGCCATTGACGCCACCAGAGGTGAACTTGCCGCTTGGATATTCACCGACCGTCTTTTCCCCATGCGTTAATACGCCATCGGAAGCCACGGAAGGCTCCTGAACCCAAGAGAGAGCAACGGGGACAACGGGAGACTTCAGGTATCATGTTGTGGACCTGCTGGTTCGACCGGTGCCTCGGGCTGGCCTGTTTAGCGTATGGTCAAGAGTTGTGAAGAGCGTGACCTGCGGGTCATTCACATTTTTTTAAAGCATCTGTCGCAAGGCCACCGCTGCCCGTGCCTGCAGCTTCGTAGAGCTTGTGGCCGTGACTCGGTGACCAATGTGACTGACACCGCAAACTCAAAGATGTTACTCATGCAGTCAAGACCTGTCAGCAGCTCATCGCAGACATTGCCACTGTTTTCAATCGTCTCCGAGTGCAGACTGATTGGAAGTGTCGCTGGAAGACACTGTTTTGGCATATGCCAGCATTGCCGGTCGCCAAGGAGGCACCTCAGCCATGCGACTGGTTTGTTTCCCACTGGCCGCTCGTTCTCAAGCCCTGATGGTGATGCGAATTTATCTGATTGCCGAGCCCTTGGCCCTCGAGGTGGGGCGAGCCTGTCGTGGATTTCGCATTGTGCTTGAAGCAGCACTTGCACGACCGCGACTGAATCGCAGCCCAGAAGCCAAGCCAAGCAAGGTCAAGGTAGCCAAGACTTCTGGAGCATATAGTGGCCCCCTGTAGCATGCTAGAAACCCAGGCAATCTCCAGAAGGATGCAGCTTACTGGGTGTCCTGGATGTCTGTGCGCATGTGCGGTCGAATGACGCGGGCAACGCGTAGGACCTCAGGAGACAGCAACATGGTACCGAGGTCTGTGCTTATGCAAATAACCAGTGGGCAGTGCATCAAGATATTGGCGCAGACCCAGCGACCAGCAGCTTAGTGGCCGCATGCTGTGTGCGAGAGCAGTGAGCAGTGCTTCTTAGCTTCAGCTCCGAGGTTTCCAGCGAGCCATGGGGAGGGCGGCTGGCACGGTGTCCATCCTGGACAGAGATGCAGTGTGCTACACGTGACGCATCCGAATTTAGCATGCCGGGACCGGCCAAAAGTGATACAGCTACTAAGTTACTGACGCGTGACAGGCGGTGCTCATGCACGTTCTGTTTCGTGCACGTAGTTGTTCTGAAGAAGCAAAAGAAGCTGGAAGAGTGCCTGGTAAGACCCAAGTCAAACGGTTCACACAGCAAATAATGCATGTCACCGTGCGATACGCCTGCATCACGCCAGCTCATGTCGCACAACCTCAGCCATTGCTGGGTGATCCAGGCGTGTCTGGTGCATCTATGAGACCTACATCTCAACCTTGAAGCAGGTAACTGGAGAGAAAGGCCAGCCGGACGAAACGTGTAGCAACTTGACAGGGCAGTTTCTCTTTAGGAAGTGTATCTCGAGCGTGCATGTGTCAAGCAACTTCGCATGCTTGCTGCCAGTCGCATGCCGCATGCCTTTAAGACTTTTAGGGATTTGTGTCGCGGAGAGGTAATTTCTTTCCAACACATCTGTGCAGTCGCAAAGCATGTCTGGTGCATCGCCGTGCCTTCAATAAATCACCGGATGACGCTTTTGCGGCGCAAAGTCACCTGGGTCGGCTCCGGGACTGACGAACGTGGCCACAAGACATGGACAGGGCGAATTTTACCGTGTCCCTTGCTGAGCATTCGACAGTGAGTCCAGACCTGCAAAACCAGTCGCAAGCGCTGCTGTGAACCGCTGAACACATCCCATCTGGGCAATTGGGGCCAGCCGTCAGGATCTTAACACTGTCGTTTTACTTGGAGGCGACAGGTAGGTTGTCGCTGTGTCCTTTTTCCGGACAACGCTTGTGAGCGGAAACACGAAACTCTTGAAAGCTTCATGCGGACGACAAAATTACCAAAGGGCCGCTACCGCTGCAGTCGGCCCATCGTTGCCTATGTCGAAACACTTATGTCACAGCATGGCAGGAAGTGTCACTTGGAAGTCATGTTTTGCCGTTAAGACTTGGCACATCAGTCGGAAACAACCACCTGGTCGGCAGGCCTGGACGGCCTCACATATTACTTCGACATCTACACGTACGACCCCAAGCAGAAAGATTCTATCGGGATCGCTGAGGGCTTCATTGCGGCGGATGGCACCGGCCCTAAGCAAGCTCGGCGCAAGCGGCATCGGGAGAGCCGGTTCCCCTTCGAGCTTATCATGAAGGCATTTGACTCGGCCTCAGTTTAGGCTTTTCCCGAAGGTGGGTTTGCGTTTGAGGTTACATGTTGTACTGAAGCGGATTCCCAGCAGGTGGCAATTCTGTGGAGGTTACGTGCTTTAACTTGCCGAGTCTTGACGGCTAGTTAAGCAGTGCTAGCAAATGTGGCGACTGCTTTGCAAGGACATCCGGGTGGAGCATGCCGACGCTACCCGGGAGGGCGACCGGAGAATGATCTTGAACTCGACGCCGGGCATCGCCACGCTTGGGTTCTTCTTGGGGATCCCTCTAGCAAGCTTCCGGGTTTTTTTTTGGATACCGGCCGCAAAGCTGAGGATCGCACAGGCTGCTGATCTGACCCAAGCGCCTGTTTTTGAACACGAAGGCAACCGTCTGTCACAGCAACTCGCTAGGAGCTTCGCTAGCTTTGCCCCAGCGACGTGTCACCGTGGTTGGCAGAGCGAGCACAGCTCTTGCGACCTCTTTAGTCATCAGTCACTGTTGATTCCCTTGTTGATTCCCTTCGTAGCATCCGGGCAGGATACGCAGCCTTGAATGACGTGCTGCACGGCCGTTTTGCTGTCTCCTGGAAGACTTAGCAAGCTTCTCTTGAATGGTTCTCTTCGGGGGTCACTGCACTCGCACGTGGTAAGGCAGCCTCCTTCGTCAAGGCTGCTGCCGTTGGCACGAATCTGTCGCGACACGCTGCGGCACTTTCTCGCTCGCGCTTGCACCAGCTGACCCTTCACTTTGGTGCGGGTCTCAGGGTGTCAGACTCCCGGGTTCAAAGCGCGAGCAGCGGGAGTTCTCGATAGACGCTGTTTCTCAAAGATTACGGCAACGCTCCAGGAATCGACTGTCAGTGGCTTGATACGATACCGTCCTACTTTGCAGTAGTACGGAGATCTGCAGGTGGAGACTGCCAGAAGAACCTGAAAGATGAGCACGTGGCTTCTTAGCTGCACGTAGCTGCATTGGCTGTATGGCTGCATTGGGTTTTGTTTGCCGTGCTTTCAGACCGCATTGTGGGAAAGGGCACGCAAGAAAGTTCCTGCAGCATGCGTACCTCAGGACCCAGGACCTTTGCAGTGTTAGCTTTGGTGCAACTCACAGTGCCGACGGTAGAGCCGGGCTGTGACCCGAGGCTCTCTTGGCACGCAGTCTGCCCTTCGAGTCGCTTCAAGACCTATTCCTCGGTTTCCAGGGTTGCCGTCAGCTGTCGGATCCCTGGCAACAATACTATATAGTACTGATGCGGTGAGAGCCATGAAAGAGTAAGGCAAAGACATCTAGCATAAGCTTAGCCGTGCATCTCCAAGTTGCTTATAAAACTTTTGTGGTTTGCGTGCGTGTATGCATGCTTACATATAGCCCATGCACACATTCTCTGCCCGTCTGGCAGCACAGCCAGGTTTTAGGCGCGTTCGTGATGTTCCCCTGCATCATCTCATCCCAAGGACGTCTCAGCTGTGGCCTTGGGTTCTGCACTCCGAAGCTTGACCCGGCTGCGGCGACTGGAGCTTCGGCTCTCTTCGGGTCCACAGCTTTCTGACGAAGGAGGGAGCCCGTTTTCCCAAACTGTAGTTGTTGTTTTTGACCTCTTCGGGGTTCGTCATGAACGTTTGTAGCAAACGTGTGTTAAGCTAACCTTCAACTCGGTACCTCAACCAGGTCTCGCTCCTGGAACAGCACTTGCACAGCTCATGAATGTGAATGTTGCCTGGGAGGGGCCGTCTCAGATGTATAGCTGAAGAAACACAATGCAAACGGACCAACCTCCGCAGAGGCGCTTTCTTTCCTACATCTTCACGATCGTTGGGTTGCTGTGTATCTAAGTTTCAAGAGCACAGAACCTTCCTGAGTCAGCATCAAGGCAATGCGACAATGCTTCGATGCACTGCGTCCTGCTCGCGGACGGAAGTGTCGCTTCAAAAAAACAAACCGGAGATCCAGGAAACGAAAAGCAGGTGGGTTCTGGGCCAATTCGGACAAGCCGCAAACGGAGAAGACATTCGAAGTCAATGTTTTCCAGAGTTTAGAGTACAGCTGTTTTCGCAAGGACGTGTTTGTCTGAATTAGTCCTCCTTGTTTTCTAAATTGTTTTCCAAATTTCTCCACAGCCAACGCGTGCGGCTAGCTGGTCCGAGTTTTGGAGCCGTCTTCCGAATATCGATCACGCCCGGCGTAAAGGCAAGAGACCTCTGCAGTCCGGAATGCTGTCGCAAGAGCCGGGACGTCGTCCAAAGATCAAGTTCGATCTTCCCAGCGTCGTCTGATCACTGAGCTATCTTCTTCGACCTCCAGGATTTGTTATGACGACCTAGAATTATCAATCCATTGCAATGGAAATTTCAATCCTACAACCACTTCGTTTGTCTGCACTTGTCGTTCCAATGATTGTGCAGGAGTTGGCGCCTTGGCAGCTGGCCTCATTGGTGCATCGTCGACATTGGAGAGTCTGAACCTGGACATCTCCGCGCAGTCACGAATAACGGAGGCCAGGGGCCGCAAGTCTACTAAGATCTATCAAGCACGTGAACCTAGCCAGCACCTGGCCTCTCGCGCTGCGTAATGTCAACACAACAAATCTTCCGATAGACTTCACAGGGAGCAATGTTTGGTCTGTGAAGGTGACGAGCCGAAGAAAAGCTCAGTTACAGTTGATGAGTGCGATCATGACACCATCACCCATTCGGAAGGCGAGCTGCGGAAGCCTGGCACGAAGCGTGGAACAGATGCTTGCGCTACAGCAGGCGTTTGAGCGGCAAAAGTCTCTCTGTGCTTCTCGCTCGCTCTCGCTCTCGCTCTCTCTCTCTCTCTCTCTCTCTCTCTCTCTCTCTCTCTCTCTCTCTCTCTCTCTCTCTCTCTCTCTCTCTCTCTCTCTCTCTCTCTGCACTGTGACACAATGTAAAGTACAAACTGTGTAATGTTCACTTCAGACATGGCGGCATCTCCCTGGAAACACCGAGAGCCGAGGTGCAGATCAGTCTCAGTGCAGGCAGCAAATCTCTTCGGGAGGTATGTGCACGGTATGCAGGGGCCACAAGTACCAAGAGCAAGAAGCCGGCCAAAGGGCAAGAACTCTCTGTGCAAGTGCCCCCAGTCTGACTGGGTGGTGAGAATGCATCTTCCTCGCTGATGCCGGCCGCACCGAAAGCGAGTTCAACATGGCCGTGACAAGAGTCCAGTGATTGAAAAGCTGGGCTGTGTTTACGTCGTTGCAGTGGTTTCCGGCCTCAGGCGTTGAGGCCTTGGCAGCAGTCTGTAGTGCTCCGATCCAGAGCGCTGTGTTTTTGCCGAAGGCAAACCAGCAACCTGCTTTTCCACCTTGCTCAGCAAACGCCGAGCATCGGGTGCAGACGTTGCTTTCGAGTGGAAAGACTGCCTCGACGCCGAAGAGCACGCCCCGGCCACATCTCCACCAAAGCTTCGAAGAGTTTCCTGCCGCCTTCCGCCGGGCCAAGACGGTCTGCCAGGCAGTCCCGGAGAGCCTCACGTTCCGGACCGCATCGGGTACCGGGCTTGGAAGTCACACGCATGTGGAAGAAGCATGACGTGAGTTCGCGCTGCCTTCTTGCAGTCCGACAAACAAACTGACTGCATCTGGCTGCTGGCAGTTGTGTCCATCATCCTTGCGGAGTCGCGTTTGACCGCACCGGCAGGCAGGCAGCGAACCACATTAGAGCAGATTTTCTCATACCCAAACCCTCATACTGTTCATGGGAGGATCGTACAAGTGTTTAGCAAGATAAGGCTTCGCAGCTTCAGCGTCAGATCGGCCGTGGAAAGATGCCTTTGGAGGGTGGTCGGAGTTTCTCACAGGGATCCGCTTCCGTGTCTGCGCAAGCCCCCAATGCCAACCCTGCTTCGCAACTTGTGAATGGTGTGCACTGCTATACTTTTATACCGTGATTCCGCGGACGACTCCCCCTAAACCGTCCCAATCCCACAGTCTACAGCTTCAGATACTTCTTCATCGTGGACCAGAGCAACCACCGAGTCCAGGTCTGGGATTCCTCGACTCAGGAGGCCGGCATAACATGTCTGGCAGATGTAGAGGCGTCCGAATCAGTGCGTAAGGCAGACAGGACCTGCAGCCATCAGATCTTCTGCGCTGGACGGATGCTACAGGAAATCAAAGTGTCGCCTGCCTTTTTCTGCAGTCCGCGTGGTGAGGTTCTCGGCGCTTGCGGGTCGAAGGGCCTCGGGCCTGCACACTTTGACACGCAAGGGGCCCCGGATTCAGGGAGCGAGTCTACAGCCTTCGGCGCAGCTCCATCGTCCCTGCGGTTGTTTGGATCATTACAGTGTAGACATGGAGTTTCCCAGGGAGCCCTGGCTTTTCAAGAGTCCTGGCATAGGCCTTGCGGCATAGTTGCCGACCGCGAGAACAAGATCGTGGCCCCGGCCCTGGGAGTTCTCGCCACTTGTCGCCTTTGTAGCACACCCCCCTTGAGGGCATACCTTCTTGAGCTTCCAGTATTGGGACCCCACCCAACAACACGAACTGGAACTTTTCCGATAGGGTTCCTCCGTTCCTCCTCGGCTCTCGCTTGGAGATGAGCATCAGGTGTCGGATCTTCTGAACCATCGGCTCCAGGTCCTGGAGTTCAACCCGAGGCGCCGAAGTGCGAAGCCCAAACCGGAGTCCCTGACCAAGAAGACCCTACGGCCCCAGGGCCTACAGTGAACCCCATTTAAGTTGAAAACCAGATTAAGGCCGAATAGTGCTGGGTTTCCCTTTTCATTACTCTTAAGGATTGAGGCTATTGGGTTTCCAAACTTTTGGGCTTCTACTTGAACTATATGACCTGAGAGCAGGACTGGGGATCTGCACTTCCTCCATTCCGTGGGCGGTGAGGGGAACGGCTCTGGCCTCGGCTTAGATTCTCTTGTTTTTGCCATTAGGCTCTACCCGGTGAGAGTGAATATGCACACGAAACACAAGCATGGGGCGAGTCAGATCAGTTGCTCTGCGGGATGTGGGGCTTTGCATTCCGATCGCTAGCACCAGCAGCAGGTCCTTGCCAGTTCTCCTTCCCAAAGGGGCTCGGGCTCACGGAGAACGGCTCGGCACCCAGCGGTTTGCGGCTACCGCGGCGGTCAAAAACACAGAATTTTGAAAGCTGCGACCCTGTGGGATGCTTTTCGGAAAGGGGCTGGGGCAGGGCAGTTGTTGGGTGCATACAAGAACTTGAAGCATAGAAGGTCATAATGTGACACTGCACAACCTGGGTATGGATCTACATCAGGTTGCCTTCTGGTCTGCGACTCCGCGAACCACCGCGTTCAGGCGCGTCGGAGTGGTAGCGAGCGAAAACTGACCATCAGACAGCAACCGGCGAGCTCTAGACAGGTCTTGGACATGGAAGACTTTCACATGGTTCGGGAGTCCAGGGCCAAGTCTCCAAGCGATCTGGTTGGATGCTGATGCGTGCACGCCACCTGATGTTTTCCGTAGTGTCGCACGTTGGCCAACTTGGTGGACGTGAGGTTTGGATCATTTGGCCCTGGCGATGGGTGTGCTGACATGTGTTGAAAGAACGCCTGTGAGTTCCTGCATTGGCATTGCTGGGGCACGTGACGCCGCCCGCCGCTCTGAATGCAAATCTCCGTGCACCAGAACCTCTAATAACTTGCATCATACGAGCATATACGAGCGTTGCGTTCTAGTGGAACATTCCAGCATGTGTGTGTGCGCGCATGTGAGATCAAAATCAAACGACATCAGCATCATGACCAGTGCCTGGTCTTGCCATCCACTGTCTCTGAAACAAGAGGCTGATCAGGTCCTGTGCTTTACGGTATTTGCTGGCCAGGCAATTTGATTCACCGCTTGCAGCCACGATCACCTGCACCGGGGACATCATGATGTGTTGGCCACAGATGCCGGCGGACTGTCACAACATCTACATCGATGCCTGTAGATGTAGACACGAGCCCCCGCTCGGCGACAAGTGACGTGGATCAGTAGAGCTCGTTGCAGCCTGTGTCTGCCGAGATCTGATGCGAACAACCGCATCCAGGCTGGGCTTTCCCTCCAACGTCCACAGTCAACGCTTGTTGCGAAGCCTGACAAGCCTCACGCAGGGGTTTTGCGTCGGCCCCCACTGCCGGGCAGTGTATCCGTGTCCTGCGGAGAAACTCCTAGCTGTAGATACTGGATTCACAGGTCTTCGATGCCAAAGGGAGCTTCCTGCGATCGTTTGGTGTGCGCGGCAAGAAGGACATGGGCAGGGAGTAGCTGTTGCCGGGACGTGGCCAGATCAACGAACCGCTCGTACGGTTAATCGTACGATACCATATTGTGTGTCGGTTGCAGGATGGTTTCTTCCATTATCCCGTGGGCATTGCCGTGAACGACGAGAACGCATCGGGCTCAGTCAATTGTTCAGTGTCAGTGGTTGGGTTGTCAGTTGAGAACGTCAGCTTCTTCGGATGGCCAATCTCCGAGCTCTGTTCGCTCCCTGGACTCTTTCACGCAAAGGCTTTGCATTGGATTGTTCTTCATCTTGCCGAGCCTAGTTCTCTAATTACTTAATTCGTCTGCATTTGTGCATGTCACGTGTATATATATAGTTCTCTGTCTGTGTGTGTATGTAATCATATGTACGCATGCATGCATCTATGCATGTACATATACACGTGCACATTTGTCTGTCTGTCTGTCTCTCTTGGCCGTTGTTCAGCAGCCCGGTCCACTGTAGAGTTAGAAACGATCTCGGTTGTTGTCACCATCACAGTCGATACTGAAACGGTTGGCGGTCATGAGGATGACGGCAGTGCTCATGACAATGGTCGTGATGGTTATGATATGTTATGATGGTGACGATGGTGACAGTGATGATACTCATGATGATGCACGGCGGTGATGGTGACTATAATGAAAGAAAATGCCGCGGCCCATTGGACCGCAGTATGAACACGCTGATGTGCGCGACCTGATGTGTTGGTAGCAGGCAGACTCGCAATAGTCGTCTTCGCTCACAGCTCGTGAATGTCTCATCCTCATGATCCCCAGCAGCTCGTTATCTCAATCATACTCCTCAGCTCTGTGTTCATGCTTTTCCTCAGGGTCTTCTGACATTTTCTGCCTCCTCCTCCTCCTCCTCGTGATCAGCCTTATCCTCACATGGTCATCGTCATCATCAACATCAGCATCTCCTTCGCATTCATACTCGCGACCATGATGTTGTGCCGTGAAGCGTCGCCATGATCGTAGCAGTACAACAGCGATGGCTCGCACCTTTGCACTCCAGGCCCTCTTCGTTTGCGATCAAGGAAATCATCGTGTCCAGGCCGGAAGGTCGTGGATAGCTTGATACAAGTTGATGGGCTCGACTTCAGGGTTGCCATGATTGTCTAGCTGCTGTCAACTCCAGCGGTCACACCCTTCTTCGCGCGAACGGAATGATCAACAGTTCCAAGGGGCTCCCCCCGAGAGCTTGTGACACCGAGCAGCAAGAGGCGTCCATATAAAAGAACCGTAGCATGCTGACGCAGGCTGGAAATCCGAAGGGTCTAAGTGAGTGCAAAAACAATGTGTAGACTTGAGTCTGGGAGATGTGTCTCTGCCGGCATAGCAAGCGATTCGGCTCTGGGGCATAGATCGTGGTTCACTTCTGGGACGCAGTTTCGCCATGGGTTTCATTGCTCGTGCTTTCATGGCAGCCTGGCTTGCCAGCCTCTGCGCCTTAGCGCATGCGGGGTATGACCACAGCTTGGCAGAGACCTACCAGTGGGCGCAACAGCTCACACATGTGCCCTCCGCGCAGATGAACACAATGAGCTGTGGGCTGGCGTGCCAGATGCTCCCGGAGATTGCTGACGTCCATGAGCTCCAGAACTCTGTGCCATACGGGACGGGAGGCCTTGTGTCAAGCTTCGGTGACGACTGCCTCCTTGTGTTCCAAGGCTCAAGGAATGTGCCAAATTTCCTTCTGGATGTCGCAGCATTGCAAGACTCGCCCTTCAGCTCGTGCCAAGACTGTCGCGTCCACAAGGGCTTCTACGAAGCTTGGCGAAGCCTGAACGGTGCGGCGCGTCATGCGCTCGACAAGCTGCACTGCCATGAGAGGCCTCTCCGTATCACAGGGCACTCCCTTGGAGGTGCCATGGCCATGCTAGCGGCCTTTGAGCTGGCAGACAAGTACCACATCAAGGAGGTCTACACCTTTGGTCAGCCACGTGTTGGCAATGAAGCCTGGGTGAAGGCCTTTGAAGCTCGCATGGCTGGCAAATCTTACTTCAGAGTTGTCTCCTACATGGATCCGGTGCCCCACTTGCCGCCTTCTCTGCTCATGGGATATCGTCATGCAGGGCCGGAGGTGTGGTACAGCAGCACAGCAGGAGGAAGCCCGACTTTCTGCAACAAAGACGAAGAGGGCTGCAGCGGGCAGTTCTCGTTGGCAAGCAGCCTCTTCCACTCGTGCGATCACTGCTCCTATGTGGGACTGAATCCTTGCTTCGTGAATGATCCACATCCTATGTGTGTCGAAGGCGCAGGTCACAGATAAGATGCAGGGTTCTGCTGCCTTTCGGCTTGCAGAATATCTGCTCGCTTTTGTCCAACGCCGGTCGTCACGACGACAAGAGTGTCTGTAGCAATGCAGGCGGCAATGTCGCATTTGTACAGCTGCACTTGTACAGCTGCCCCGAGGAGGGCGAGCGAACTGCCTGCCGGGAGGGTTCCAAGGGGCTCCCTCCGAGAGCTTGTGACGCCGAGCCGGCCTTGATAGCCTCAGCTACCGGATAGGAGATGCAGCAAGAGGCGTCCGTATAAAAGAACCGTAGCATGCTGACGCAGGCTGGAAATCTGATGGGTCTAAGCGAAAGCAAAAACAATGTGTCACGGCTCAGCAGCATTGTCGTGACGGCAAGGCACCAGGCACACTGACCGGGATTTTTGAGACACAATTGCTGTCACGAGTCATGGCAGTCAACCCCCCTCCATCAGATCGAAGGTCTTCAATGCAGCTGACGGTCTTCAGCTCATGTTTCGGGCCGTGCAGTGGGTCGCTAGAGATTCCTCTCTCGTGCTCGTTGCAATGAGAGTTACGCAGCTGTGAACCGCAGCATCCTCTCGGGATCGCTGAAGAGAAGGTTTTGCAGCGAGACTTTTGAGTGCCGTGTGTGCGAGTGCGCAAAGGCAGCTTCATCCACAAGTGGGGTGGCTCCAGAAAGAAGAAGGCCACGCTGCAAGCCTCCGTGTTTGTGCACGTCGATCGGAACCATTGTTCTGCACAAGGGGGAACTTTTCTCCCTATCGACGCGCATGTCTCGCGATCGTGTTCACGAATAGTTCGATGCCTTTCGCCCTTCCTTTCCTTCCGCAGGGCTCTGTGATAGTCGGCAGCTCATACTCATGAGCCCTTTGCGCATCGTTGGGGACGAACCGCAGTGCACACCTGGAGGTAATTCTGACCCCCAACTTCAGCATCGTTGATGGCTCAACGAAAGTTGCCACTTGAACAAACCAAAGTTCGAAAGCAACGGAACTTTTCAGCAAGTATATGTATATGTATGTACATATAATATATACATATTAATATAGATACGGTATAGGTATATGTATGTATATATATATATATAGAGATATCTTTGTCTGTAATTCAGAAACAGGTGCGCCAACTGGAGTTCAATTTATGTCCGTTGCTGACTTGATGTATCACGATGATCCTTCCTGCATCAGGAGCCACCCGCAGAGGACGAACAGGAGGCCGCTGTCGAGTCGAGTGCAGGGTCTTGAGATGTTCGAAGTTCCTTGTTCTGCGAGAGCAGTTCGACGGAGGCCCCTCCGGCTGAGACGGAGGATGAGGGCGAGAAGCCGGAGGAATGGCAGGGCTTGCGGCCTTCGCCTCGGACAGGTCTATTCAGCTCATGCTGCAGATATCTGCAAAGCACTGCAGAGCACTGCAAAGCGCTGCCAGTGCCATCAGGTCCCCTGCGGGAATTGCTGTGAATGCCAGTGGGATGATTGTGGTGGCCCACCTACTGACCTACTGTACCGTGGTCTCGCATGCATTCCAACCTGCATGTAGCAGCGTAGCACGCCGGAGCTTGGCTGCCCAGCGCAGCTGCACTGCAGGTCACGGACTATCACAGCCATTCCATTTACGCATTCTGAGCTGCTGGAATGGTCCATGTTGCTTTGCTGTAGCTCGGCCAGCCATGCTTGTTTCATGGCGTTCCACTTTCGGGACTATGTAGTCATGCAAGCAGTTCTTTCACACCGTACTACTCTTACATCAGTCGTCCTCATCGTTTAATAATTGTTTTGGAATCTTGTGGCCAACACCTGTACATTCCATGTACCGTCTCTTCTCGTCGCAAGTAGTCCACAGGTGTAAATAGGAACTAGCCACATGTCGCCAATGTCTCAGTGCTTGACCTCTTTCAGTGCTTCGGCTGAAAACGAAACTGCTGGAGCCTTTGTCGTGAACGAGTTTGAGGTAGATGGATGTCTGCCTGAAGCATGCAGTTTGTTTCAAAATCGGCACTTAGCCGATCAACAATGTTGCGGTTACTTGCATCCACAGGAGAGTACTTCAGGCAGCCTTCCACTCTACTCGGTCTCACCCTGCGGACTCCAAGCAGGAATTTCGAACCATGACATTTCAGGGGTGTTGAAGCTGTTGGGAGCAATACGCCGTACCATTGCTCGACAGCCTGGCGTACATGTTGATGACCAGCTCCTGAGTGCAAATCTTAGCCCCGTTGGGGTCAAAGACCCCGCGGGTTGACTGGTTTACATTCCTCGAAAGGGGTCCTGAACTGGATGACTCACCCTGTTTGCCCAAAGGAAGCGTGTCAGGAAGCCAGTGTTGACATGCAAAGTCTGGTGCGGGCTATGTGTGTCGGCGACATTTTGCCAAAAGTGTGCAGGCCCGAGCCGATGTATTGGGAGAGCTGCGGGATGCTGTCAGTGCCCCAGCTGACAGCAAGCATTCTGATTGTGGAGAAACCTGTTCCGATGCCTTTCGATTGAGGGTTACTATCATAGGTGATTCGCCAGCATCGATGGAGGGAGCCAGGCATAAAGTTGTCAGACCGCAGTCGCAAGCACCGTTTCCAAAAGATGAATGTTGAAGGCCCACCAGGATCTGCGCCGTGAGCTGACAAGGTTGCAGCGAGAGGTGGCAGGGATTGGGATGGGAGCGTGTTGCAGTGCAGCGCACAGTTATACCAATGCAGTCTGCGTATGATGCTATGCCACTACAATGCTTCCACGGCAGGTTTGCCGATTCTTCGGTCTGCTTTGTTGCAATGCTGAATATCAGGAGGAAGTTATGGTGTTGTTGAAATCATTGTCATCATGTGTCATCCCTTCGGTATTTCGTATCGAAGAAGCCCCCACCGAAGCAAAGCAAGGTTCAGGGCCACAGACAACCGCGACAGGTGCGCGAAGCGGCACAGAAAGAAGCGGCGAAGATGCGCCAGGAGTGCCATATGTCCGTGGAAAGCCAGGTGAGCCTGCCCAAGAGAGCTTGCCATTGTAATCTCAGTTCATCCACGCAGAAAGAGCTTGGAACACAAAGCGGGACCTGAGACACGTCCAGACGTGATGTATGTGAGAGTGTGACGAAGCCTGCAGCCCTTGGCTGCGAGTTTACGGCACAGGTTCGGCGCGGCCTGGCGGCCTCAGAAAGCAGCGAGCGTCGCATGGAGGCAGGGGTCGCAGTCAGGTTGTTTCATGATCTGGAATGAGGACTGCGGCTCCTGCGATTCTGCACAGATCTTCCCAGTGCTCAGACTGAGCTGACCAGGAGATGCTTCGAGACCATCGAACTCGCGAAAGGAGCTAAGACTGCGACACGCACACTCACGGCCATAGTCATTCCTGGCGACCTACTTGCAGTGTAGTGTAGATGCCGACTCCACAAGTCTCGGATGGCAGAGCTCGAGCTTCTGCCAAGGCTCTCGGGCAAAGCTCGTTAGCATCGACCCATTTACAAATGCGAAAGTCGGAATTGGATTGGCCACCACTGACCCTCACAATGGCAGCGAGCCCTGCACGATGCACGCTAAACTCCTTGTCAAGCAGACTTTCAGCTGGGGGATCCAAATCGTTGGCAAAGCCTTAGAGATTTCTTCTGCGTAGCTGGGGGACTGAAGGTAGCCTTCTTGCCAAGTGCCTCCATGAGAGAATTGCAGGAGCGAGGCGAGGGTAGTGGCCAATACTGCAGAAGCCTTCTGTGAGGCCGCGGTGTTTGAGAAGCGAGATAGCAATGATTTGGACTGATTGTGGGATTTTCTTCAAGGGCTGGAGCTGGGTCTTGGCTGCCATGAACGATCCACAGCCCAGGACTTGAAGCCTAGGGCCTAAACCCAAACCATTTCTTACACCATGCTCATGGAGACCTGCCAGGAGGAGGCCAAAGCCGCTGCAGCCAAACTGGAGGTGCCGTCCCTTCTACGTGCGTTGCAATTGTACGACAGCATAGTGCTTGGCTGCATACACATACTGACTTAACTAGGTATGTGCGTATTTATGCATGTATGTATGTATGTATGTATGTATGTACGTAATGCATGTATGTATGTATCTGTCTATCCATCTCTGTTGCTTTGCTGTTCGATCGGTTTCTTTCTGCAGTCTGGACGAGTGGAGTCGCTAATGTCGCTGGTGTGCCCGTGTGCTCGGGATGGTTTGAGGCACAGCGACGGGCACAGTGATTCGGCCCCAGTAGTGGCTTTGACAAAGCCTTCGTGACATCACGGGATAGCTGCGAATGAATGATTCATTCAAGCATGTGTGCACGTATGTGTGTATGTACGTCATATGTACATTTCTGCACGGGTGGTCTGCATGCATGTATGTATGTAGGTGCATACACAGGCATGTATGCGTGTATGTACATATAAATATATGTGCATGTATGTATGCATGTATACATGTATGTATGCATGATGTATGCATGTATGCATGGATGCACGGGTTCGAGAATGTATATGTGTGTGTGTGTGTGCCTGCCTGCCTGCCTGCCTGCCTGCCTGCCTGCCTGCCTGCCTGCCTGCCTGCCTGACTGACTGACTGACTGACTGACTGACTGACTGACTGACTGACTGACTGACTGACTGACTGACTGACTGACTGTGCCTGCCTGCCTGCCTGCCTTCATGCATGCATGCATGCATGTACGTATCTGTGTATGTATGTGTTAAGGTATTTGTCTACGTATGTATGTGCTGTGTAGTTGTTCACGCTGTAAAGACTCACCATGCATCTCTGTATGTATGCGTGTATATGACCACATGGGCCCCTTGCCCAGCCTGGCAGGAAAGGGCGAAGCTCATGGCATGGCAGGCCGAGGACTGAGTCTTCACTGCGTGAGGCAACAGGCCTGAAGCCTGGAGGCATCATCGTCATGATGATCACTGTCACCTTGATCATCATCGCCATCATCTTCGTCATCATCATCGAAACTACCATCTTCCTCATCCTTATCATTGCAATCGTCGCGATTTTCAAACTCGCCTGCAACATGATGCCATGAAGAGCAGCAGCATTGTCCTTCGACCTACATGTAGCCATAGACTAATTAACCTGTAAGCATTATGCTCCTAAGTGTTTGTATGCTGAGATGGAGATGTCCACATACACAATATGTGCAGCTGCATGCATTTACGTATGTATGTCTGCGGTGCGCGCGCACCCACGCAGGCACGCAAGCATGTGCACATGTATCGTATGAATGAATGTATGTGTGCCTGTATGCATGCACTATGTATAACTATACACAGGTGTGGGTATGTAGGTGTGTGGTGTGGTGTATTCTACCGCAATGTATTGCAAGGCAATGCAGTGTGATGGAACAGGGTATGATGGAAGCGAAACGCAGTGTAATGTAATGTGATGTAATGTAACGCATACATGCATGCATGCATCCATGCATGTAAGTCTGCACGTACGCAGGTAGGCATGTACTCCGCGGCCGTCCCCTCCCCCTCCATGGTCTACAGTCCAGGATGCCCCCCGTCCTGTGGGATGGAGTGTGGGTTCCCTCTTCCCCCTGTGGGGTGGTTGTGGGGTTTTTGTGGTTTGGGGTCTAGCTTAAGCTTGTGAGTTTTGGGTTTAGGGTTTTGGTTAGAAGGTATAAGGCTTCGAGGGGTGTAGGTTCGCTAGGGTTCATAGTATACGTTCTGGTTTAGGCTTAGGGGGGTTTAGGGTTGGTTGTAGGGTTTGAAGTTTAGGTTAAGCTTAATAAAGGCAGGAGCAGGCGCTACTGCGCTGCGTTATAGGATTTATGGCTTGCGTAGGGCTTGTGTACGATGCTGTCACGCCTGGCAGTCCCTCCAGCTGCAGCTGCAACGGCCCCCACCCCTCTCCGCAAACGCCACCCCCCCCAACCCGTAGCAGACCATACCATTGGCGGGGGGGGCTGGGAACGCCAGACGCCTGACCATGTATGGATGTATGTTTGTATGTATGCATGTACATGTGTATGTACTTATGTACTTCTGCGCGGATGGAATTAGTCAACTCATGCTTGTGTATATGGGAGTATGTATACTGCAGCCTCACATGTATACGTACATGTACGCACACATGTTGGCACATGTACATGAGCTCGCGCACACACACACACACACACACATTTACCGATGCGAGCATGTGTCTTGTCTTCGCACGCAGACATACCTGTGCATACGGACTGCACACCCAGAATACACGGATGTTCATAATATACATATATATATATATATATGTGCATATATATATATATATATATATATATATACACACACACACGCACACACATTGGTTGAACGCAGATCATTTACTCAGAGACAGTTTTTCCTGCCTACACACACACACACATGCAAACAATCAAACACACATGCAACCATGCATACACATACTTACATACCTACGTACGTATAGACATATACCTAACATACATATACGTACATACACATGCACATATACATACGCATATACGCACACATCTACATCTGCAGATGCATATGCACATACATATACATACATATACATACACATACATACATACATACATACACATCGTACACACACACGCACACACTAACGCGCAGGCACACAGACATACAAGCATAAGCGAACCAGAAAACCACCAGATACGTACATGCAGGTTATCGCACACTATTCTTTCCTCTACTCCCGCGCCGACGGTGTAGATCAGTCAACCTGCTGCCTGGTCAGTTGTGGGCCGAGACCAAGCTGCACAGGGAATGCTTCAACACGGCACCAGTACTTGAGGAAGCACAGTCCAAGGGACGACAACTACTGTATGCTTCGCTGATCCAGCTGAGTGTCACATGCCTCGGTCCGCAGGAATCTACCCGGCGACTCGCCCAAACGATGCAGGACGTTCGGGATCATCGGCCCAAGCCTGCAAATATTCGTGGCGATTCGGCACTGCTCGACGAAGCACATCATTGGCCGTGTTGTCTTTGTGATCATCCATACTTAGCAGGATCAAGCGACCTTTGCCGTCAAATTGGCAGAGGCCGATTACGTGTAACGAGTGCCTTCTCGCTCATTGCGGCTCCTGCGCAGTATTTGCAGTGCCAAGTTGCTTGGGACAGAGCAGTAAGCTGTACTTAGAAGTCCAATACTCCGCCAGTCTCAGTGCTTGAATCACGAAATTGCAGGAACCCTAAAGCCCAAACCCATAAGCCCATGAACCCTAAAATCATAAACTGCGCAGCAGTAAACCCCGAAGCTGTACTAGCGGAGCTTGGAACCGAGCAGGCCACGGCCCAGCGCTGTGCAGCGCGGGCCGAGGCCGGCTTGGTCAAAAGTGCAGAAGGAGGAAGAGTAGCTGAGTAGTAGTAGCAGTAGTAGTAGTAGCAGCAGCAGGAGTAACAGTAGTGGTATTTCTAGTGGCAGTGGCAGTGGCAGCGGCAGCGGCGGCAGCAACAGTAGTAGCAGCACTACTGCTGCCAGTCTTCCTCCTACTCGAACTCCTGCTCCTCCTCCTGTTCCTACTTCTACTGCTACTACTACTACGACGACGACTACTACTACTACTGCTACTGCTACTGCTACTTCTATTAACTACTGTCATCACTACTACAACTACGACGACGCCTACTACTACTACTACCACCACTACCACTACCACTACCACTACCACTTCTACTACTGCTACTGCTACTGCTACTACTACTACTACTACTACTACTACTACTACTACTACTACTACTACTACTGCTCCTGCTAATGACGACTTCCACTAGTATTTCTGCGGCTAGAAATACCGCTACCAACTGCTAGTACTGCTGCGACTGCTGCTACTGCTACTACTACTGCTGCCGCGCCGCAAAAACTGCTGCTACTGCAACGAGCACCACGCCGGCGAGTGCTGATGCTGATGGTCCTACACTGCTGCCGCTGTTGCTGTTGCTTTGACGACGATGGTGAGGACGATTGTGACGCTAAGATTATGACGGCGCCTGCCACGAAGAATCATGGAAAAATGGTCCGATGTTTGGAAAGGGGTGCTACCAAGGGTGCTTCAGGATGGAGGCTGAGGGTTCAGGCTGTAGTGGTATGGCGGAAGTCTGCCGCGACGTAGTCACTTCAAACGTCCGCTGCAGACAGGAAAGAGCCGAGGAGCTGACGCGGCGAGCCCAGGCGCTCCGACCTCGAGGATGTGAGAAGGGAGCGCCATGAAAAGCTTGTTTCTGCGAGGAGGATGTTTCAGAGAGCTGCAAGTCCCACATGGAGGACCTCTTCGCAGTCTTCATGGAAGGCTTTTTCTGAGTGCAGACAGCTGCTGAAAACCACTGGGTTAGGTTTGCTGTGCTGGAGGACTTCCTAAGCTTGAAGATGCAAGCGGTGGAAAGCATCCAGGCCGAATTCTCAGTCAGTGCTCCGTTGGGGCTAGTGGACTTGGACTTCGCCAGGAAGACGTGCGGGTTTCCGTCCAGACGACGGTCTCGACGATGGAAGAGGTCAAGGGCCGAGCCTCAAAACGCAGGTAGCTTTCCGTGAGCGAAGAGAAGTCCGGCGGCAAACCCTTGATGAGAGCAAGTGGAAGTTTCCAAGCATTCCAAGCTCCATGGAGCATGGACTTTCGAGTGGGAGATGTCTGAGAACGAAAAGCAGCAGGGGCTCCATGTCCAAGTGCCTCTGGAGCTTATCAGAGGTGGATGCGCAGGAGACTCCCCTTGCTTGCTCGGATGGCTGCTAACGGCATTTGTAGGCACCTGCCAATGCACGGAACACTCTCAACACATATCTCGGTCGGAACTGCTTGTGCTTTTGCTGTGCTGTCTGCAGGCGCGGCACGTTGACATAGCTATCTTGTCGGTGCTTATTTCTTCTTTGTGTTCCGGCTCGCCTGAACTGACAGCCTCAAGCCTGCATTTTGCATTCGACTGGTGCTCTGCGCAAGCCGAATAGAGCTGGCATCTGAGTTCCAAAGGCCACGCAAGCAGTTGCTGCTCGCTGCCGGGCTGGGGAGCTCCTGGCTGAGCTGGCAGAGGTCAGGGGCCATGCTCACCAAGATTCTGCTTGCCCGCAGCGTGTGCTGCACAGCCGAGTGCAACATGTTGCTGTGGCAGCTGCCGCGACGAATGGCATAGCTGCTGAGCGCTCTTGCTTCATGCTGACCCGAAGACCTTTTCTCCGGAACATTCCGCCAGCTTAAAGTCGATGGCAGCCTTGCTGCAGAAGCAGTGCCCTGGCCAGGGCGAGTCCTCCGCTGCAGCCCAACATGCTCGAAATGCGCAGGCTCCGGGATGTAGTCGCGGGTGTGCGTTGGCGTTTGCAGGTGTCAGAAGAGGGAAGGGCACACGCTGACTTGAGACCATGTGCCCGAATCTTTCTGGTGGTGAGTCCAAGTCAATGCTGCCATACCTCGCTCCCGGCTCCATGCTGCATGCTTGCATCCTCTGACGGAGGGTTTAATTGGTTAGCTGAAGAAGGTGAATCTTTGTGTCAGGTTGTGCCAAGAAGTGGTCCCCATCCTTCCGTAGCCAAAGGTAGATGAGCGCATGATGCCACAACCACCATCTACCTGAGGCCATGACAGCACCGGAATCCTTATATCTGCACATGTGCTTAGTACGTACATTGAAAGCCAAAACCGTGGACTGCCCGGAATAGAGCCGATTGCAATGTGGAGTTCTGCTTGAAGAGCAGCAAAGGATGCTCCAGTTGTCTCAGCCTGCACCCCGGATATCTAGTTTAAGAATCTACGAAGGCATGAGGGGAAGTTGGCCAGCGATCTCAATGTCATGCACTGAAGTGCACATCCACGTCCGTCGCACTGACATCAGCCTTGGCTTGCTTCAAAGCTTACCACACGGTCAAACAATTGAGTGGACCAGGCTGCGCAGTTACACTCTTCGCTTCCGCACATCTATTGGCCGGAAGGATAGTTGCTACACCAAGATCACTGCATAGACTTGCTTCCTTGCTTTTGACATGTCCCTGCAGTAGATCTTCATCTTCACCGTTGGTGGTTTCACTCAGGCATGGAAGACGACGCGAGCAGAGTGCGGCAGCTGACACTTTCAGTCCCTCGAATCGAGGCGATGCGATCCTGCCAACTCGTGCAGATCGCCCAGACAGCAAATGACTTGCCACTTGCCAACTGCCCCAACCTCCGTAGCAAGTGAAGCATGATTTCGAGACCTGCGCAGGTCAAAACCTACCGCCGTGTTTGCACGTACGCCGTCTGTCCGGCCAAAGTTGCAAACCTCATCACGCGATAGGATGTCTTCTGCAGGCTGGAAGAGACAGCCAAACTAGACTCAAGTGCCATGACGTTGGCTGTGACTCAAATCGCCCACCCTGCGGTTCAGTTCTCGGACTGCAAAGCGTCCGCCGGAAATGGCCTCAGCCAGGACGGTCAGCGCCAGCCCGCGCACTTCGTCTACCATGTGCAGTGCAATTGGTCAGGCATGCAGAGGCAGGTGCCTCAGATCTACACTTGGAGCGAAGTTGCGAAATTCTGGACTAGACGCTGCAGCGCGGGCTTTCAAGGAGCCACAAAACCGCCAATGTTTTGTCGGAACTGTCTGTGCCCTGGTCTTGACTAGGCCCGACTTAGAGTTCGGCTCCAATGCTGATCTGCTTTCTCAAGCGCCTTGGACCACGGCCAGACTGGATCCCTGAATAGTAAGTAATATATATATATATATATACATATATATATATATGTAATTATATATAATATACTACTATCATTATTAGTATTCTTAGAATTCTTAGAATGATTAGTGTTATGAGTATTGTTATTAGTAGTAAGCCTGCCGCCGAGAGCACTTTGTTCCGACAGCCGAGGAGCGGGGCGACTCCTGCTGGTTGCGGCCTGAGCCCTTTACGGTGCAAGGGCCTCCTGCAGCGGGTTGAGGTGTTTCAGGGAGACTCTGCTTTGGCGAGGTGGGATTCCTTGCCAGACTGCTACACCGTCAAGAGAAAGTGGGCAGACCTTCACAGGCCCTCTTAGCGCTGCTTGTTACTTGAAGACCCGGAGACAGCTCCCCTCATCCAGGCTACACAGCTTGGTGGATTCTGAGCTGGCCTTTGACAAAGCGGGAGGCTTCCGTCGCGTGAAGGCTCCGAAATCTGGCTCCTCGTAATCTCTTGTTCTTTGTGCTGAGCTCTACCTCTCGCTTCTCTCTGGACTTTCGCTAAATTTGCCACTTTGCAGACACGCATGCCTCCGCTTCCGGAAGCTGGAGTGCGATCCTGAGTCGCAGGGCCTGGTGAGAAAGCTCTCCAGCTTCCTGATGTGGGGATCGCCCAATTTCTGAGGATCTAAACGACTTTTTGGTGACGCTCGCTGCCACGGGTGATGCAGTTTGGTTGCAGGTATGTCGAAGATGCATGTCTTGCAGCCCCTTGATCTGACACGTGAAAAGCAGCACTCGGCTGGCCTAGGTTCTCGCACTAAGCCGTCAGTGTCTCAGTGTTTCGATACAGAAGCTGTCTCTTTCTGCCCGTCTCTGTCTCTTTCTTTTCTCACCCTCCCTCCTCCGCTCCAGTCCGAGGTCGGACATCTGGTCGCCAATCAGATGCAACAGGTTCGTTCCGCCGCTTTCATGCACAGTTGAGTAAGTACGTCGGGAACTGTAATGTCTGATGCTCCTTTCGGCCTTCACAGGGGCACAGAGGGGAAGCGGCTGGATGTAGAACTGTGCCAGACGCCTTTGATGAGCTTAACCTGCTCCACACGATCTACGTCGAGAATCGCGCGTCGGCTCAGAGCAACCCGTGTTTGGGAGGTCTAGGCCTGTACGGTAATGAATAGTAGTAATCTTCCAGGCACCAGCACTCTGCCAGGCCCTATATGCCCGAACTAAAATCCAGAGTTCTTGGCCAAGGCCTGGGCCCATACTTCGCAGAGTTGAACAAGGCCTGGAGAAGAATCTGCCCTGTGCCGGCGGCAATTGGATGCTGCGGCCCATGTTTCGAGTAGCAGCAAGCTCGTACAGCGAATCCTGCGGCAGCGAAGCTGCTTCTGCTGAGCTAAGTAAGCTGGCACACGAGACCCCGATGTCAGCGTGAGGTCTTGGCTGAAATTCCCTGGCAGCTTCTTCAGGCTTTGACCGGTGCTAGCAAGCTCGGGCTGCTAGGGCTCGCGGTGAGTGCGAAATGCCGAGTCGAAGCGCTCGGTTTCACCTCCGATGATGACAGGACTGCCTCCCGTTGCGAAACTTCGCAACCAGCGGCGTGAGCTGCCGTCCAAGGCAGAGCGAGCAGAGATTGCTAAACTATGCCACCAGACAATTCTTCAGAGCTGCGAAGGGCGGGCAGCAGAGGAAACACCTTCTACGGCAAAGGACGCCGGTGATCTAAAGCAGGATGCTAGAGAAGCGTCGGCTTGACAGACACAGCTGTGCTTCGTGGAAGAAAGTCTGTGTGTGCTTGTTCCCTCATCTTCGCTGCCAGTCCGCTCCTTTTGCTGCAGTAGGACCCTTTGTCTTGGAGCCCAGCTTCTATCACGCGGCGAGCAAGAAGGAGCTTGGACCTCAGCGGATGTGCGAAGCCTCGGAGACGACCAGAGCGGCCCTGGCCGGTAGGGCAGTGGTGGAGGGCAGGGGAGGAAGAGGGACTCTTTTGAGCGCCACAGGCTGCAGCGATGCCGAGAGGCACGCGAAGCGAAGACGAAGGCCAAGGCCAAGGAAGTCCCTGCGCAAGGCCGCCAAAGAAAACTACAAGCTGCGGGCACGGGGCTTCCCTTCACAGCACCCGGAGTTGTCTTGCCAGAGGCACAGAGAAGCCCAAGAAGCTGCGGCGGGAGCCTTCTGGCAGGTGCCGGGCTCACAGGGTGCGACCCACCTTTCGAAGAGCTGGGCCGTTTCCGACGTTGAAGTTTGAATGGCTTCAATGCAGGTTGGACAGCCAGTCTCTGGCGAGTCCTGCCAGTCCTGCCAGCCCTGCCAGCCCATCCTCGCGAAGGATGTCCCGGAGGCTCTCGCATCAAGGCCGCAAGCCGCAAGCGACAAACTGTGCCGCTGGATGCTGCATGCAGCAAGGCTCAGACGGAGCTTGGTGTACCAGTGTAGCAATGGAGAGGCAGCCGTACGATGCTGGCCAAGTCGAACTCGTTGCCGCTGTTGGAGGCCGAGGCCCGGCAAGACCTGTCAAGCAGTGTGCCAACACTGCAACTTGCGTTTCAGACGGACAGACGGACGGTTGAATCATTGAAGCCCCCTGTAGTTCGAAGATCCGATGTCGCGAGAGTCGCCAGAGCTCCTGCCTCAGGACCTAGACTCCAGACTCTAGACCTCGTATCGCCTCTCACATCGCATGTAGCACGGCAGTCGAGCGGTGTGGTACCAGTCCGAAACTTAGGTTCAGCTGGGACGAGCTTCAGAGCTTGGAGGAAAAGCCTGCATACTGTAAGAGCGGGGCAGCTGTAGTTGCAAGAAGCATGCTCGATCTTTGGCTTGCAGAGGGCATCATTCGCCTTTTCTTGCAAGACACTCTGGAGGACAGCAAGAGTCACGACAGGCGTGGGTTGTAGCCTTCATCTGGTTGCAAGCCACAAGCATCTGGCTCTGGCATGCATGCTTCATGCTGTAGTAGCCTGTCAGAGCGTGCAGTTGGATTTGTGACTGCCGGGCGAGGCTCGCATGCTCCCATTACAGTTTCTTTGCGCTTCGAATGGGCAAGAAGGCCTGCCTGCCGGGGAGCGGCTTTGCGCCTCTCAAAGCGCCACCCCCCCCCGCGTGGAAAGCATCTGGCAGCTAGCAAAACCCTGTTCAGACCTGCATCAAGGACTTGGCTCCCTGCGAGAAGGACTACTGGAAGAGGATGGCACTAAAGGCGCGGCGGGTGCGAAACTGGATTTCCTGTGTCCTGCGACATGGAGTGGAGGAGAAGCGGGAGCTGGGGCGCCGAGCACAGCTCCTGCCCCAGGAGCTGCTGGCACCCCCTCGCTCCAGGCGCGGGAGCTGCGCTCCGGACTCGGGAGCCGTGCGGTGCAGTACCGAGCCGCCAGGCCGATCGACGACTTGCCGGACGAGACGTCGACGTCAGCTCCCAAGTCGAAGTTAGCACTTCGAAACTGCAGGGGTTCAGTTGTGACGGTCGCAAGATCACCGGAGCGACGCCTCTTGTAATCATGGTAGTGCACCAGTGCTTGGCGAGTATCTCCTCCTCTTCCTCCTCCTCCTCGTCCTCCTCCTCCTCCTCCGCCTCCTCCTCCCAAGTCCTGGTTATGTGGCCAGTCTTGCCAGGTTCAGCAGCCGGAGCTTTTGGCTGAGCACTCCAGATGCGTCCGGGTCCTTACTACTCTCCCTGTCCTCAGTGTCCTCGAAAGCGATCTCTTCCAGTACGGGCTGCACATGCTACACCCAGCAGCTCACAAGAAATATGCGTCTGCAAGTATGCAAATTCTGGCCAGAGTTTGCGTTGTGCCAGCATGTGTTCGGGGGCGGAGAAGGATGGGTTGCACCACCTCTCGCATGAGTCCTCGATCCTGAGCCACGCTAATTACGGGAAGTTGGTTTTGCGAACATGTGAGTATGGCTCAGCAGAACAAAAATCGAACATCCTTTCATCCCGCCGTTTGCTGAGCAGCTGAAAGCCATCCAGCGGGCAGATGTCCAGACGATGTCACCGAACACCGCATGTTTGCAGCTGGTTTGTCTTGCGTACGGGCCGAGAGCACACTGCATTCATTAGCAAGTGTCGAGCCCGTCCTCTTGAATTCTTGTGGGTGGCTTGGATCCATGAACATACGTTGCGATGTAGGTTCACGGGTTGCGACTCCACGGTCGCATCGTCTGAGGCTGTCGGCGAGCCAATCTGTCGAGCGCCTGCCGGCGTTGCCACCCCCGGGCTTGAACGAGCCTTTTCGAGAGGCCTGCGACCAGAAGCAGGAGAAGTAGCAGCACGTGGTGGTAGTGGTGGTACTCGTAATGGTGTGGTACTAGTAGCGGCAGCAGCAGCAGCAGCAGCAGCAGCAGTGGCCGAAGTCGTAGCCGAATCCGCAGCGGTAGTGGTGGCAGTAACTGTAGCGGTAGCAGTAGCAGCAGCAGCGGTAGCAGTAGCAGCAGGAGCAGGAGCAGTACGAACCTTGCTAGGCAGACGAGGCAATAAAGGTGATTATAGGTGCAACCATTTTGTGCAGTCATAGTGCTGTTCCCGAATGACAGCTGACGCATTGTTTTGACCGTTAGTTTTAACATCAGCACAATGACGATGGTGATGCTGATGATGATGATGAACAACATGATGATGGCGGGTAGTAACGATGATAGTAGCAGTCACACTGGTGATGATAGTCCGCAGCCATCATATGCCTTGTTCTCGTACTAGGCAAGTCAGCAATACATACATGTTGAACGCTATCATGATCCTCGTCGTGCAGTCGAAGTCGCAGTCAAGAGAATGATCTTCATCATCGTGAGAGAACTGAAATAGCATTGATGCATATTGATGCTGACTATCAGCATTATAAGGTCATTGAAATGATATGCGGACCAGACCAACAAGCGCAGGGATGAATGAACATGATGCCGGCACATCTGCATGTGTCATCAGCATGAACGTCGCCTTGTGCAAGCAAGAGTCGACACGTGGAAGCCCAGTGTCAGCCCTCGGAGTCAAGGATTCGTTCCTGTTAGGATTCGTTCCTGTTCTTTCGGGCTTCTGTATCAGATACCAGCTATGCCTCCGTTTCCATCAACACGTCTGATGCAGGGATCTGCGGGAACCAAGAGAAGCAGGCGGGCAGAAGCTCTGGCTGCAGCTTTTTGGAGCTGAAAGGCCGCATGCAGCAGAAGGTGTAGGTGTGGCAGGCGGAGACTGACAGCTTCTACCCGATGTTATTGCCGCCATTACTTGTAATGACCTTTCTAATTCTTGGATGTGCTCTTGAAAGTCAGGCCGGTGTCCGAGCAGAAGTCGTACGGTGTGGCAGCGCGCCCAGACATGCAACGTGTTCCAAAGCAGGTGGTACAGTGTGCAAGCCTGAACGGAACAGGCATTTAGGGTCTAGGGCTTGATAAGCAGAGTCGCGCATCTCCAAAGGCCGGTGCATAGCTTTGTATTGCTTCTGCTCAGGGCCTTGCCTCCCTCATGATGAAGCCTGCAGAGAGGACGGAACACATGGAGGCAAGGATCATCAGCTTGGACGTCAATTCCGCGAAGCTGTGAGTCTCGGTCTCTGCATATCCTTGTCATTCCTTGTCAGAGCTGCCGGGTGGGGCGCAAAAGTCGCATGCCGACAGGTGGTCATGCGCGATCTCTGCGAGGGGTTTCAGGTCTGCCTCCTTGGCGAACCTGCCCCTCAGGCCGGAGGCAGAGCCTTGCGCCCCACGGAGCTAGGAAATCTGCAGCTGCCAGGTGCCGCGAAGCATGCGCCTCAAGGAGCCCATGAAGATCTACCGTCTTCCTGGTCGAGAGGAGACTATGAAGGCCCGGTGCAAATTCGCAGAAGTCCAGATGAGGGAGGCTAGAGTCAGAGTGATGAAGCTTGACTTGTTCGTGGTGCGGCAAGAGTGTTGAGTTACCGATCTACAGCGCTGTAGACGTACTAGTGCACTTGAAAGCGTGGCGGAACCAGGTCTACAGAGTCTACTGCAACTTGCTGCAGTCCGAAGGCAGTCTCGGAAGCTTGCAGGACGTTGTTTGAGTTGTTTGCCGCATTTCAGCACCTGCCAACAGCTCGCTGACTTTTCCCAAGTTTACAGACGGGCTGGAGAGGTGGCACCAAGTGCGGGAGTGGCAGTGCTTGCGCAGAAGCTCTGTTCGTGAAGCCGTGAAGCTCGTGTTTGTCGCAGGGGTGGATGCTGGTGGTGGGCTGCTTCCTGAGCTTCCGCCCGACAAGGATCCGCACAGTGAGCGCATGCCGCGTGCTGCTTGAGCTGTGTGCATTTCATTCGCAGCCTCTCCAAGGGACTGTAGCACTCGCCAACCCTAAACCCTAACCTTGATTGCTAGGCGGAAAAGGTGCCACCCCCCCAAAAAAAGATCAAACCCTAACCCTTTATGCTTTGCCTGCGAAGGTTGCTTCCTCTTGTGATGTGGTTTTGGTTTTGGATGCGGCGACCTGTAGCTCTGTAGCTCTGTTCCTTTTCCATTTCTTTCCGACATAATCAGGCAGATCATGCCCGAGCATGTTTGACTCGCAGCCTGTTCGCTGTATACGTACCGTTTCCTATTATTTCCTATTGAAAAGCTTCGGCAAGCAGGGTTTAGCATACCAGCCAGTCATTCTGACAGGCTGACCTATCCATTTTTATCAATTTTTTTCGGGAAGCTTTCTCGCTGCAGCGCATGCTTGTTTAGGACGGCAAGAAGGCCAACTTGCACGAGACGCGGGCATTCCACCATCCTTCGCTGAAGAAGGCTAATGAGCAGGCCATCTTCCGGAGAGTACTCGATTTCTTCGATTCCTCTGCTCACGCGGAGCTCGCACGGATGCCGCCGACTGCAGCAGGATGTTTTTCAGGGTTGTTTGACGTCTCAACGAGGTATGCTTGATGCTGTCCACTCCTTTATCCCATTTTTCCCACTCCTCTCACAACCCCTTTCCTGCAGAGCTTCTCGTCTTGCTTCACGATTGTTCCTGCTCCGAATGTTCTGTGTATAGCAGCTTCAACCACGGCGAAGCCATTTTAACGCGGGCCCCGCAGCCCGCTTCATTGCATCTCGAACTGAAATTCGTAGCGAGTTGCAAACCCTACAGTGCCCTACAGTAAGCCAGTAAGCTCTGAGCTCTTTTTTTGGGAGCCTTCGAGGGCCTTCCGAGCCTTCCTGGGTTTCCAGGCTCGGCGCCGGCAGCGCCGTAACGGGCAGCTCACCGAGGCGCTGCGACTGCAGCTGGAGCTTGTTTTTGGCTAGACACATATATATATATATATGTATATATATATATATATATATACATACACATACGTACGTGTAAGCAATTGTGTACATAGGCTGAGGCTTATCAGTCTCAAAATAAGCTTTCACGGTGCCCCGCCAAGCCTCGCACCTGAGCCTGGGAGGCAACGTCCAAAGAAAGTGACACGGGCATCCACTGCTTGTTTGAATGTTCGGTGAACGCTGTGAGATCAGGAGATTGCTCGGATCTCATGGTCTACTCTCTTGCAGTGGGTGCCTGGCCTGCAAGCATCGGCACTTCGAATGCTTTTTTCGCAGTACCTTAGCCTTAAGTCAAGATTGTTCCGGCAGGTTCAGCACTTGGAAGACCTGGCCGCAGACTTCAGGCAAAAATCCCACGCCACAAAAAATGGCTTCCTTCAGGTACTCGTAGTTTGGGGAAGGACGCTCTCCGGGAAGGGTCTTGCCTTCGCCTGGTCTGCAGAATCTTCGTCGCTGCAGGTATCGGTCCGTCACAGCGGCATTGAACCGGGCCCTGCATCAATGGCGGAAGAAGCAGGCGTGGGCGCCCAGAATGAGTAGTGAGTAGTGACGCAGCAGGCCTGCAAGTACATACAAATGGAGGACTATGCTGATGTTGCTGGTTGTCCGTGGGTTGGTGAGCAAGTTGCATGTGGCGATCGGAGGCCACACCGCGTCAGCAGCAAGAGGGCGTGGACCTGTCAATGATCATTCAGTGGACTTGGCCAGCTCCCCGGTACCGAAAGCGTCTGTCGCTGGAGTCCAGTGGAGCTTCTCGGACTGCCTGAATGACTGAACATGCTTCCAAGATTCGGCTTGCAATCAGAGGCCGGACGTGACTGAAGACAAGATCGCTGACATGATGCTGTGGGCACGATGCTCAAATGCCTTCTGTGCGAGCTGGGATAAACGCTCTCTCAAGCATAGCTGGTCACAGCTCAATCTATGCGGCAGCTGCGCACAGGCATGTCCTTCTCCTGTGGTCTGCCCCATGCCACCCATACCCCAGCAGTCGTCCCGTCCGTAAGGGCTCGTGCTCCTCTGAGCCAGTGGGCCATGTGGCAAATCCGACGAAACAACCCAACCTCTCCCCGTCAGATTTACTACTGATACCAAGATCTTCGAGATTGAGCTGAGCAAGTTCAAGCAGCCAACTCCGCGGCTGATGGATCCACACGACCGCCGGATTCTGGAGGCTGGGGTACGGTGTGCAAGCAGACCTTGCTCCACTTCACTTCTTGACAACAGCTTTGTTTGTCGCGCTGGTGCTGGCAGTGGCTGTTCATGCTGTTCCTGTTCGTGTGTTCTTCTTCTGTTTTTCTATGCTGCTGTGCCTTTCCCGTTGTTCAGAACATGCAGCTGCAGTGCGGCAGATGCATTTCTAGATACTGGTGCGGAAGGGGGGGTTTGGGGTGATGTCACAGCCGAGGCCCTGTTTCGTCGACTGGACGACAAGAATGTGGGCTCATGCTCTCCGGAGGAGGGACTTCAATTGCAAATGGTTGTCTCTCGCAACGCTTACGACAACCTCCTCCCATGTTGCTAGGACATCGCCGGCAGCAAAGAAGAAGACGAAAACGAAGGGCACAACGTGCCTTGGACGCAAAAGGCTGAGTGATTTCGCTTTGCCCTTTCTGAGCCCATCATCAGCTGTAACAGGATTAATTGGTCTAGTTGCTTGTGGAAGCAGTGCAGGACAAAATGAAGAATATCGTGGACGTCGATACGGTGAAGGCCGGCTCCGGCGGATCCACTCAGACACCCCAACCCTTTTACAGGCTTCGTCATCGTCCCGTGTCGCCTTTGGAGGCCGTCGTCGGCCAAGAGCGCGTTGAGCTGCTGCCTTTCTTGGAGCTGCGAGCTAAGCTGACCACAGCTGAACATCCCTGTAAGGTGGAGGGTAAGAAAAGGGCCAGCCGTACCCAAACTCCGAGCAATGACAATGGCATTCAAGAGCCGAGATGACACCGTTCAAACTTGGTTGCCTTTCTGTGTCCATAAGCCCAGGCTGATGTGTGAGAGTGGTGTTCGAGCCCATGAGGCTGCCACAGAGGTGCATGCTCTGCACGCTTGGTTGCTGGATGTTGCTGGCTCCGGGGTCTTTACGGGGTGGCTGTGTTCCGCCAGACCAGTCGACCGATCTCTTGTCTTTTACTGAGCATCTGCACGAGTCGCGGAGGATCCGTAAGGAGGACTGCTGCACCGGAGACTCGTTCTGAGACATGTTCGACTGGACCAATTGGAGAAGAGAAATGCTTGAATCTACAGCAAGAAGACACAGAGAGACACAGCCGGCATGCTCCTAACGAGCCGTGGGCACGGTGAGGAAAAAGCAGCACAAACTCTCAATATCAGGGTCAGGGTTGGGTGTGATCATTGCTGCGCTAGCACCCAGCGGATTGGTGACATTGCCGCCCACCGAAACATGCTCACACTGTGCGACGAAGAATGTGATCTCGAGACTTTGGTGGTTTTCTGTGTCACGTCCTCGCAGAGGTGTCGGCCTCCAGGATTGTCGCTTCCATCATCCCGCTGCTGGTTGTCACTTCGACTTCCCGCCAGTACGGCCTTCTTGTGAACGCCCCGTCGTTCAGGCTTTCGCTCGACCGACTCACATCCCGTCCCACCTGAAAGCACAAATCCTGTGAAAGTTCACGTCAGCCACCTTGTCGGCGACAGACTGGTCCGGGCTCCTCGCTCGTGACTCCGCGTGGTGATCGCTGGTCGCCAAAATCACTCGAAGGCATCCCTTTATATCCTGGTAGCCTGACGGCTCGGCAGTGGTAGGTGGTTGAGGTCAAGACAGGAAATACTATGGTTGAGTCCTGATCAGGTGCTGCTTGATGATGGGCGCAAGCTCGTGCTTCAGTACCGGCGGGCAGCCTGAACCTTGGACATATCAGCATCGCTGTCGGTCGTCACCCCGAACCCGCCGGTTTGCAGCTTCCTTTACTACAGTAGATCCGGAGAGTAAGTACCGTATATCGGGCGGGCGCACTCATGCTGGCAATAGCTATTTGCTCGAAGGGTGTCGGAGGCTGGTCTGTCGATGTGGAGCCCCATGCTCATCAGATGCGATTGCCGACACGTGTGCTTGGTCCTTGCCTTGCGTCTCGCCTCTGTCGCCTGTCTTCAGGTCGACAGCAAGGTTTGGGTTTTCGATGGGACGCCTGCAGACGAGGACTCCACATGCTGCGGAGCATTGAACAGTTGAACAGATGCCCGTGGGGGCCACGCATCATCATGACGAGTTCGCTCTGAAATTCGGTCCGTGCTGTGCGGTCAGGAGCAGCCCCGCCGGGTCGCGAGAGTGTTCGAGGCTCCATAGATCTGATAGAGCCTTCGTGCCATTTCGTGCCCTTGCGGTTCTGCCAAGATCATAGCTCAGGCTGAGGTCATTCGCTGGAGAGCTCTGGTCCGGAGCTTGATCTGCCTGCTTTCCGCAAGCCACAATCTCTTCTCCAACGTTGTAGCCGAGCTCTGCAGTGCCCGTAGTGAAGACCACCCCTGAAAGATACAACCGGGGCCCAATAGAGAACTCACAACCCCTGACCCGGTATCTGCACAACAGCTGCGTAGGTGCGCCTTCTCAGCTGAGCCTAGTCTGAGGCTGCAAGGTTCAGACGTAGGTCTAGGATGGTCCAGGCTTGGCATTGTCCAAACCCGAGCTCGGTTTTTGGGGATGTGGGCTTGGAAAATGCGACCATCAAGGTCAGATCGGTTTCTCGGGCCGTTTGTTCCTGCATCCCACGAAAAGGTTGATGGACAGGGCTGTTTGGAGGTCCTCAGCGTTGGAAGTCGTAGATTCCCACAAGAGCTTGCTGTCCGGACCCGCGGGACTGCTTAGCATCGACACGGAACTGAAAACAATCCAGTGCAGGGTGGCGTAGGCCGATTTCAAATAAAACGCTCTTTTCCTGGAGTCCTTGACGGCTCACCCGTTTCTTCCTCTTCCGAAACGGCTCCATCCATCCGTCTCACGGCACTGAGGCCCAGGCCACACAGCGCGCGGAGGCCCAGGCGGCCCAGGAGGCCTTGCTGGCCCAGCAAAGGAAGGAGAGGGAGAAGCAACAGAAGGAAGCCGGCGGCAAAGAGACGCAGGCGACTCTGCAGAGGGGGCATGATGGGGACAAGTCCATACCAGTTGTGCAAGCTTACCGAGGTCAGTTGTGCAGATGTTGTTCGCTGCTTTCCATTCTGATGCTAGGAGGAGGAGGAGCTGGAGCTTCAGATGGTGTCTTCCGACAGTGCCCCATGGCATTGACACACAAGACATACTACAGAAGCAATAGAGACCGCGGCGACTACTACTACTACTACTCCTCTGCTGCTCCTGCGAATGCTCTGCTACTGCTACTACTACTAACTACTACAAACTACTAACTATTACTACTACTACTACTACTACTACTACTACTACTACTACTACTACTACTACTACTGCTACTGCTACTGCTACTGCTACTGCTACTACTACTACTACCACCACCACTACTGCTACTACTGCTACTGCTGCTACAACTGCTACAACTGCTACAACTGCTACAACTGCTACTACTGCTACTACTGCTACTAGCTACTAGCTACTAGCTACTAGCTACTAGCTACTAGCTACTAGCTACTAGCTACTAGCTACTAGCTACTAGCTACTACTACTACTACTACTACTACTACTACTACTACTACTACTACTCCTGCTGCTGCTGCTACTACTACTACTACTACTACTACTACTACTACTACTACTACTACTAGCTACTAGCTACTAGCTACTAGCTACTACTACTACTACTACTACTACTACTACTACTACTACTACTACTACTACTACTACTACTACTACTTTGACGACGACGACTACTACTACTTCTACTACTCCTACTGCTACTACTACTACTACTGCTGCTGCTGCTGCTACTACTACTACTACTAGTGTTACTACTGCTACTACTGCTACTACTGCTACTACTGCTACTACTGCTACTACTGCACTACTGCTGCTACTGCTGCTACCACTGCTACTGCTGCTACTGCTGATATTGCTGCTACTGCTTCTACTGCTTCTACTGCTGCTACTGCTGCTACTGCTGCTACTGCTGCTACTGCTGCTACTGCTGCTACTGCTGCTACTGCTGCTGCAGCTGCTACTGCTGCTACTGCTACTGCTCTACTGCTACTGCTACCGCCACCACCACCGCCACCACCACCACTTTTCCTACCGCTTCCGGTACGGCTACTGCTCCTGTTACTGCTACTGCTACTGCTGCTGCTGCTGCTGCTGCCATCGGGCCATTTGTGTTGTTCCACCCACAGCCCCAAACATGTGATTGGGATGCTGAGGACAGCGAGCCAGAAGAGCAAGCACCAGATTGAAAGAAACAATGCCGGGAAGATGCGGTGACGGTGATGAAGCTTGTTTATTTATTCTCCATAGATTGACAGAAGATCGCTGTTTCACCTTCCGAAGGAAACAACTGCACGGAATTCGCTTCTACCGCCGGTGTGGTTCATCGTTCTGGGCCATGCCGCTGTCTCGTCCGGAGAAAGATCAGTTGAGTGCAGCTGGCCATGGTGAGACGGTGCGAGGGGGAGGCGTGCAGGCATCAGGGCGTTCAGGGCATGGGGCTGCGCGTTGCCCGGTCACGTAGTGTCATTCGCAGACCAGAACAATGACAAGGCATCAACAGATCGAAGCACGGAGTCGCACATCGTCAGGGTATGCAGGGTAAGTATGTTTGGGCGATTCGCACGGAAAGAAGAAGCCACGTTTTCTTGCTTGGCAGGAGCTTGCTGCAGGCTTGCAACAATCACTGGGGAGTTCACGGACTGAGTGGGATGAGGCAGGCAGTTCAGTGCAGCTGCAAAAGATAGCAGTTGTCCAACGGTCATCCGGAAAGGCTTAGAAGGCAGTACTCGGGTATGCACGTGCTGGCAGATGCGTTCGGAGCTGAACGCCTTCGTTGACGAGCAGCGAGTGTTCTGTGGGTTCCTGGACACAGAGCAAAGGCGGGAGCAAATTAAAATTTGATACATTGTCTGGTTCCAACTCAAGCATTTGAGTCCAAACAGTTATCTGCCAAGAGCTACTACATGCCCCGAGCACCTGCTCGCTGAATTTAAGTTAACGCCTCATACTTGCATCCTCGCACCTTTCGGTTTCCCCGTGTCGCTGCGAATCCCTTCGATCTCGTTGTGTCCTACCATTGGAGGTCTTATCACGACCTCATACGACAGGAGGCCAGTACACTTTGAACCTTGTTTCGTTGTGCGATGTTGTGCGCTACAAGTTCCTGGGCTAGATGTTAACATTCCAGGTGACATCTCTCTCACGCTTGGTTGATGCAAGCCTTCGCAGCTTGGACTGCAAAGTGCAATGCAATGGAAGTTGCCCTTGGTCCCTTGGGGCATTCCCATTGGCTGGGGCAGGTCATTCGCTTGTGTGCTATTATGCGTTGTATCAAAGCACCCCGAGATGTTTGCGCTTGCGTGTGGTGAGCGCGTTTGTAACCATGGTGGCTGACCTGCTGACCTGTATGCGTAAGCAGCAGCACTGTGCGATGCACAGAGGGTGAAACAAGGCAGTCAGGCGAAGATTCGGATTTCCGGGGTTTGAGTGTTTCAAAAATCGCTGTCTGGTACGATGCGATTCCGTCCGTGCAGCATAGCTCGCTTCTGAGGCATTGATCCCGGTCTCGATCCTGCGATCTCGCCACTGACACGGCCAACACCCTTTCAGGCCTGTCGGCCGTCGGGCGACAGCTAAGCAGCTCTAGGAAGCTCATGTGAGCTTTTGTTGCAGGTTGTAGAGCCAATGGAGCCATCGGAGTCGATGGCACAAACTGCAAGGCCCGCGCTTCACCATGAAGCTTTCAAAGGAGATGTGCTTTCACGAGGAGTGCTTGACAGAGTGGCGGCAGAGCTGGGCTGCACGTGCCACGCCTGATCTGGACCCTTCACAGACGGGACAAGCAGTGCCCTTTGTGCAGCAAAGACCTGCAGACTGCAGGAAGAAAGTCGAGCATTCTTAAAGGAATTGACTCCGTTACTTCCTGCAATCATCTCTTGGGGTTCTGGTTGACGAAGTGCGAGCTGGCTGCACCAGCAGACGTCCTGCAACCAACACAGGGGTTGCCACTGCAGCTGGGGGTTCGCGAGTGGGCTGCGCAGAAAAAGTGTCATCGCTGCAAAGTGTCGGTGCATCCAATATCTGCCTGTGGAAACAAGTCAGCGAGCTTATCGGAGAGCTATCCTGTTCAGGGAATGATCTCAAAATTCAGAACTCACCGGCAGAAGTTTAATTCTGGCAACAGGATTCGGGACCACATGGAACAAGGCAGCAAACTTGACAACGGCGTTGCAGTTTATCTATCAAGCAGCATGGACATGATGCATGTATCAAGCTAACTAGGTCGGCCGACACCAGAATCTTTGCACCAGTTTCACCGCAGCATATCCAAACGCAGCGCCGTTATCCGCCAGTCCGAATAGCCGATCATCAGTGCGAGCACAGGCCTTGAGCATTGGCTACTGAGAATCGCTGATCCATGCAGCAGCAAGTGACGGATGTCAGCTACTGAGCCAGATACTTCAGACTCCCCGGACCCGGGGTGCCATCGACTTCTTCCGCTCATGGCCATGGTGCTGCAGTGCGGTCTAAGGCTTCTGCTTCAGGGCAGCCTGATTTGTGGCACATCACTATCATTATCATTACAAGTGACAACCAAGCTGTCATTCCTGAATTAAGAAGGCATTTCCCCGGATCAGACACACAGACACTCGGTCTACGGTTGGGGCTCGGGGAGAGGATCTCGGGTTTTAGGGTTCAGGGTCTGAGAGTTATGGCTGGAGTGCTGCTTTGTTGCCCATTCGCACGCTCTCTCTAACAAAGTGTTTCTTATACGAAGACGAACAGGCAAGGAGCATGACGAAGAACGACGATGAGGCAGAGGAGGAGAAAGCTGCAACCCAACCGGTGCCATTCTGAGCAGAAGTTCTCGGCAAAGAATCGTGTCTACGTCAAACTTGGCTTCCAGCCCTTGTCCAAAGAGTTTTTCTGGCTTTGACTTCTGCCAGCGTTGAGAGTCTCTGGAAGAATTCGCGAGATTTTCAGCTAGCCAGTAGACTGCGAAGGGCATCGTACGACTTCCTCACACGTTACGGTTGTGTACCGCATGCCGCTTCTTGGTTTTCGGGCTTCTCTTGCGGTATCGGTTTCTCCGGGGTAAATTCCTGGTTTCGGGTTCTCGTGTCGAGCCCGTTTAGGGTTACATGTATTGTCCTGCGACTGCAAGGTATGCCAACAGCCACTCGTTTGGGGTTGACGGTGCACCACATGCCACTCCAATTTGCGGTTAGCCGCTCTCCACTGCTTTTCAGAGTTTCGAAATTCCAACTTGCCAGTACTTGAAAGTTGCCGCACCGTTTAGACGTTTAATTAGGATTTATCAGCGCTCTTTTTCATTGTCGTTTGGATTTCTTTGTGCGTTCTTTGCACTTGCTTCTTCCTTCGGTTCTTTCAGCCATCCTTTTGCTTTTCGTGTTTTCCTAGTGCTCAGTGCAAGTTCCTACAAGTTCCCAGGCGAGTCCTGGAGGTCCGCTGACTTTGAGAAAAACTAGCATGTCTTGCAAGGCCACCACCACTTAGTGTGTTCGAATCTAACGTGGCAGTGTTGCATTCTGAGGCGGCACCTAGAAGTTATAGAAGTTCCCGCACAGTAAGCTCCCTTGGCTCCTCTGTGATCTACAGCCTGCATGCTCACCTCTCGTCTAGCTGCCGAGGTGGTGCCCAGCATCCCGATACCCATCCCGGGTGCCGAGCCTGCCATTGGACCACAGGCGCAAACTTTGTCTTTACCAGGCTGTTGTGGTTCTCACCATGCGTCCACTAGCCGAGTCCAACTGCAGCAGCGCAAAGGTAAACTAGTCGCAACTGAATGGGGGGGAGACTTAGTTGGGTTTTTTCAAGTTGCGGTTTCGCCGAAGGACTGACATAAGATGCAGCCTTCCAGCTGTGAAGCGATGCCCGCGCGTTCGTGTTTCTGACAAAGCCCCGCTTGTTCTTAGGACTTTCTCAGCTGTTTTTTAGTGCTTCCGTAGTGAGTGCCTGCCTGCCACAGTACTGGTAGCGGCTCATTGTGCCTTGCATCGCCCATTGGACTACGCATTGCCTGGCTTGTTGAAGGTGAACTCGCTGCGACCATCCTCAGCAAGGTGCTACTGTAGCATGTTGCCACGAGCTGGTGGGACTTGTTCATGATCAAGAGAGAACAGAAAGGCAAAGCAAAGCCATCAACATGCTGGGAACGGAGGGTCAATGTTGATAACTACACGGACCACGGTAATTACGCGGCTGCATGATTCGGAAACCAGCTTGTTTCTGTAGTCCACAGCCCGCAGTATTGGCTCAAGCCCCCCCCTCAGAGCTCTGTGGGACCATTTTGGATCAAGACAGCACCGGCATTTTGAACCTCGAGTTGACTGCTGAGTAGATAAGTTGTTCCACAGAATTAAAACTAGATCACTTGGCCTTATGAGAGCCTGGTTATCGCTGGAGACGCTTTGCGCACTGGCGCTGGCAGACTTGGGTGCAGCGCGCACCTACCACACGCATCTCGAAGCAGCTGGAGCGGACTTTTTCTCTGGAGGGCGTCCCAAAGAGAAGCTAAAGTAGCTAAAGGAGAGACTCCACCATTGTGCTTACAGGCCGCTTGAGGTGCCTTTCGCATCCTTTTGTTCACGTCTGCACAGCAAAGATCGGTGCCTGGGGTTTGTGCACGCCTTCCTCAGTCAGTACTGCCGGTTCAGCTGATAGCGGGAAGCAGACGAGTGTTTGGTGGTACCAGGGGCAGACTCGCCATAGGCATCCATAGGCCACCTCTTCTAAGTAAGGTCCTGCGCTCGCAACAGATCCCATAACATGGCACGCGGCGATAGTTGGACTCCTTGGACTTAAGCACGACATAGAGCCAGAGGACTGCGCATACACAACTCGTGCTCCAAGGTACCTGGATCTGTCAAGACGCCCTGGCTTGAGACGGACGGTTGCGCGCCCAGATGGCACGCTTCTCAAACTGGCACTGGTCGAGAACTGCACGAGCGTGAAGGCACCTGATGGGTTTTGAGCCTTTCCCATGCCTGTAGCCGGCCCTTGTGTTGCCGACCCATAGATCGTAGCATTGGAAGGTTCTCCCTGAAGTGCTCTCTGTACGAAAAACTTCCAAAATCGCACGGAGTGTCGCAGGCAGTGGCGATGGACATGGACGAGACGCTGATCGGAGAAGTAGACGTTTCGGATGCTGCGCCTTGCCGCAGCGAGGTTGTTTCCATCCATGCACGGACCGCAGCGGCGCTTAGGGGGGCAGCAGAAAAGTTGAATTTCCGTCAAGCATCTTCGAGTGATGCCTCGGGAAAGTTCAGGACACGCAAGCCAGACTGCTCACCACGGAGTTGGAGGCCGCTTGCAAACCATTTGGCTCCATCTCTTTGGTTTTCGCGTGTGGCCGCCCCGCACCCTGCAATGCAATTCGTGAGGTACACGGGCTGACAACCTGGCACTTTCCAGATGAGGACCTACTCGTCTGGTACAGGTCGACATTTGAGACTCTGCAGCTGGAAGCTCAGGAGGCTCTTGCCCGGTGGCAAGGTCCCTGGAAGCGGGGCGTCCATGTCGAAGCCTGCGCACAGCCGGAGGAGTCTGGGAGCGGCAAATGTCCCCTCATCACACTGCGATTTCCATCTTTGCATTTCTCTATTGACTCTGGATGGGGCTGGCGGCACGGGGGGTTTCGAACTAAGACAGCTGCCGCTTGATGTTCATTCAATGTAGCCAAATGATTCCGGCCCCGCTACCCCCCTCTGCATCAGCAGAAAGGCGCAGACTGCGGTTGGCCGCTAGAGTACTATCCAGCATAACTAACTCTTATGCACAGGTGCGGGAAGGCTTTCTGTCGCTTTTCAGAAGCAGGATGGAGCCATTATAGGGGACTCCAAACCCGAAGCTGACTAAGAGACGCGCCAGCTGACGCAGGACACCCATCTATCGCAAGCCTTCGAAAGCCTTTTCAGCAAGCTGCTGCCGGCTTCGCGCTCCCGACAGAGGCTTCTACAAGTTGGGGATCTGCGTGACTCGAATGAGGAGGATCCTGCAAGGGTTCTTGCACCTTGGCCACGCAGAAGTCTCGACCTTTGGATCTGGCAAATCATTGACCATTGTGATTATAGCAAGCGGCATCATAAGTCAGTAGTCCAGCGGCATCTAGAGAACCGTCTCTCCCGAGGTGCAGCGGCACGGTCTGAAAGGAATGGTAGCAGCCGGCAGCAGACCATCTGAATCTCCAGAGACCTGGCGCCAGGGGCCGCCACGAAGCGTCGCGCAGTTCAGCTTGGCTGTGTGACCTTCAGGGTGCAGATTTCAGAGTGGAGTGCGAGTCGATAGCAAGTCTCTGATGGCTAAAATTATTTTGTGTGCATGGCCTTTCCGCTCGCTGGGATTTGGGTCGCCGCTCCAGGGTTTCGCACAAACGCCCTTTGTTCGTAGGTCAGGACGAACCCAGACACAGCAAAAGCCGAACTTAAGGAAGCCTCCGCACAAGAATGGACGTCCCAGGCAATCAACCTTTCTCTAGAGGGCGGAACTGAGCTTGCGCGGCAGCTTGGCGAGTGGGCGCAGGCATGACACGCTTCGACTGGGCTCGACCACCTCAAAGCAACTTCTGTTGGGTAGATCTGAAAGCGTACGAGTAGAGGGGGTAGCTTGCGGGATTCTGAGCCTTGGGGGCTTTGAAAGCACGCATGGCCGAGCTCGAAGGGCGGCGTTGACAGAACGGATTGTTTGTGGTGTGCGGTGTGCTTGTGTTCAATTACCAATGTCCTTTGGACAGGTAGACGTGTTGCGCATGGACCAGGGCTTGCCAGGTTCCTGCATGCTGTTGCGAGGTTTGACGCTTGGTCCGCATGGCTTCGATGTTGGGTCCGCAAGAGCTCTTCACGTTTGTCTCCATGTCTGCGACGCTCGAGTCGTTTATGCATGTGAGGCTCGTCGGCGGCCTCTCCGCTCGCATGATTGTCAGCTTCACCAACAGTCAGTTCCCACCTCCGCTGCGCTACGTGGGCCTCGCCGAGGAGCTCCCTGAGTCACTGCAAGGCTGTGCTTTAGACCCTCTTTCGCATCGCTTTTGTTATTTGGTTAGTAGCTTTGACTGTTTCTGGGCTTCCGGCGCGCTTCCATGCTTGGCTTGAAGGGTCAGCACCAGCCAAGGTTCCCTGAGCTACCTGCAAGACATTCTCAAAAGGGAGGGGTTTCGACTCCAACTGCTGTCGGGGCCCTATGCAGCCTTCGTGCACGACGACCTCGCTGCGAGCGCTGAAGAAGGGCTTCTTCCCGATGTCGATGAGTTCGCTCCTCGAGTCTGCAAAGACATCTTCTTCTACTTTTCGAGTCATCGAGCTATAATAATAATAAGGTGCTTATTGTGGATGTTTGTATGTGTCATTATTTCTGGGTGATGCGCTCAGGAATGCTACCGATCCAGCCGCATTTGGGGCTTTGAACCTGATTTTCCGATAGATGTGGTGCGAGACTGGTTCTTCGGTATTGCGAGCTCACCTGCTGCGTCACAGGCCATTCAACTGGAGTTCTTCTGGCTCTCGTGGCTAAGGATGCCGATGCGTTTTTTAACCTAGCTCGTGTAGCAGACCATCCCTGCAGGAGGTCCTCAGCCGCAGTTTCGGGAATGTGTCTCAACTGGTGAGTCACCTGCCGATGGAGAGGAAGCCTGGATACCTTCTGTATCTCTAGCAGCAGCTGGCGAATTATGGCCAGCGGATGGTGGGTATTGTAGCCATGTGTGATGGAGGTGCTATATCCACGTTTGCTGCACGTTGCGCGAACCACCGACAGAAAGCGTGGGACTCTGAGGATCTAATGTTACAGGGAAATTGGAAGATCCGATTTACGAGTATCAAGTTTTGAGTTGCCCACAGCTTTGCGAGTCTCGTGAAGCTGTTTGTGTGTAGAGCTTAATAGTGCCTCTGTGCTCGCTCAATTTTGGCAGACGTGAGCGAGATAGCCGAACGTGGCTGCCCTGCGAGCACGGAGAATTAGATACCCGTTGAGGTTGTCGAGCCGACTGTCGAGCAACGGAGCAAACCACAGAATGGCCTGTTAGAACAGACGGGGAAAAAGGAAAACTCGGGCACAGCTACTGATTGGGGCCAGGTACTCCTTCGCACGAGAAAGGAAGAAGGATGCCTGGAGTGGCGAGGTGGGGTTTGGGGGTTTGGGCGCAGCCTTGCAGGGTTCTGGCCATGAGCGCTTCTCAGGGCACACCTGGCCCGGGCTACTATTCCATGGACTATGCCAACGCGCTGGTCTGTTGGAGCCTCACGGGCCGTAGGCCACAGCACGGCTCAGCCAAGACCTCAGGACGACTCACGGCAGCTTTGACCAAGGTGCTTCCGCTGCCAGTATGGGAACTGCCGCTGCACGGTCACACTGTAGCGAGACGTCAGAGGCTGAGGAGGTCACTGAAAAGTCATCGGTCACAGTTCATTGCATTTCTGTGCTTTTCTGTTGAGTGATATCGGTCTTTGGACTGCAGGCGGCGATCCCTGAAAAAAGAGAAGAGTGTGCGGAGCTGAGCCTTGCGTCAAGTAGGCTGTCAATGGGGCGAACGCACAGACATCCGTGTTGAGTAGCTGCTTCAGCTAGAGGGGTCGGCTGGACAGCAGGCCCTCTGTTGGTTTCCGTGTCGATGTTGCGGACGTTCAATGAAAGTCACCGCAACGATACCTGGACCATGCTCTGCACTCTTAGACTCTAAGGTTTGACTTTCAGTCTTTGTCTTATTCTCACCTTACCCCATGTATCTTGTTGTGACAAGTCAGCGCTCGGGACCGACTGAACCTCAGGATCCCAACACTCACTTGCACGTGATGGAGGCCTGGGTGACTTCGCCCGTGCCTCAGCACCAGGCCCATTGGCTAACATCTGTTGCTATGCTTGCAAGAGCCCGCTTGGTAGTGATCGGACACATGTGAGAAATGTAGATGGTCAAACTTAACCAAAAGCGGTAGTTCGAGCAGACTGCCCCACTTGTTCAGTGCAATAAGATGGTCGTAGCACATGTTATGCTCGCTTATAACTGTCTGATAGATCAAAAGGAATAGTGGAAACAGAAAAAAGGTCTGGGTCGCAAGACTTCAAAATAAGAAGAAGCAGGATAAACCCCGTAGCAGGCATGATCAGTTTAGTCATTTCATTTTGTTTCATTCGTCATCAATCATGGCGGACAATCGTGTTTGTCGTTAGGTGCACCCTGTGTAGGTTGTATACTGAGGACAGCAGCCGGTCCCAGTCCTCGGATCGGTTTTGGGACAGAGACCCGCGAGGCGCAGGCGGGGGCAGATCGGTCGCTGCCAGCTAAGGCGCTGTGCCGCCACTACGAGTAAAAGATTCGACAAGTCGTGGTTGTGGTGATAGCAGAAAGTGACAATTTATGACTATGGCAGCAGCTAGTGTGCAACTGTGACTGGCGCCGAAGTTTCGGGAGAGGGGGCGCTTGAACGATCAGGTCTCCGACCTGGAGCTCTTGCGAGCCTGTCCCGAGTCCAGGCGTTTGATCGCTGCGTGAGTTATCGGGAATACAGAGTGAATGATCCGACATGCTGGTCGGTCTGTATTATTTTGCCCTTGCATACAACTTGCCTAGGTGTGCCTGTGGTAAGCGATGGACAGAGAAGACTGGCAATGCCACGCTTCGCACAGATCGAGTTCCCCAACGGTCCCAGATCGGATGTCCCAGGTTGCACCCGGACACTGCCATAGAGCCCCACAAGGAGAAAAAACACGTTATGAGGATACTCAAACCAGTCGTTTTGCCATAGGACCACCCAGAGAAAATGAGAGGCGTTTTCAGCTGCACATCTCTTAGTTTCAGTCGCTCTTCAGTCCCTTGACGATTTCTTCGTTTCCTTCGTGAGACAGAGAGAAACAGAGAGAAAGCTGCACACACATACTCTCTCTCTCTCTCTCTCTCTCTCTCTCTCTCTCTCTATATGCAGTGTATATCTAGCTAGAAAGCGAGAGATGAGCGGTTGCTGCAGTCCTCGCACGTGTCAACTCCGGGAAGGTACGGCTCCGGCCCCGGCCTGGTGTACCACCCGGACTACAGGATCCCGGAACGGGTCGACTCATTACTGGGCTGTGGGTTCCTGGGGGCTCCGACAGCGCTGTGCTTGGGAGGAGAGTGCGTCCAGAATCGGCTGGCCGCAGCTTTCCTCGCGACAAGTCTGGCGTGGCTGGGCCTGTCAAATTTTTCCGAGTGTCTAATCCCGACAGGCGATGCTCTCGCCGCCATCATAGGATCAGTAGGGAAATTTGGCAAGCGACCTATGATTGCTCACTTTGCATAATAGCTCTTGGCTTTGGGACGTCATTGGGGTCGTAATGTGTCCGTAGAAATGCTCCATGAACGAACCCCACATGCTCTTCCGAGCCGTTGCACTAGCGAGGGTTCGATTGCGATTTGTCTGCCAGGGCCTGGTCAGCAGCGTGGGAACGTCTGGACAAGTGGCACCGTCTTCGTATCAGCACCACGATCAGGAGAGATGTTCATGTTGCAACAGTTTCCGATGTGATGTCGACTGACCCCCTGAACGGAATGCTGAATAGGTTTGAATAGGACCTGTCACGTGGACAAAGCAAGAGCCCTTGCAGGGAGTTCGGTAAGAAGAGCGGGGAGCCGTCAAGAAGCATGACGACGGCGCGAGTAGCAGGACTCTTCGTGTCAGCAACAGTTGTACTGGCAGTACTGTAATATGTAGTATCAGTGGTGGGGTGGTGGTGGTGGTGGTGGTGGTCGCAGAAGGTAGCGGTGGTAGTGGTAGTGGTAGTAGTAGTAGTAGTAGTAGTAGTAGCAGTAGTAGTAGCAGTAGCAGTAGCAGTAGCAGTAGCAGTAGCAGTAGTAGTAGTAGTAGTAGTAGGAGGAGGAGGAGGAGTAGTAGTAGTAGTAGTAGTGGTAGTAGCAGTAGTAGTAGCAGCAGCAGCGGTAGTAGTAGTGCAGCAGGAAGGAGGAGGAGGAGCTGTATAAAAGGCTACTGATGACGACACGACCTGCGATTGCCAACGTGTGTGCGGCTGCAGGAGTCCATCTCTGGAAAGCAGCTAGACTCCCGCAAGAGGACCGTGGCACGTACAACCAAGAATTGATGTATTGCAGTCGGGCACTTGCTGCGACACCCTGCAGGACCGGTCCAGCTTTCTCATTCGGCCGGGCTTCTCGCTTCATGGTGCACCCTCCTTTCATTCAAGCCGCTGCCTCCTTCACACCTTAGCTGCGTGTCGAGTCCACGGTATGAATAAACTGCGAGATCCCACGCTGCTGGTATACTACCTTGATTGCAACTACTTGCCGAACGTGGAAGGGAGTCTACAGAAGCATGCATGAAGGGGCTAGTAATATATTCTTTCAGGTAGCACTGTGATAGCACGTGATTTTGGAATGACCGTTTTGGGCTGCTTTGTCCTGCTGCGGCAGCTTCTGGCCCAGCAGGTGCAGCTTCTTGGAAGTCATGCGGTCTTTTGCCGATGTAGCACTGGTCGAGCAGATTCGAGTTGCGAGTTTATGTGACCTGGTAGATGCTTACAAGACCTCATACTGGCGGAGAGGAAGCTAGCGGCTTATGCCTGTAGAATGTACGGTGATGCTAAGCAACGCAACGAGTGCAACGGGGCCATAAACAGGATCAGTGAACTCCATCAGGCTGGTGACTGGACAGGCACGACAATCTAATCTGATCGGATCATGACAATGCAGTGGAGTCAGCCATTGCGCTGCCGCAGAACTTGATGCAGGCGTGGTGGTGGTGATGGGTTAACCCAGTGTACTGAAGCTTGTTGGATCAAGTTTTTTTTAACGGTTGCTTAGTCAGAATCCCTTGTCGAAAGGCTTTGTAAGCAGCTTCAGCGAGTTTCTGAACTTCGATTCGAGCTTCTTCTGAACGGAACACCTGCGACATGCTAACTTGGACTTGTCTGCTCTAAGCGCATTTTCCAGGCAGCGCCGCCCAAGCCTTGGGAGAGGAACGGCAGGCCGACCTCAGAAAGGCAACCGACGATGACCGGCCTGATGTGTCTGATCGCTTTTCGGCAGGCGTCTTGTGTCTTCTACCTCCCCACCAGTCGCTGCAGCTGCCAGCCGCGATCTTGGTGCACTCTTCTCTTTCTGCATGTCTAGTTTTGACACGTGTTGGCGATGCAGCGGATACTCGTATGCTGCTCGTGCGCTGGAGTGCCGTGCACATGTGGCATCATGTGGCTTTTTCTGGTCGGACTTTCTCCTTCCGGGTGACGGCATGACGAAGCAGCCACACACATGAGGCACCCCTGTCGCTCCGGCTGCTGACACAACAGCCACGCCTGCTGCAGCGACAACTAGCACGCCGTCTACGCCCCAGAGACCGGACTGGAGACAGAGAGCTGTGCTGCAAACATCAGCAGCATTCTGTAAACCGCGTCAGATGGCGCTGCCTTGGTCGACCTGTGCTGCTAGCATGGGTCATTCAATCTACATGTCGCGCACACCTGCTCTTTAAATGGCAGTTACTAGCTGCAATTTGACCTGTTTCTAGAGACTCTGTCATGCAGTGGCGCTACTTCACCAGATAGATGACAGGTTGGCCCCTTCGTCTTCGTATGCAAGCGGCAGCATGCAATTTGGTCGCACTCCTTCGCGTGGCAGAGTTTGGTGTTAGGCTCTTCGTGTGTCACAGTCACAGTTACTGCATCGGCACAAGACTTGGAGACTCAATGGTAAGGGCTAGGGTCAGATGTGGCGCCGAGTGCTTGAACATTTGCAGTAGTCCCGACCAGTGTGCTTTTTAAGAGCGGTGGCTGTAGCAAGTGCCAGAAGTTCGTGACATGTGGTCAGGTACGGCAGCTCTATGTACGGCAACTCCATGTGCGCAGCAACAGGGCCTCCGACAGTATTGCGTCTGACATTCTGTGCGGGGGCACTGGGCACTTGCACTTCAGCATCTGGGACAGTTCAAGTCTGGCCAGTCTGGAGGTACGGAAGCAGTTACGGTGGATATGGAGGCTATGGTAGCTCCATGTATGGTGGTGGATATGGAGGCTCCATGTATGGTGGCATGGGGTCAATGTATGGGCCGAGCACTCAGCACAGAAGTACTATGAGAATGTGTGAGCCTTGTTCCAGATCCCATCATGTCTGGCCCTAGAAATACGACCTGAATGAATGCAGACTCGTGCGAATATGTCTGCGAGAGTTGGCATGCTTGGAGCCACCAGCGCAACACCTCGAACGTGGAGGGGCTGCGTAGTAGTCTACGCATTACCTCAAGAAGCACGGCGGTGCTCGATAAGTACAAGCAGTGCGGACACGGAGCTATTCTCATTGCGTGTCCGAGGCGGGGAGGTATGTACGGCAGCTCGATGTATGGCGGTGGCATGATGCAGCTCGGCACCCGAAATTCAGTTCCAGGCAGGTCTGGTGAACGTCGAGTGCCGGGTCCGGTCCTGCTTTGTCGGCGGTTGCGTCGAAGTTTTGGCTAGGAGGACGATTGCGCATCAGTACAACCAGAATCCGAAGAACTTCATGTGCATTCCCACTACCGAGACCGCGGCAAGTTCGTCGTCGCAGCAGCAATGGGACAAGTAGTAGTCGCAGCATGTAGAAGTCGTGAACATAGTAGTCATAGTCATAGCAGTAGTAGTCGTCGTGGTGGCAGTAGTAGTAGTAGTAGTAGTAGTGGTAGTGGTAGTGGTAGTGGTAGTGGTAGTGGTAGTGGTAGTGGTAGTGGTAGTGGTAGTGGTAGTCGTCGTCGTAGTAGCACCACAAACGTGATTCCGGTGTTGGCTCTTGATGCTGCTCTTGTGGCTGTTGCCGTTGCGAGGGCTTTCGCTGACACGTTGGGGCTTCTTCGCATCAGGCAGGGAAACCGGCAGCTAGAGTCGGAGTTCTTCGTGCCGAAGATCCCGGATCAGCCGGCTGTCGCTTGGCTTCATGGATGGCAAGCCCAATCAAGGAAGGCGCATTCTCAGTCCTGGTCAGCCTGTGTAATTCACTCATTTGGGCTGCAGAGGCCAGCGAAGGTAGACTCACCGGTGCCAGGGATCAGGGTTAGCACAACCCTATTAGAGCAGGGACGTCACCTGTTTGCTGTGGCGTGGTACCAGTACGGCTCTAGAGTCTCCCCATGCAGTCGTCCTGTGGCGTGTGGCGTGTGCCTTCCTTCAGGACTCTAGCAACAGGATCGAGGAGATCAGGGAGACGAATGCTTGGTTCCTGGACGGGCAGGGGAAAGCTTGATGTCTTGTGCTCGGAGATGCAACCGCAGGCTCTCCCACCTTGGTTTCTGCTCGTGGTGTGATTTTGTGCAGGACTCTGTCTTCTTTTACGGTGATCGTTTTTACCAGCGCGGCCCCAAGGGAAAGAATTGGGATGAATTGGGGGATGGCGCTTTAGGGTAATTATTGCCGTGCCATGAGGTTTGCCCGACGCCTGATTCATGCTTTGTCAACACTACATCAGGCGGTTCGGAGCTCGGGCAACAGTGTGGCTTGACTGCGGCATGCACGCACCGACTCGTCAGGTCCGTGACGGCCAGCTGCCACCGACTGCCGCACGCCGGGCGGCTGCTTTCATCATTGCTTGCGGCTCCGTTTTGGCTGCTGGCTTTGCTTGGCACCCAGAACCATAGCTGATTCGGGCTTCCCTAGACATCCTCAAATCCTAAACACAGACTGTTCGGTTTCAAGGTTCATGGCTCGATACAGCGGCAGAAGCGCTCCGCCTGGCCCTCAAAACAATGCAGCGGCTGGGAGTGGCAGACACGGCTGTAGTAATTGGTTTAGGGTGTCCCTCTGTAGATGCCGCACTCATGTGTGAATCACGTTGCTGATGCTGTTTGAAGCTTCTGGCGAAGCTTCGTTCAGTGCAGAACGGAGTCTCGTGAGACCTTCGCTGACTCAAGGAGTGGAAAGAAATGCGAAGGCCCCGGGGATCACTCCTCAGAAGATGCCCTCCAGAACCTTGCTTTGGGCAGGCAGGTCCGTGCTTTGGCTTCGTCCTGGCGTGTGCCCCAGAGCTTGGCCTACACACACTGGTTCCCCTGATTTGTGGAGATCCTCTCCCCCTGCCACCCCCCATCACCTCTGTGCGAAGGAAAGCTCAAAGCTCAAGGCCCAAGCGGAGGGGGGATGATCACACGCAGAACCTTTGGTGGAAGGCCCAATAAGGCCCAAGACCCAAGCTGTTTCACAGGGGGGTCTGAAGTCTAAACCAGACCACGCAGCCATTCCACAACAAAGGCCCAAGCAGTTTTACAGGGCAGGAGATTCAGAAACCAAATGGTGGGATACCATTCGGGGAGGGGGGGCGCCCGCCGGGGCACAACCATAGATCGGCTTCGACGTCACTTGTTGCCAAGGCCGCATGCGGCCCTGTGAGTGCTGCGATGCACAGCTTTGGCTGCAGCAAAAGCAGTTTCAAGAAGGTTTAAGTACTATGGATCTGCTGGAGCCACAAGCCAGTGCGCTGCTGCTCTCCGAAAGCTGCGACGGGGTCTAGTCCCCGAGCCCTACGCCCATGGCTGCGTGTACAGAGCCATCACTGACGCGTGCTGCAAAGTGACGAGTGCCTACACGCGCAGCAGAAAAGATGGTGTGGAGGTGGGTTCGCATGTAGAAGGTCCGCACCATCTCCGGAATTACTAATTCATCCACTCTTGCGGTGACATCCCCCTTGCTCCCGGGCCTTGTAGCTGAGTGCCGGCCAAGACGCGCTTGATGTCAAGAGTCCATGTGGTCGGTGCGAAGGGCTGACCCCTTTCGCAGGCGCCACGCCGTGCGATGGGCGGCCGGGCGGAGGAATGCGCATCTGCCCGGTCGAGCCTGGGCAGGCCATGACTGCAGGTAGTATTCCAGATCCATAGGGGACACTCATGGAGACAGTGCTGACTGCGAGACTATGCCGGCGCCAGTCCTTGCAGCATATGGCTCATACAGCGTATTGATGCAGAACACGAGCTGAACGAGCTGAGGAAGCAACAGTTGTAAGTACCCATCTGAACGAAGGTTAGCCAAACCATGTTTTCGTCATGTCTGCTTTAAGACAGAGAGGGGCTGACACCGTAATTTGTTGCCAACGGCAGGAAGGTATAGTATAGTCTATTGACTGGTTTACCCGCAGCACTCAACTGACGACGAACGTCCCCAATGGCTGCTGCGTAAGGTCCCCGGTGTGAAGAGCACTTGGAACACCTCAGGTCACATGTTGGATTTTGGAAATATAGTTGACCTCAGTTGGCAGCAGCTCGCTTTTGAGCATCTGCAATCCCCAGCGATTTGTCCCAGCTACTTCGGCAGGGGTGCCGGAATCCTCTGTTGCAGACACTGTTGCATGTAAAAGAGCACGTGGCGAACGTCAAGTCGTGCCGGGCGTATCGACTCGCTGGTGGTGGTTTGAAGTTCGCAGGTGGTAAGCCGCATGGGACATGGGTGTCAGCAGTATGTCGACAGATGGGACAGCCGACAGCTCAACCAATCAATCAGTCAGTTACTCCAGGGAGCCACGTACGAATCAGTGGATTCTGGTGCCTGTGTACCTGCAAAGAAGCTTCTGCTTGCTGGTGTACAGTACAAGTCATTTTTGTGTGAGTTGTATGTGCGTCACTTGCTTGCCTGCCTTAGTAGGCGTCCGTCATCACCGTCAGGCCCCCGACCCATCACCTGCCTCCATGACACCCGAGTGCTTCATGAAAGAATGGAGCATGTCAATGCGAGTAGGTTTAAGAGAGTTCTGAGAATTCGGAGCGGATTTTCGCAGCTTGCACAAGCACGCACACATTTTGTAGTGCTGCGTCTATGATCTCTGTTCTCGCATTGAACTCCCAATTGAAGTCTAATGAACTCCCAATTGAAGTCTAATGTCCATGGCCCACAACAGGTAAGTTCGTTGCGATTTCCATTTTAACTTGTACGATGTCTGAAGGATGGATCCCTCAGCTGCTTCGCCTCTGGCTGCGCTCAGCGGGGACATCGAGGCTGCGGCCACAACTTTTGGTTAGAAAGACCTCCGACTCTGAGGATGCACAAAGTTGGCAGACCCTGCGGTGTTGGATGACAGCGGAAATACAGTTCAGTCTTATGTACTGTACAAGGGAAGACTCCAGTGCATGAAATGCCATTACAGTCATCAGCCATGTATAGCAGTCATGTCGTGCCGGTAGGGCACCAGGTACAAAAGGAATGACAGCTGTCAGGAGACCACTCCGAATCTCTGGCTTTGTTTTCGTTTCTCCGGACTCGCTCCGTATGGCAAGTCACCGGATCCAAACAAGAGCTTTAGACACTGACATTCCCAGAACCTCGCAGATCACGATCAATTGCTCAGAGTGCTGCCACCTCTTCAACTACTGCCACCACGACTACGATGGCGATTACTGCTGCTACTAGTCTGACCAGGTCCCACCGCCGCCACCACCACCACCACCACCACCACCACCACCACCACTACCACCACCACGGCTGCGGCTGCCAAGGTGCTGCACCTTCCATCATATCCTGATATATGCGCTGAGCTTTTGCGCTGTCCTGTGCAGCAAGTCGTGCACAAAGCGCGGCACGACGGGCACATGTCTGTTGTGTCACCATGCTCCCTGCAACCGTCAAGCCGTGAGGCCTCCCGGCACCCGGGTGAGATCCGAGTTGAGGATCTGAGCCTTGTTGCCGGAAGCTCGGTTGGACGTCTGCACGGCTGGTGCGACTGCTCGAGGGCTGTCGGGCTTGCTGATTTGCCATGATTTGCCAATTGCCCATTGGTACTTAACTCCAACCGCAGCAGTACTAGGATCGGTAGGCGGTCAGTAGAATGGACATCGTGGTGCACCTTGCTTGACGCACTTTTTAGCAATGGTGGTAATTTCCCGTCACCTGTCAGACCAGGTGAAGGGTGCCAAAAAAGGCGACGGGCCGCGGAAGGTCGAAACCCACGGTGGTTGTTGACCTTGTGGTGCAAAGAGACAGTAAGACGGTTCGAAGAAATCTTGATTTCCTGCTTCAGATCCTGTCGAATGTGACCTGCGAATTCCCACCGGGAAGGCACGGTGAGGGCTTCTGCGGAGGTGCCTTGAATCCGCAGAGTCTGTGCTGCACGTCGCGGGCCCGAGGCTACAGCAAGTAAAACCCGGCCCGAAATCACCAGTCACCACTCGCACCAGATGGGTGCCTCAACTGGTGCAGGCTGTCCGCCATCATGGGCGCAAGTGGTTCGGGCAAGACGCCTTCTCCTCGGTGAATTGCACTTCAAGCGGCAGTTCACGTTTCAGGGTGATGGACCAGCCGTATCATCTCAAGAGACACAACCGGCCCTTAGGTTCGGTGCCACGCAGAGTCAATGCAAAACCGTGTACGATGCGATGTCCGAGCATGCTGTTTTTTTTACAATTTGTTGTGCTGCAGCTTGGTCTACAAGTGTCATAGTGTTAGATACGTGGTTCCATGCAGACGGTTCTTTTGGGTGATCTTCCAGGTCCGTGCTGACCGCCATTCGTGGCCTTCAGGCTACTGACTCCGAGATGTGCGGACAGGTGGGTGCGTCCGGGTAGCAGCGGGTGGTGCGCAATCAGTAGGCTTCGACCAATCGACATGTTGGGTTAACGAGGCTGCACAGAAGAACATGATGTGCAATTCAATCTGCCAACAAGTTTTACACAACAATGTCGCGGTCTCTGCTGATCTGGCAAGCATCCTTTCAGGTTCTTTGCGATGGTCATCCGGTCAAGATGGACACCATGCGCCACTTGGCAAGTGCTGCCGCCCCGGATTCACGGCGATGCTGCTGGTAGCAAGATTTCGGTTGCGAGGTTGTTCGGAGGCAAGAGGCTTCGCTGCAAAGCGCAGCTGCATCTCGTGGGTTGCAGGCTTTCGAAGTGGTTTGCATCTGTGGACAAGAGGTCCTGCAGCTTCAGAGATGCAATAGCTGCCCTCATCTCAACAAACCACTGCCATCCTCCGCCCTCCTGCGCTAAGGCGGTCCCTCAGGAGGATGTGTTTCTCGCAGCTTTGACCCCGAGGGAGACGTCCGGGCCCCAAGATGGCGCATGTCGAACTACTGAAGCGGCTTGCCCTCAGTGAAAGGGTGAGCCAGGGCCATCACTCATTCAGTCGCATCAAACTGCACTTGCCAGCTTGGGCTTTGCCGCCGAGCTGCGCCTGCCAACCACCTGGGGCCCGGAGGCTTGGGCAGCATGACGGGAATATTTCGCAAAACACCTGTGTGCTGGTCGAGCCAGCATTTGTGTCAAGACGCTTTCTGTTGTCGCTATGACATCGTCAGGCGAGAACCAAGCGCGTCGAGGAGGTGATCAAGCTTCTCAACATCGAGAAGTGTGCCGATACCGCAGTGTGCTCAGCAACTGTCCGAAGCACTGGGCACACGGGGTTGTATACGGTGGCGAGCCTGTTCCTGAGCCGCGTGGAGGCTATCGGAGATGAAAAGATGGGGCTTCGCGGGATTTCAGGCTGCCCGTTTGACTGGCAGAACGTTTCAGAATCTTTCACCGTCGCAGAGAACACATTCATATGGTCGCAAGTTCCTCACTTGCTTGCCGAGCCCGTCTGGCAGAGTCACGAAGCTGCACCCTTGGTTCGGAGATCATGTCGTCTTCTAGTCCGCAATCTTGACAGGTCTTTCAGTCAGTCGCTGCCAGAGTGAAAGAAGCAGCGGCACAGAGTCTGCCGGACTGAAGCTTTCACGGAGCTGCGGCAGGCGGCGAGCGTCGGCGCTTGAGTGTGGGCAGCTGGGCTTTGAAATTTCTCGTCGAGACGAGATGCCCTATCGACAGCAGGCCGTGCAAACGATGAATCAGCATGTTCCTTGTGTTTGCTGTGTCCAGCTCGTCTGAGGCCTGGCAATCATCGGCGGCTTGCCCGAGGTGGGTTCAAAGGGGTCTTCGTGCCTCGCAGCAAACCTAGCAAACCCTTCACCCTTCACGACAGCCTCGGTCCGCAGGTCCTGCTCTGCGACGAGCCCACAAGTGGCCTCGACTCTGCTGCAGCCAGCAACATTGTCGCCAGGAGCCTGGTGAGTGATTCTTAAAGGCTCGAAGAAGCATCAATAGGCCGGAAAGTAACCCAAAAAGATAATTGCCACATTCAGTCCAGCAAAACGGCAGAGTGGGTTCTGAGTTCGGTTAACCACAGCTGTTTTGAGGCCCTCATGAAGGCTTTGGCTGGCAGGATGCTCAGTTTTGGATAGTTTGCTTTCCTTGATTCTTTTGCATTGGCTCTGGTTGCTTCTTCGAGCAAAAAGGCTAAGGTGGAAGGACATTATTGCAAAGCACAGATACTAATAATATACGATAACAGACGCCTCGTCAGTATGGTCCTGGCCGGCTCGGACGTTGTGCTTGGTTGGGCATCGAGCAACCCTTTGTATTGTGTTCGGCGTCCCTGTGGATGTGTAGTAGTGAGAATTATGAATTAGGTTTAGGGTTTAGGGCGCTTCGCTGTGCCGGCATCGGGAAGCCACCAAGGCCGCGGAGTGACAGTGTTGGCCGCCATCCACCAGCAGCGAGCCAAGATACTCGAGTTCAGGTCAAAGGGTGCTCGTCCCATGTGTACACCGCGGGTAGCCAGGTTGCGCTGACTTGTCCGATCCTTCGCCCTTGTTTATCCTTGTTGTGAGCAGCATCAGTTCGTCGATTTCCTCAAACAAACAGTATAGCATAGTGTCTCGGTGACCCTTTGGGTAAAAGCCTGCGCCGACGAACCAGACCTTCGTATGCGATCTTCAGCGAGTTCGACTACCTGCTGCTTCTTGAGGCGAGTTTTCAACCTGCGGCTGGTGTCGGATTGTAATGCCCCGTTTATGTATCGGCTGCATCAGAGCATCGACGTC